TAATAAAAGTTTTCTCCTACAACATCAGAGTGAAGCGCCACGTTAAATACGCACCACAATGACAATTGTTTAAAGCGATTTAAAGCATGTTTTATGTTTTTTTTTGGGGGGGGGGGCAGAGCTTTGTGACGTCATATTTGAGGGGGGGGTCTGACTTTTTGTGACGCCGTATGACAAAGGGGGGGGGGGGGGTGAAAAATCGTCCAAAATCGCGTGACGTCATTTATGAACGGCCCCGAACTGCAAATACCCGAGATTACACACAACGCACAGCACTGCGGCGGTCATCATTATTTTCGGCTGTAATTATCGCGATTGATTCGTGAGGGCGGTAGGAGGATAGGGGCCGGTGGTGGTCGTGGTGGTCGTGTGTTGTGTAAGAGATGCGGTCGTTTTCAATGGTGTCACGTTTTGGCGTGCGTGCGTGCGTGCGTGCGCGCGCTATACCACGTGCTCTGTACCACGTGCGCTATACCACGTGCTCTGTACCACGTGCGCTATACCACGTGCTTTGTACCACGTGCGCTGTACCACGTGCTCTGTACCACGTGCGCTATACCACGTGCTCTGTACCACGTGTGCACCGTGACCGACTCGTGTAAACTCACCACTCGGCGTGTAGCCTGTCACGTGATTCGTGCGAGTGTTGTTGATCATCACCATAGGTTGGACAATTAAACAGACGCTTCTTCGACGACACGGCAAAAGCCAAACTCGGAGCGTGTTGTGTTGTCACTCACTCTGTGTGTGCGTTGTGTGTGTGTTGTGTAGCGGTAGTGTAGTGGTTAGCGCTAAGCTACGAACCCAGCGAGCCGAGTTCGATTCCCGCTTACGACCAACATCGATTACGAATATCTGAACCTGTCCTGGGCCTCCACTAGGTCGACTCGACCTCAAATGAGTACCTGGTGCAGTGTGTAAACATCGCCACTCGGGAGACAAAGGCGGCCGGGCGTGGTGCTGTCCACCCACCCCCTCGTGTGCCGTGCCGGCCTTCATAGGTGCTACTCGCTAACAGCACTTGCCCAAACAGCCTGTTAAGGCTATGCGGGGGATCTTTGGCTTTGTTACCGTCAACGTTGCCCGCCCTATTCGACTGCAGCGGTGACCAGCCGGCGTCTCCCGAGCTCCAATGCGGCTCTTTAATCCACCGCACGCGGCTCTACGGAAGGGGGCATCACGCCGAACGCAGCACTACGAACACAATCGTGGCAAAATACAAAATAATGATGAATGTCTCCCGTGCTGTGCAAAACACATTCCTGCGGAGGGAGCTGGTAGGAACGTTGGGTTGCTCGGTCAATGTCCAGTGTCAACGGCGGCGTGGTGTATTCCGCAAATACGCCCGACTGTGAGGGCGGGCACAAGCCGGCGTGAGTAGGTTAAACGTTGGGTTTTATAAGGGCACCACGGGGTGACCAGCCCCTCCCCACCCAGCCCCACTCTCCCCACCCAGCCCCTCCCCACCCTCCCCTCCCCACCCAGCCCCTCCCCTCCCCACCCAGCCCCTCCCTCTCCACCCAGCCCCTCCCTGCACGACGGACGGGCACAATCCCCTGTGGGCTGGTGTAACCAAGAGGTTCCTACCAGTAAAACGCTATATACATATTTATATGTGCACTTGATTCTTTGCAGAACTCATGGGTACCTTTTTTGGCTGTCGGTCTGTTAGAGGTTGACCACCCCTGTTGCAGAGGCTCTCGGTTCTAATCCGGCGGCCACCCTGATCATTACTGTGCGTGTCAACCATGACGATAATACACACACGTTTGCTTTCACGAGTTGGACGTCAAAGATCCCGTGACATCATTCGCAAGAAGCAGGCCAAAGTCGGAGTCAGAAAAATGTTCCAAATTCGAAACGAATGACACAATTTAGATTGTACATCGTGAATTGTAATCATTACCCCCTCGACTGGCAGAATAATGCCCCAGGTCACTCCGTGGAAAATGAGACGCATCCTGGTATCTTGAGATATTGCCTGCACCTGGTCAAATAAAATAAAGGAAAAAAAACATTTCCATACACCTCTGCTGCCCATCGGTGACGCTGGTACTTGGATTACGGTTTCCACAAGACCAGCCTTTTCCACAAATATACAGAGTGCTTCAAAAACATGTTAGCACTTATATGGGAAAGTTTTGATTTGAAGCTTTCATGGCTGCAGGAATCCATACTCTTTGGTTCTTTCGGTAAAGTCACGTAGGTAGAAAAATAAACTAAATCACGACGTTTCAGGCGCAACACGAGCGTCCGTCATCAGACTGTTTTAACCTTTTAACCTTTTAAAACAGTTTGCCTCAGCAGCAGACCATGCTTTCCCACCTGATGACGGACGCTTGTGTTGCACCCGAAATCGTCGTGATTTATTTTATTGTATACCTACGTGACTTTACCGAAAGAACCAAATAGTACTCATATGGGACTATCGTTTTTAATGAAAAAATAACTGATAATACACTGTAACGTGATAACAAATGTATGTTAATAACGTCAAAAAGTCAAAGAGTCTCCACTTGTGTCGCCATCATTGTCAACACGTGTCTGGAATATTCTCCAGGTGGTCTTCGGAGCGTGGAGGCAGCACATTTCTTGTGTTGATGGAAATTCTTAGAAGTATAACGTTTTTTTGAAGAACCCTGTATTCATAAGTCATTAAAAATAGCAGTATTCTATCACGAAGTTCAACACGAGACCGGAAACAGATCTGGGTACAAATCCATTCCTTCCACCGGAACATATAGAAGCCAATTCCATGGGTTAAACCCAGACAGGTGGCGATGCAAACATGGGCAACAGCTATTAAGATTAAATTTCGATTTAAAGCTTTCGTGACTGCAGGGATTCATCTTCTTGGTTCTTTCGGTAAAGTCACGTAGAAGGGCAATAATAAAATAATACATAAATACAGCTATTAAGATTGTCTGGGATCAGACCGAGCAGACTGGTGTGTGGCTATGGGCGTCTTGGTTTGCTGATTTGGCATCATCTCGGGTTTGTGTGGCATCCTCACTGCAAATTACCGTGGAACTGCCCCATAAAACAGTGGTTCCCTCCACATTGCTGAGGGCTGCCCCCTGCCACGGTGGAGTGAGAAGGTTGATGCAACAAGACGAAGAGGCTGAGTTGATGGTCAATTAATTTGAGTGGCTTGGATACTCAAGGCTCTTTAATTCTATTGAAATAATAATTGCTCACGGGATTGAGTGACCAAGAGGATTATGCTAATGCGGTGATAACCCCGGTTTACGTCGGGGATGCGTTCCTGAAACGTGGAGACGACCGAATACCGAATCGAAGCAAATCAAAGCGATTTCAGGGGCGGTTTCTTCATTAGGGCGATTGGGCAACGCACCACCAATGTCATTCAACCACAGAGTCACGCTAGCCGTCACTGTGCCTCTGGATATAGTCCAATCAGCGTCATGCTACGTTCTGTGGAGTACCGCCTCTTTTTGGGCGATTTCCCTCCAGCTGAGAATCGCCCCGAGTGGTCCCATAGACTTACATTGAAAGATGTTTTTTTTTCGAACGGGGGCGCTGCAATGCATTCTCTATGGCTTCCGGGAGGGCTCGCACTAACGTGCTTACGTCATCATACGTGCTTACGTCATCATACGTAAGCACGTTTCATCCAACAATATAATTTGTCGCCACCTAGTGGAATATTTAATAAAAGAAACTTGAGTGGTTTGTTTTAATAGTGAGTATATAAACAAACAAGATGTATTGTAAGAGTCACTTTATTTTTCATTAATATTAAAGAAGTGAAGTTGCCTTTACATGCTTAAGCTGTTAATTTATCCATTGCATGGGTGGACCTTATCCTTATCAATCATCCAGACATTTGCCCCCCCTGAGAGATTTTGCAGGAGCCGCCACTGAGCGATTTACAGCAGGAGGTGGTGGTGGAGGCGAAGGCTGAAAGGCGACGGATACCAGAATGGACGGACAATGCCATCAGCGACGTAAGTGTGGGGTTGAAACGACTCAAATCGGGTGGTGGTGGTGTTAAGAATACGGGGTAATATTCATATTCTTAGGTTTTTCGGTAAAGTCACGTAGGTAAAACATCAAAATTAATGAAAATAAAATAAAACAAAAATCACGACGTTTCGGAGGCAACACAAGTCTCCGTCATCAGGTGGGACCGTCACAGCCGAATTAGCTGCATCAAGTGAGGCAATGATTCAAGATGTAATCCCTTATAAGCAAGTTGAAGGGGGGGGGAGGAGAGGGGGGGGGAGCTCATCAGAATGTGGTAGCCAATGAATGGAAACGTATCGGGAGGGAGGGGGGCGGGGCTCAAAGACAGCACGGAGTGCTCAACACATGGGGCAGAGAGGGGGAGGGGAGGCCTGATACACATGATAGACAAAAGAACGAAAATGCCCATGTTTATACCAATGCTGGCTGAACAATGAAGAGAGTACTGTTAAAAAAAAAACACGGGGTAAACCGTACTGGTTGACGGCTATGATATTTTAGATGTTATTACATTTTGTTAGAAATGTCTCACAGTATATAAACAAAATAAATAATAAATACGGTGCAATCATCTTCATGGCCAACGCGCTGACGTCACCGGCACGCCGCCTTCAACATTTGGAGATGACGTCATCGCGTAAGTTTACGCGCGTGACGTCATCGCGCAAGTTCACGCTCGTGACGTCATCGCGCAAGTTCACGTTCGTGACGGCATCGCGTAAGTTCACGCTCGTGACGTCATCGCGCAAGTTCACGCCCTGTGACACCATCGCGTAAGATCACGCTCGTGACGTCATCGCTCAAGTTCACGTTCGTGACGTCATCGCGTAAGTTCACGCTCGTGACGTCATCGCGCAAGTTCACGCGCGTGACGTCATCGCGTAAGTTCACGCGCGTGACGTCATCGCGTAAGTTCACGCTCGTGACGTCATCGCGTAAGTTCACGCTCGTGACGTCATCGCGTAAGTTCACGCGCGTGACGTCATCGCGCAGGGCCCGTCCAGCGCGATGACGTCACGCGGCAGCGTCACCGAAGGGGGCATCCGCCACACGAGCAGCAGACATGGACGTCGGAGTGGAGCTCGGCACGGAGATCAGCCGCAAGATTCGGGTAAACGACTCCTCGCAAGGGCCTCTGCCCCCCTCCACCTCTCTCTGTCTTCCCCTTCTCCTCTAGCCGTGCTGGGCCCAGGGAACTCGGGGCCACAACGCAGCGGCGCTTTGGGGGAGAGCGGCTCGCGGCGGCGACGCGCGTAGCATGCCGCCGTGCGGCCTAGCGGGTTAGGATGAGGCTTCGTGGAGTCCGCGATGATCGGGGGCCTCGCTACCCCGAAACCGCGAGATTCATAAACCCCGAGACCTCTAAACCTACAGACTGTGAGGTTTATAAACCCCGAGACCTCTAAACCTACAGACTCTGAGGTTTATAAACCCCGAGACCTCTAAACCTACAGACTGTGAGGTTTATAAACCCCGAGACTTCTAAACCTACAGACTCTGAGGTTTATAAACCCCGAGACCTCTAAACCTACAGACTGTGAGGTTTATAAACCCCGAGACCTCTAAACCTACAGATTGTGAGGTTTATAAACCCCGAGACCTCTAAACCTACAGACTGTGAGGTTTATAAACCCCGAGACCTCTAAACCTACAGACTCTGAGGTTTATAAACCCCGAGACCTCTAAACCTACAGACTCTGAGGTTTATAAACCCCGAGACTTCTAGAACTAGAGACTCTGAGATTTATAAACCCCGAGACTTCTATAACTAGAGACTCTGAGATTTATAAACCCCGAGACTTTTAGAACTAGAGACTGTGAGATTTATAAACCCCGAGACTTTTAGAACTAGAGACTCTGAGATTCATAAACCCCGAGACCTCTAAACCTACAGACTCTGAGATTCATAAACCCCGAGACTTCTAGAACTAGAGACTCTGAGATTCATAAACCCCGAGACCTCTAAACCCAGGACTTTGAGGTTTATAAACCCCGAGACTTCTAGAACTAGAGACTCTGAGGTTCATAAACCGCGAGACCTCTGAACCCTCTGACCCCTCAATCCTGAGTCTCATAAACCCATAAGCCCAGAGACGGACCCCTAAACCCAAAGGTTCCTAAATACCAGAAACCCCTAAAAAGTATGTGTTTAGAAGGCGTGGGGGTAGGAATGATAATGGGGTTGTGTTTGATATTGTGCCCTACGTCTCGGCTTAAGGGGAGTATGGTACCGGTATTGTTAGGCTGTATGGCCAGTGTCGTGCATGGTGTATTATCCTTCACCAACCAGTACTGACCAGCGCGGTGAAGTATGGTCAACAACCCCCTACGATCCGCACGGCTTGAGGAGCCCCCCCCCCATCTCTCAATGCATTGACAAAAGGGCTGTAGATATGCATATAGAGTGTATATCTGGCATGTTGTGTATGTAGTGTATGACACGTGATACAGACAGGACAGTCTATTGCCAGTATAGCAGCTGGATTTGAAGCTTTCGTGACTGCAATGATTCATATTCTTAGGTTTTTTCGGTAAAGTCACGTAGGTAAAAAAATTAAATGAATGAAAGTAAAATAAAATAAAAATCACGACGTTTCGGAGGCAACACAAGCTTTCCGTCTTCAGGTGGAACCGTCACGGCTCGATAGCTGTATCAAGTGAGAGAGATTCCAAGAAAACAGTCCTTGTATATATACTGGTTGAGGGTGGGAGGAGCCAAGGTAGGCCCCTGGATATTATTTTTGTGAGGTTCGGTGCGGCTGAAGCAACGAAAAAACCTAAGAATATAGTATAGCAGCTCTCGCTTAAAATGTAGGCGTTCGATCCGGGATTAATTTCCCACTGAACTATTGTGCGGGTCGCTGATAGATTGTAGTAGGCACATTACTAGTAGTCGTAGCCATGGGAGGGAGGTACATTATACTGGATGCAATGTGTCGGGTGCTGACACACGCGGCTAAAATTAATCCCTGGGTGTTATTATATATTTTATTTTCGCAGGTAAGGCCCACAGAGTTATGTAGCTCCTTTCAGAAGCGACCTGGTCATTAATGATTGCTCAACGAAGTGGCTTTTGTGGAAATTTAGAGCAAGAACCAAATACTAAATGCGGAGGAGAAAACCAGAGGACCCGAAGAAAAATGTACGCGACCACAGAGAGAGCATGCAAACTCCAAATATATAGGTGTCAGGGTCCGGGATAGAACCTACGCACTCCCGAATATACCTAGCTATGGAATTCACATCTCGCCACCACTGCACGTGTTATCATTGGTACAGGAATACAAATATCTGCTGTGTGGGTTTTAACATGTAATTAATTGTTCATCGTGCTGTGTTTGTGGGTGTGTTCTTTTTCAGTCCGCTATTAAAACCAAGCTCACAGAGCTTGGGGTTTATGTTGGTAAGAGACACCTTCAATCGCAAACACATTTGCACCATTTCATAAAACACCTTGCTGCAATCTGTAATTGCATGTAATAATTGATCTAAACGCTACGTGAACATACATTTTGATTTAAAGCTTTCGTGATTGCAGGGATTCATATTCTTTGTTATTTTGGTAAAGGCACGTAGAAGGGAAATAATAAAATAATAAAAAAATAAAACTAAAAAAACAATAAAAATTCTCACGACGTTTCGACTGCAACACAAGCACTCATCAATCAAGTGTGAAGTCCACAGCACCTGATGATGATTGTTTGTGTTGCAGTCGAGATGTGAGAATTTTTATTATTTTATTATTTCCCTTCTACATGACTTTACCGAAAGAACCAAGAACATGAACATGTTAATTATTGTGATTTATATTGTCAGGGGTGGGTTATCTGATTATTTAAGTAATTGATTACTCTGCTGATTATCGGGTGACATTGCTCGACTAATGGGATCACACGAAGGTAGTTGAGGAAAAGTCTCACCGCTTCCCACGTGTGCCACTGGACGGGAGGTGATGGGCGCGGATTGGTAGTGTCATCTGAAAAACAAACAAATTAATTTCTTCGTTTAATCATTGGCTGCCCCTCGATCATTGAGTTCTTGAGTAGGTGCCCACATGACTGAAAACATCGGCATGCAAACCCTGTTAAGAATAAATGAAGCCTTCTGTCTACGTAGGCGAATAATAAACACGTTTTATAGACTAATTTCATGCGTCATTGGTACCTCATTTGCCAGTAAAAAAAATATGATAATTGTTATTTTTTACTGGCAAATGAGGTACCAATGGTGTAAATGCTTGTCCCGAGCTCTCATACTCTGATGGTGCATTGTCTTTGAGTTGTGCGCCTTTTGGCGTAATCTGGTCCAACACCATGTGAGACTAGGCTCTAAGAAAAGCTGTCTAGGGTGTGGACCAATCAACTTCAAGGACAGTGCATACATTATCAGAGTTATGTTTTTTGTTTGCATTATGACTGCAGGTATTGTGGTCTATGCAAACATGACTCCTCGTAAAAAAGGTGACAGTTTTGTTGCCAGATAAAAGGGTAAAACACCAATTATCATAATTTCATACGTGTTTTGCATCACCTTTGTTTCGGATTTATCCGGGCCACCCTTTTCACCCCTTTACCCCAGGCAATTGGGAGTTGACTGTCATTCATATTTCACTGGCGAATTGTTACACTGTTCTGAACTTTGAGCCCCTTGCGTTGTGCTGCTCAGACAATGAATTGCCGGACTACATCATGGTGATGGTGGCCAACAAGAAGAGCCGCGATCAGATGACTCGCGATCTGATGCTCTTCCTGGGAGACAACACCAGCAAGTTCACCGCGTGGTACGCTTTGCGCATGCGCGGACATTGTGCGCTGCTCTGCGCACACCTGTGTGCGTTATTCCACTTTGCCGTTGTCAACATCACCGTTATCTTTGCCGTTGTCAACGTAGTAATCACCGGGTTTTCCCTCCACGTTTAAAAACGTGTGTTTAGGGTATGAGTGGCTGTTATGTATTTGCATGTGAAAAGCCACTTCTTTGAGCGATCATTTGTGGCCAGGTCGCTTCTGATGAAGCTATAAAGCTCTGGGCCTTACCTGGGAAAATAAAAAAGTAGTAGTAAATTTCATAATGATAATCATAATTATCGGTGCGTGTTGATTTGTGTGTATGCGTATGTATGTGTATCAATGGTCACTTGTGTGCATGCTTGTGTGCGCATGCATGTTGTATGTATGTATGTTGACTTGTGTGCGTTTTCAACTTGTGTGTGCTTGCATGTGTGCTTCTCCCAATACCCTCACCCCATCGCAGGCTGCATGGCGTCCTGGACAAGCTGCGTTCCATCACTGTGGGTGAGTGCCTCTGCCGGACACAGTCTTCCCGTGCTAATACAGCGTATAATTGTCCCTTGCTTTCGTCATTATCACGAAAAATGACGTTGCTGAACTGCGCATTGCAGGTCTCTCTTGAAATCAAATATTTTTAAGGCTCTACTAGATAAACGAACGAACAACGTTCCGTCCGCTGTGTGGCTCCCGCAGACCAGGCTCAGACGCGAGCGGACGCCCCGGTGTCCGAGAGCCGCGAAAAGAAAGACTCGAGCCACTCCATCTCCCACTCGACCGTGCCCGCTGGTCGTGCCGCCCACGAGGGGGTGCCGACGGCGGTGGCAGCGCCACCACGCGACACCAAGGGCTCCACCGGCAGCAGCGCCACGGGTGGTGGCGGTAGCGGCGTCAGTGCACGCCGCGACCGCACCTCCTCCTCCAGTAGCCGGTGAGCAGGTGGCACCGACTGGGACAGGACTGCTGCGACAGCCGGTGGTGCAAAGCTCAATGCTTTGTCTGGTGCCTCGTGAGGTGTATTTATATAGCACCTTCAAGTCGCTTACAAAACGGCGACAGAATAACATTATTAATGTCGCAGGGGCGTACAAGGATTGAGTGACAGGGATAGAGTTTATTTGGGGATCACGAAAGGGCTATAGGCGAGGGATGGGAAGGAGTGGAGGGGCGAGGGGAGGGAAAATGAAGAGAATGGGCGATAGAGAAGAGGTGAGGCTTTGAGAGAAGAACGGAAGGAGGTTAAGGAGGGAGACTACCTTAATGTACAAGGGAATGCAGTTTTGCGTCATTATTCATCTAATAGCTCACTCTGCCCATCATCTTCTTGGTTCTTTCGGTAAAGTCACGTAGAAGGGAAGTAATAAAAGAATAAAAATAAAACACAATATATTATATTATTTCATAATGTTTTATTTTTATTATTTTATTACTTCCCTTCTACGTGACTTTACCAAAAGAACCAAGAAGATGAATCCCTGCAGTCACGAAAGCTTTAAATCGAAATTGAATATGCCCATCATCTCTCTCAATTCATCTGGTGCTCTATGCTGAGGCGCTTCAGCTGATGTATTTTCTGTTGTTGTTATCAGATGCTTTAATTGGTGTTTCACAAGGAGCTTTGCCCTGCATTTCATCTGACGATGCACGTCTATGCATGCGTGTCCACTTGTTCCCCCATCGGACAGACACAGTGGGGAGCACCGCTCCTCACGCACCGCGTTCAAGCACTCCCTGTCATCGAGCGCCGACCTACCCATGCCCTCTGACCCCATCATCGACATCACCCCGACCTTGGACGACCTCTCATACGACCTGAGCAGCGGCGCAGGGGGGTCCCGCTCGCCGCCCCCCCACCGTCCCGTTGCCGTGACGACCTCAACCTCCCCGTCCAGGAAGCGGCCCGTCTCCATGGGGAATGTGGATTCGCCTCCCAGGAAGAGGCCGATCGCCGTGGTGATGGGCTCCGGGTCCCCGCCCATCGCTGCTGCTGCCGCTTCTAGGAAGCGACCGGTCGTCGTGGAGACGATTCCATCGCCACCCAAGAGGCGTTCGGTCACCGTAGATACAGTCCCATCGCCCCCCAGGAAAAGACCTCTTCCCATAGGGACTGACTTGTTGTCCCTCAGGAGGAGGCCTGTTGCTGTGGAGACGGTACCTTCCCCTCCCAGGGGTCGTCCGGTTGCCGTGGATATTATCCCATCTACTCTCAGGAAACGTCCAGTCGCCGTCGCCCTGGATACCCTGCCATTGCCCGTCAGGAAGAGGCCCGGTGCCTTAGAGATGGATTCTTTGCCTCCCAAGAAGCGTTCCGTTGCCGTGGATACGGTGCCATCGCCCCCCAGGAGGAGGCCCGTTCCCGTGGTTTCGACACGGAGCAGCCACGACGGGGGCCACCAGCGCGGGGGCGAGCGACACGCGCGGGAGGTGAGGTTGCGGGGGTCACAGGTCACAGGGTGTCACGCAAATTTCCAGGATTTGGCAGATGTGAAAGGACCGTGCCAAGTACTCAGCCGAAAACACTGTTCTGCTGAAGGGTTTCTGTTCCTTAATAACTTGGGAATGGTTGTACTGCTCTCCAAACTGCCTGTGTGAGCCCTGGCCATTAACGCTGAACGTTAGAATCCTGAAAGTGTTCTAAATCGCCATCATTGGGCCTTGCTCTGCGGTTGAGTATGCAGATTTTCCCCTCTCTTGTGACGCGTTCGACCCGTCCAAGTCGAGACTTTCTCTCCGCCTGTCTGAAATGGGCACCAGAAGCCTTGCCTTCTTCAGTGCCTCATCGTTCTGACCCTGACGTTCATGTCGTCACCCTAATTAAAATCAACTCTACATTGCAGTGTAGAAAAATCTCCCCATCTCTCGGACGGCCTGACTGTCGACTTGTCAGAGACACAAACGGCCCCCAGCGCACACGGGGAAGCGAGCTGGGGATTTGAGTTTGCGAGCGAGCAGGTGAAGAGACGATGGGAGAGAACGCGATCGAGGGAGAGAGAGAGAGAGACCGAGAGCAAGAGCGGGCGAGGCAGAGTGAGAGCAGGAGAGTGAAAGTTAGCGGGAGGCTCGTTGTAATCGCCAGCGAAACGTCATGCTACTCAAATTATCAATGTTGTGGGTTTGCTCTCCAACACACCGATGTGCTGAAGTATTCACTGATTGCCACGTTTTGTTTACGTGACAAACATTACTTATTGGCTGTATGGGGTGGTGGTGGTGGTGGTGGGTTTAACGGCACATTTATATTCACGCGATCTTACCCAAAATAACCCCCTTTATTATGGAGAGCGGGCGATTGAGAGAGAACAGGTGATTGATGATAGAGAGAGAGAGAGACGGGAGTGAGAGAGTGCGTGAGTGAGCGAGAGTGGGGCGATCTAGCGAATGGGCGCTTCTGACGACGACGACAATGTCGCGTGCAGGAGGGCGAGGGCTGGCGCAGTGGGCGGCGTGTGGGCGCCTCCAGCTCGGTGCTGCGCGTCTTCCCGCTGGAGGGCGACGACCACGACGAAGACGACGACCGAGGAGAGTGGGAGGAGGAGGGGGAGGAAGAGGAGGAGGACGAGGTGGACGTCTGGCGGCGCGGGGGCGGCCCTGCCAGCAGCGTGCAGCTCCCTCCAAAACCCGAGCGCAAGTGCGTGCAGTGAGGGGCACTTGGGGATGAGGGGGGGGGGGTAGGAGGATCCATGGAGACACATTCTTGGGAATATGGAGGGGAGAGGGGAGGTGAGGGATGCATTGGAAGCCTTGCGGGCACGCAGGAATGTTAAGGGATACGCTGGAGTGCACTGGGATGCACAGGGATATTGTGGAGATGAAGGGGCGTCCGCAGGGAAGTGACGGGACGCATGTCGATGCAATTGGACGTGAGGGAACTAACGGGGACGTGGGGTGATGCGTTGGAAAATACTAGGGGACGTACAGGAATGTACTGGCAAACGTGGGAAGGCACGAATATGCGTAGGGCCATCGTGGAGATGCGGGGTTCTGCGGTGAATCTCGGGGTTTCAGGGGGGCACATGGGAGTACACGGGTAAGCCGTAAGGAAGGGATGTACTGGAATGCAATTGGACGTGCGCCATCGCGTCCGCGTGCCCCGTGTTCATGCGTCTTCCTGTCCGCTTCTTGTGCGCGCGCACCCACGGCCGTCCGCTGACTCCACCCCCCCCACCCTCCCGCCTGCCCGTCGCTGCCACCAGGCCAACGCTGCCTCCCTCGAAGCAGGCGAACAAGAGCCTGCTGATGAAGGCCATCTCCGAGGCGCAGGAGTCGGTCTCCCGCACCACGAGCCGCATGCAGCGTAAGCAACGCACACCATCCTCACTGCTTCCCCTGCCGTCCTATCCCATTCAAGTCCCAGCCCCGCTGAACCCCCGACTATTGATCGTGAATGCTTAGCACACAACGCACTGATACTCAACGTGAAGCGAATACCTTACCACCACGTGCACTTACTAAGGCCCTGTTGACTGGAGGTACGGACTTGCGATCTCTCTGTTTCATGGTTGAGAACAATTGCCGTAGCCACTGCAAGCACGCTATGCTGCCCTGGAATATGATGTCTAGATGAATATATTGTTATGGTTATATATTGTTATGATGTGATTAGACTCGTTAGTGATTATTCGCGTGCTGTAAATGAGGGAGAAGTGAAGGGTGTGGTGCCCTCGTCTCAGACAGGCTGGGAGATAGTCAACTCCGTTGGTTAGGGTGGGACACTGTTGTGAAGAAGAGAAAAAACTTCTGCTAGAAGAAGAATACAGGCGATGAAGGATGGGAGCATCGGAGCGGAGACCGAGAGGCAGGGCCTAGGGAAAAAAGAGGTGGTTTGAGGTGGTGAGCTAGGACATATGAAGGACTGTGGAGTGGACGTGCAGATGATGCTAGATTTGAAGCTTTCGTGACTGCAAGGATTCATACTCTTAGGTTTTCGTTCGGTAAAGTCACGTAGGTAAAAAATAAAACTAAAGTTAATAGAAGTAATAATAGAAATAATAAATCACGACGTTTCGGAGGCAACACAAGTCTCCGTCATCAGGTGGGACCGTCACAGCTAGAATTTCTGCATCAGGGTGGTGCACTTGATGCCGTAATTTTAGCTGTGACGGTCCCACCTGATGACGGAGACTTGTGTTGCCTCCGAAACGTCGTGATTTATTATTTTATTTTATTTCCATTATTACTTTCATTAACTTTTATTTTTTACCTACGTGACTTTACCGAAAAAAACCTAAGAGTACGTGCAGATGATGTCCCAAGACAGGAATGAGGACCAGGAAGGCAGACCCTACATGAGTTTCCAGGAATAATACAAATAGTTTATTTATCCATGGTTAGGCCGCGACCTCCGATTAGCACGGTTGGCAAAAGAAGTTCAGCATACAAACACAATGTCAGGGTTGATCGAAAAACTATAGTCTGGGTGTTAACGTCCTCTGCTCCTGTCCTTTGTCGCTGCTGCCCCTCTGTTGCTACGACCGCCTCCCCTCACCTCTGTCTGGCTCCCGTGGGGGGGTTCCCCGCTCTTCCCCCACACAGCCATCCAGCAGCGGCAGACTGCCCCCGTGGCCCCCCGGGCTCGCCCTCGGGAGGACAGGGAGGGCGAGTGGGAGCCCAGGAAATGGACGCGCGGGTCCGGGACGGTCCAGGCCGACGAGGCGGGCCGGCTGACCTACAGGGCCTCGTCCGGTCCGCGCCAGAGTGTCACCCGCTGGCCCGAGGCCCGGCCTGGCACGGCACGGCCTCTGGAGCCAAAGCACGGCCTCCTGCCACATTCGGAGCAGCGGCAGCCGGAACAACAGCAGCGGCAGGCGGAGCAGCAGCAGCAGCAGCGGCAGTTGGAGCAGCAGCGGCGGCGGCAGCAGCAGCAGCTACACCAGCAGCAGCAGGCAATGGAACCGCAGGAAGTGGAACCACGTGAAGTAGAGTCGAAGCGCTCCACTGTGCCACAACCACGCCGGGCCATGATCAGGAGGAACCTGGAATTGGGTCAGGGTGGTGCTCAGCCGGAACGGGAGAGCTGGCGCCCCAAGCAGACACGCACGCAACCTCAGCTGCAACCCCAGCTGCGACCTCAGCCGCAACCGCAGCCGCAACCGCAGCCGCAACCTCAGCCGGAACCTCAGCCAGAACCTCAGCCGGAACCTCAGCCGCAATCGCAGCCGCAACCGCAGCCGCAGCCGCAGATAAAACCGCAAGTGCAGACGCTGCTTGTGGACTCGCGGCACGTGGAGGCGCTTGGAAATGACGCGAGGCCTCACGAGGCCGGCAGCGCTCGGCCCGGTGAGTGGCGGTCGCGGCCAAATCGGCGGAGGAATGAGGAGGAGGGATACGAGAGTTGGATTAAAGAGTGGCGGAGAGTTTCTTCCGCCTGGCGCCGTTGGTTGTGTTGCCTTTTGTTCGTCATCAGTTCCGTTGTCATCAGCAGTAGTAGCAGCCGTAGCATTTTTCGATTTAAAGCTTTCGTGACTGCAGGGATTCATCTTCTTGGTTCTTTCGGTAAAGTCACGTAGAAGGGAAATAATAAAAGAATAAAAATAAAACATAATAAGATACAATTCTCACGACGTTTCGGCCACAACGCAAGCAGCCGTCCTCAGGTGAATAACAGGTCTGTCGGAAAGACAGCGTCATTCAGACGCTGTCTTTCCGACAGACCAGTTACCGAAAGAACCAAGAAGATGAAGCCGTAGCATTGCTATCATTATCTGTCAGTGCCAGCAGCAGCATCGGTGTAATAATGATCGCCAGCACCAGCAGCACTCGTATCACTAACTTAGCACTGTTAGCTAATTGTGGTTAAAATTTAGTTTAATGAAGACAAGAAAAAGACATTTACTCGCGTGTATCTCTGGTGTGTGCGTCCGTGCGTGTGGATGACAGAAGCGGTCACTAAAACGTCTGCGCTCGTGTGTGTGTATGTCTGCGCGCGTACAGTGGTGGTGTTTGCCGACACGCGCTCCTTCGTGCTGACGGACGAGGAGAGGGGCCAGACGCGAGACCCCCCCAGGGAGACTGTTACGGTGGCGGCAGTGGCGGCAGTGGCGACCGCGGTGATGCCCGCCGCTCCGACCAGCAACTCGCTGGCGCATCGTCTGGGCGCCACGCCGCCAGCCGTCATCGCGCCGCCACGGCTCATACGGAACCGGTAACGGCACGCCAAGGGCCAGAGGTCGCAAACGGGTTTTGATTCCTTACCCGTACCCGTACCCGGCCGCACCAGGGTCGCAAACGGGTACCTGTACCCTACCCGTACTCGGCCGGGTACGGGTAGGGTACAGGTATCGGGTACCCGATTGCGACCTCTGGGATGAAGCCATGTTGCAGGCACGGGTGGGTTGATTCTAGGAACTTGAATTGTGAGAAGAGACAAGACGTTGGGAAATTAGTGACAAACAGTTACTCACCAGTGACTCACGGTCTACCCGTACCCGGCCGCACCAGGGTCGCAAACGGGTACCCGTACCCGTACCCAGCTGGGTACGGGTATGGTACGGGTATCGGTTACCCGGTTGCGACCTCTGCCAAGGGCTCATCGGGGTCAGGCTCGCTCCAAAGGGAGGAGGCCAAACGGGCAGCGATGGGTGGCGCCCAATGAATGGACTTTAGTGTAACAGTTTTTAGATCCAATATGTCACTGCACTTCATAGAGTAAAGCCTCTGGAAGCCGGATAAGAGATAAATAAGGAACATTAACAACATAGCGCTGTTGGCATGTTAATTAATCTGCGTCCGGTAGTAGGCGGCGTACGCTCGTGCACTAGGAATTCTAATGAGATCTACATACCTATTCTTAGGTTTTTTCAGTAAAGTCACGTAGGTAAAAAATTAAAATTAATAAAATAAAAATAAAATTAAAATCACGACGTTTCGGAGGCAACACAAGCTTTTATTAATTTTAATTTTTTACCTACGTGACTTTACCGAAAAAACCTAAGAATATGAATCCTTGCAGTCACGAAAGCTTCAAATCTAGAATCTACATACCTGTTGTATGAAATCGGGTAAACCCGTGCACTTAGATGGAGCCTCTGCTCATGCGGTCTCTTCATCAGAAATACCTCCACGTGGGGCGCCGTCTCGTTATGCGCTTTTCAAAGTTGTTTGCCAATTAAATCTTTCCGGGGACAAACGCTTGTTGGAAAGCGTTACAGGGTCTCTGCATTCTCATGACATTTTCTTGTTTTCTGATTCGTATCAGTGCACAACCGCCCCACTCTAGCCCAGGGGTCCATGACCATTTTTATTATTCTGTAAACAAAAAAACTGGGTACTTGAGGAGCCGCAATATGCTTGTGAATAACGTCACGAAGCAGTCTTCAAATAGCCGCATGCGGCTCTGGAGCTGCAGGTTTGCCTACCCCTGCAGGAGCCATCGACGCTCACGCTCGTGCTTGCGCACGCACGCACGCGCCCTTTTTGCAGAAACCCCGAACCGCCGCGCCGGCCCGTGAGCCCCAAGTTCATCGTGACGCTGGACGGCGTCGCGACGCCTCCGGCGGGGGCGGCCTCATTTGCCGGCGACGCGGACGACGATGACGTGACGATGACCGCCGTGGCGTTGGCGGCGTCGGGTGCCGAGGTGGAGGAGATGGAGCCGTGCTACTCCGAGTTGGAGGCCATGGGCGGCGGCGTCGTCGACATGGAGGAGATGGAGCTGTCGGTGCCGCTCGGGAGGCCCCACGTGTTTGTGCAGGCGCAGGACGGCAAGCTGATGCAGATCCCCAAGCTCAAGCCCGTGGCCGTGTCGCTGGGAGAGTCGGATGGTAAGACCCGGGGGGTGGGAGGGCCGTCAGCCGATGGGGGTGGGCATCAGCTGATGGGGTGGGCGTCAGCTGATGAGGTGGGTGTCACTGATGGGGGTGAGCGTCAGCTGATGAGGTGGGCGTCACTGATGGGGTGGGCGTCACTGATGAGGTGGGCGTCAGCTGATGAGGTGGGCGTCACTGATGGGGTGGGCGTCAGCTGATGAGGTGGGCGTCACTGATGGGCTGGGCGTCAGCTGATGGGGTGGGCGTCAGCTGATGGGCGGCGCTGGGAGGAGCCCGCTTACAATGTGTTGTGGAGGAAGCGTCTTTCACTGAGCTGAAATTAAAATGTCTCTCACCCGTGTCTCCCCCACATGTCCTCTTGCCCCGTGGCTGTGTCTCCTCGTGTCTCCATCTCTCCCCCCTCTCTGCGTCTCCCCCCGCGTCTCGACGTTATCTACTCCCGACGTCTCCCCACGTCTCATCGTCTCCCCCCGTGCCTCCCTGCGTCTCCTCGCCTCTCCCTCCTCCCACCACCACCCCCCGCAAACCTCCGCATTTCCCCTCGGTTTCTCCTCCCCACGTGCGAACTCGGCACCCAGACGACTCGGACGAGGGCTACGTCCCCGAGGCGCAAGCGAAAGGGCGCGAGCGCTGCCGCTTCTGGCCCGGCTGCAGCAACGGGGAAGCGTGCCCCTTCCACCACCCGACGCAGTGTTGCAAGTAAGCGTTGCCGTCCCCCTCCCTCAGCCCTGCCCCCCACCTTACCCCCCTTTTCAAAAAGTCTTTCACGTGGAGAGATGGGTGGAGCTGAGAAGGCTTTTGCTTGGCCTTCGTGTGTGTGTGTATGCACGTGTGCGTTGAACTTCTTTAGCACCGTACGTACGTAGCCAACCGCGGTAATTGGAAGGTGCGGGGGGGAAGGACAAACACACTGAACACAAAAAGCAGTTCTAAAGAAATACGTTTTTTCAATCCAGGTTTATTAGTGCAAATCTCCGGTGACTTCCTAATATCGGATGGAAGAGTGTTCCAGACGGCCGCAGAAACGCTTCTGAGAGCGCGCGATGCGGCGGCCACCGTCTTTGTTCGACGGTTAGCCAAAAGCCGCTGCTGCTGCTGCCGCTGCTGCTGCGAGGATGACCGGAGTACGCTTGATGGTTTATTGCTCCTTGATGAGATAACGTGGCTATATAAGCAGAAGTGCGCTGTGAGCGAATCACCTTATAGGGCTGGCTTGGATGGTTGACCACCATGCACTAACTGGTACTCTGTGCTTTCAGCAGAGGGCAGTTTCGCAAAAATATTTTTCGCTGCACTGCGCTTCCAACGTCTGTGCTCGCCGCCTTTACCATCTCCGCGCTGACCAGCGTGGTGAAGTATGCTCACGTAATCCCCCCCCCCCCCCCCGGGACCTTCGTCCAGCAGTGGGTAGACAAAATTGCTGTACATGTGCACATTCAGCGGAGACGCGGATGCTGAGAAAGGAAGACAATTGGCAACTGGAGAGTGTTGGGAGGTGGTTGTGCCATTGGATGGGCCCCACGTTGGCGAGTTGCTCGCTACCTCGCCTGGTACACAGGAGGCCGTGGGTTCGATGCCGACCCTGACGCCTGCTGTATATTTGGAGGTTTGCATGTTCTCCCCGTGGTCGCGTGGATTTTTCTCCGGGTCATCCGTTTTTTCCCCTCCACATTTAGAAACTTACGTTTGGAGTATTTGTCAGGGGATGTGCGAGGTATTGAGGAATGAGTGACAGCGATAGAGGGGTACTTAGGGATAACGAAAAGGGTCGGGGAGGGATGGGAAGCAGTGGAGGGGTGAGGGGAGCGAAGAGGATGGATAATAGAGATGAGGTGAGACTTTAAGAGAGGAATGGGAGGAGGTTCAGAAGGTGAACTGCTTAATGTACAAGTGGAGGGTCCCTGTATATTTGGAGTTGCACGTTCTCCCGCTGGTCGTGTCTATATTTCTCCGAGTCCTCCGCTTCTCCCCTCCACATTTCGAATCAACGTGGTTTAGATTATTTGGTCACCATAAATTTCCACGCGATAAGCCACATCGTTGAGCTATCATATGTGGCCAGGTCGCTTCTGAAAATGGGCTTTGTAGCCCTGTAGGCCTCGCCCGGTAAAGTAACGATCTGTTAGACGCACAAATGCCTATTTGCCCGGAATATGAAACCCGCATTCAAAATGTTTGTTTCCACGTCTTGGTAATGCTCTTGTTTCCGCACACACAGGACGTTTCCCCAACTGCAAGTTCGGCGATCGGTGCCTTTACATCCACCCGGTGTGCCGCTTTGACGGCAAGTGCAGCAAGGTGGAGTGCCCCTTCACGCACACGGAGAAACGCCGCCCTGCGCAGCCTGCCAAGCCAGGTGAGCCGGGCTCGAGTGAGCACGCGGTGGTGTCGTGCGTACGCATGACTGTATGCAACAAAGGCGGCCGGGCGTGGTGTTTGTTGGCCACCCACCCCCTCGTATGCCGTGCCGGCCTTCATAGGTGCTCGCAAACGGCACTTTCCCCAAAAGTCTGTTCAGGCTATGCGGGGGTTCTTTGTTTTTGTGTGTGCGTAGTGGGGAGCGGCAGTGTAGCGTTTAGCGCGCTGCACTTTGAACTCGACGAGCCGAGTTAGATTCCCTCTCACGGCCGACATCAGCGACGATGATCTCAATCGGTCTTGGGCGTCCCCTAGGTCGACACAGTCTCAAACGAGTACCTAGTGCGATGTGTAAATATCGGCATTAGGAGAGACAAAGGCGGCCGGGCGTGGTGCTGGCCAACCCACCCCCTCGTGCGCCGTGTACGTGTGCAATGATGTTCAATGGTCACATTGGTGTCTGACCGTGGTGTTGCCCACACCATTCCCTCGTGCAGTGGGAGGTGAGTCTCTATCCTGTTGTGGATTGATCAAGGATTGGACAAATCTCATGTTATTGAGACACTACCCTTGTCAGTCTTTGCTCATTTCTGAAGCTTGCGCGTGCGCGCACACACATATAACTACGTAGTTTCTATCCTGTATATTGTGATTGATGTATTACATTTTAACTTATAGCACACGGGCCTATCCCATAACCTATTGGTGTGTCTTGACCAATCCACGTAGCTTAAAAAGTGTGTCCCCCACAGTACAGATACCGTGGTGACACTCGCCCAACTTGGCACTAAAATGACGGTTTGTTTTTAACTTAACACGTTGGTTTTCGCAGCCAGTATTATTTCACAGCCGCAACCTTGGCCAGATCATTACGTGGCCTCAAACATAAATTAATTATGAATGCGTCATTGTTGTCGTTGGATAAGGACCCGCGTCTGACCACGCACGTGTGTGCCTGTAAGCGTGTTCAATTGGGAGCGATTGTGTAGCGGTTAGCGTGCTTGCGCTACGAACCCGGCGACCCGAGTTCGATTCCTGCTCACGGCCATCACCAATGATGATTATCTCAAGCGGTCCTGGGCCTCCCCGAAGTTGACTCTGCCTCAAATGAGCACCTGGTGTGGTGTGTAAACATCGACACTGGGGAGACAAAGCTGGTCGGGCATGATGTTGGCCACCCACCCCTCGCATGCCGTGCCGGCCTTCGTCGGTTCTCGCGAACAGCACTTGCCCCAACAGCCTGTTAAGGCTATAACGGGGGATCTTTTGTCTTTGTTCGTTAGTGGCAGCCCCGGTCGTCTCTTCTTCCGCTCAATGCCGCTTCTTCCCCGAGTGCAAGAACCTGGAATGTCCCTTCGAGCACCCAAAGGTAACAACTTCTTTAACCCGCTGCTAATGTTCATTTCTTTTCAAGCGTTTTGTCCTCAGGGGTTAAGAGATATTGTTTCGTGAGATGTCTTCTTCCTTTGGTCATCCCCCCAATAGAGGGGGGTGGTGTCCTAATCACGACAAGAATTCCGAAGGAATGTCTCTGTTCAGGAGCGACCGCTGGAAAATAATAAATGGGAACAAAAAGCCAAAGAATAACATGGCATGTGACCGGATGGCTCGGGAGATGAAGAGCGCTCTCAAAAGGCAAATCATGTGGCGTTAAATTTGGCGCTGCACTTAATTTGACTGAAATTGGCCTCCTTGAGAATTACAAATATTTATTTGGCTATCGCGTGGCAAACATTACGGTGTCGGTAGGGTGGATAGGAATGAGCTTGCGCCCCCAGCTGTGTGGACCGAAGGTCACTTGCGGTGATATCAGAGGTGGCTCTGTGATGTCCGCTTCCGTGGGCCAGTTGTCTAACATTGAGGTTTGCACTGCTGTGCGTGAGATCTGAATGGATTCTTCACCCGAATGACTTTATGGACACCGGTCGTGTAGATTGGATAACATTGGTAAAAGATTGTTTGCATTACTAGGAAATAAGTTGTTTGCAACTCTGTATTGTTCACAATCGCATGTTTTCCCTTGATACTTTTTAGGATTAGTGTATTCAGGCAGTCATATTACCTCTTAATTTATATTGTTTCAAGGTGAATTGATGTTAAAAAAACTCAACACATTCCTCAATAGCATTTGCTTAAGCACTGTGAAGAAGACTCATTGCCCAAAACGTCAATATTTTGGTCTTCTCTTGAAGTCCGCAACGTTTTTGACGAACGCGAGTTTCTTTATCAACGAAAGTAAAAATTGTCAACGAATTTTCGTGTTTTTGTCCCCCCCCCCACCTCCGCGCCGCGTTTGCAGCCGTGCCGCTATGGGGTTCGCTGCAAGCGGACCGGCTGCGTCTTCTACCACCCCTCGCCGCCCTCTCTGCCTCCCCGGCAGGCGCTCAAGTGGACCAAACCCCAGGAGGTCAAGGTGAGAAACATCTGTGTACCTGTGTGTGTGTTCTCGCTGAAAGCTCTGACCCTAACAGCCTATGTAGCCTCTACCAGCGATGTTTGTGTTTGTGTGTACTTGTGTGCGGTAGTGCGGTGGTTAGTGCGCTATGCTACGAACCCGTTAAACCAGGGGTGTCCAAACTTTTTGCAAAGAGGGCCACATTTGATAAAGTGAAGATGCCCGGGGGCCAATAGTTCCTTTTGACATTGTTTTAACCACAAAAGTTACGTGGAAATACACACTGTTATAAAAAAAATTCATTGTCACAATTACCTTTATTTTTCAAATGACAATGTAACAAAATATAAGCCACTCAGGCAGACGGGAACAACTCTAAAAGCGCAATTCTGCCTTTCATTCAGTCAGATAACATTGAACAAACTGTATAGAATACCTTAAATTTCCATGAGTTTTATGATGTATTTATTCTGACAGAGCTGGCGAGCCGTAAATAACACACCGTAATTGCCCCGCGGGCCGGACTTTGGACATGCCCGCGTTAAACAGAGTTGAATTTCCGCTCACGTCCAACATCATTGACGATTTTCTGAATCGGTTCCTGGGCCTTCCTTCGGTTGACTCGGCCTCAAATGAGTACCTGGTGCGATGTGTTAAACATCATCACTCGGGAGACAAAGGCGACCGGGCGTGGTGCTGGCCACCCACCCCCTCGTGTACCGTGCCAGCCTTCATAGGTGCTCGCTAACAGAACTTGCCCCAAAATCCGTGAGAGGCTTCACAGGGTAGAGGTTTTTTTTTGGTTGCGAAAGCCTACGTGTTAAGCTTCACAGGTTGTACATCACTGATGGTCTTTTAACGATTGGAATTGTAGACTCTAATCTTTTTTTAATGTTTTTTTTTTCTTGCAGTGAGGATTCTTTATGTTGAAGAGAGGAATATACGCAAGACTTGCCCCGTCTGGCAACCTTTAATCAACACACACAAACATTTAGAAACTCATTGACACTTCACCACGAGACTGGGTGAAATCCTGTGATGGGTTATGTCTTGCCGCCGATTGTGAGCTGGAAACGTATGACAAAGTCACGATTGTAAAAATAAATACAATTTTAAATAAAAAAATATTCGAAAATATTATTTTTTACCCTTAATGCGTCAGATCTCAGAGTTGAGATGTTTAATTGTTCCATGGGAAATCCCGTTCAGCCAGTTAACCCAGCTAGTTTTCTCGGGAGATCCATGCTGCATCGGCACGAAACAACATCAATGTGATCCGTACGCAGGAACAGGCAACATCGGAACAGAATGCTTCGGGAGGTGCAGGGAAAATAAAATCCATCAAGAACCAAAAAATAACAACATTAATATAACCATGCATATTGCACCAAAATTTAAGACGAAGTGACTAATGGTTAGAGAGGCGATAATCGCAAGGCGCAACGAACACAACCGAGGGGATTAAACAGCCAGTCAATCCTGAGAACGCAAAAAGTAGCAGCAAGCTGGTCAGGTACGGGTGGAGCTGATCTTGCTGCTGCGCTTTCTGAGCTCGGAATGATTTGTCAACGGTGGACGGATCGAGAGGTAGCAGAGGGAGCCCGATCCGAAGTTTGAGAGGCGCATGGGCGTTCCGGTAACGTGGGGCAGCAACGTGGAAGGACGTGTCGCCCAACCTCACTTTTAACAGCTGGTATTTTTAGTAGAAACGGGGGGGGGGGGGGGTGGGGGGTGGGGAGGCACTGCTGAGGTTGCAGCTGGGAATTTGTGGAGCTAGGAGGTCCTTTTTAGATGTTTGGCAGGTTTATTTCGAAATGACTTTTAAGGATGAAGACGGCCCAGTGGTGATCTCGCATTCGGATGTCCAGGGGGGGACTAATTTGAGGTAATATAGAGGTTGTAATGCTCTTTTCTAAAACGGGCATCAAGGGCAAAGCGGACGGCTGAGTGGTAAAATGGAACAATCCGTTTTAGATTGGTTTCGGAGGCTAGGCGGTTGATAATATCGCAATGGTCAAAGATGGGGTGGATGGCACCTTTATATCAAGACAGCCGAGGAGCCCAGATGGGTGACCGTCGTTGACACTAAGCAGGTTCCCATAGGGCTACGTGGCGAACGGCAGAGAATGGTGCAATCGAAATCAATTGTACCGTATTATTATACGACCACGTCTATGTTCCACACATTTACCAACGCACCACAGACCAACGTGAAGTACGGTCAAACAACCCTCACCGGCCCGCATGGCGTGAGGAGGCCCTGATCCAGCGGTGAATTGTACACGTGCCGAAAAGGCCAGTGGTATATCGCCCCTAGCCATCGCATTCAACCCAAATGTGATCCAACACACTAGTGGCCATTGCTACAGTCATTGCCCCTCTCACTAATGCATACTGTGCTCGCACGAAGTCGCGCACCGCTCTTCACCAGTGCACACGTGTGGACACGTGCACATGGCCCACACGGACCAACCAACGACAGCGGCTTACACTTGTGAATGCCGTTGTGTGCCGTCGAAGCCATTATATTTGTGAAGAACCACCTTGTTGTTTATTTTACACGCGTCTTCGGGATGTTGCCGTGGTGTGATGGTGAGCACACTGGGCCTTGCGATACAGAGGCCGCTGGTTGTGATCTCCGGGCGCGACAGTTGAAAACAATCGTGGAGTTTTATTTTAAACAAAAAAAAAACCTGGCCTTAATCCGCTCGGCAGTATAAATGTGTCCATCACAGTAAATCTCGGTAGGTTGTGTGCAGTGGGTTTAAAATGTGGGCATCTTCAATACATCTGGTCAGCGTGGAAGAGTAGGCCAGAGACCCTCTCGAACGTCTGCTAACGGAGGCAGCAGTGATGTAAAGGTGTAATGCTGCACACCTGTTGGCCTCGCTTAAGGTTGGTTCGCACTCGCGTAACTCGTATCGTCGATGGGTTTGCTCGCGAATGGCTTGTTTTGTTCATCCCTCGTTTTTAAATTGAACCCCCCCCCCCCCCCCCTTCAGCAATTTCCCTCCCTCTCACCAGAGGTCGCAACCGGGTACCCGATACCCGTACCCTACCCGATACCCGGCTACGCGTACCCGGTCGGGTACGGGTACCCGTTTGCAACCCTGGTGCGGCCGGGTACGGGTAAGGAATCAAAACCCGTTTGCGACCTCTGCCTCTCACATATGAACTCTGCTGCTGCCGTTCACACTTGAGCAATTGGGCGATGAGACTTTTACGGAAAATGCACCGTAATCCGTAAAGTGCGTCCGGCCACTTCTTCCGCCTGTCGTTTCGGAGTAGAACGTGACTGCGTTCTCTCCCTTTTTTTTTTTTAAATCGCGTGGGTCATAAAAACATCGGTCATCGTTTCCTTCTCATCGCACAAGGCTATTCGTAAAGCTACTCCGTTTTCCCAGCCAGGTTTAGTCTGCCAGGCGCGGTATGGGGGCGAAGTTTGCTTTGTGGTTTTACCTAATTGTCAAAATAAGCGGTTGTCCAAAACCAACTAATGCCTAAAGTTGGCAATGTGCAAATGATACGCAGCAAAGGGAGTGTGTATCATCACCGGCTGCTTGAGTGGGTAGAACGAGCGTCTCATAATAGGTCGGGGCTGTCAGTTGTTGGATGCAGAAACATTACTATGAAGCTGGCAACAGATTAAATCTTTGCCACCGTTCATCGTTACGAAACCTGTGCGGTCCGGCGGGTGAGTCCATCGCTCAACAAGTCGCATGAGTATGCAACCAGCCTTCACAGGTGGTTACGTCCGAAGCAAAGTGTTTGGGAAGGGAGTTTTTTTTCTCCTTGACTCTTAGCCTTCGGTGATGTCTCGGACCCCCACCTGCATTTGTGTTCGCGGTTTTGTCTTCTTGCAGTAGAATCGCTGAACTTCGCGTGAACGTCACGAGCAAAACAAGAAAAATCAGCGACGACTCTTTTTACTGTTCATTTATTTTATTGTAACTTTTTTTACATTAGGGGAAGCAGCACTGTGTTGAAATTAACATGGGTCGCATGCAAGAGATGGAGATAACGCTCCTAAAATGCCGAATAATGTCACGGGAGGCCACGTCGGGAGAGACCGCTGTTGATTTCCGTTTGTAGATTTGACGTCTGTACATGGCTCTTCACTACCTTTGTCATCGTGCTTTGAAATTCGTTTTCAACAACATTCAAGGCAGTTTGACGGCCCAATAAACTTCCTAAAAGCTTGTTGTGTTTATGAGGATTGTGCGGTCTGTCGATAATGTTGTTGAGTGGGGGCGAGTAGAATGTTTTACTGGTAGGAACCTCTTGGTTACACCAGCCCACAGGGGATTATTGTGTCCGTCCGTCGTGCATCCAAAAATGGGAGGGGTGGGGCTGGGTGGAGAGGGTGGGGATGGGCTGGATAAGGAGGGGCTGGGTGGGGTGGGGAGGGGCTGGGTGGAGAGGGTGGGGCTGGGTGGGGGGTGGGCTGGGTGGGGAGGGTGGGGCTGAGTGGGGGGTGGGGCTGGGTGGGGAGGGTGGGAGGGGTGGGGCTGGGTGGGGAGGGGCTGGTCACCCCGTGGTGCCCTTATAAAACTCAACGTTTAACCTACTCACGCCGGCTTGTGCCCGCCCTCACAGTCGGGCATATTTGCGGAATACACCACGCCGCCGTTGACCCTGCAGGCCATTGACCGAACAACCCGACGTTCCTACCAGCTCCCTCCGCAGGACAATGTGTTACATTCACTTGTTGATGTTGCTGGGTGGCTCCGTATAGCTAAGAACATCTTCCAATACAGGTGTAGCGATATTCTTTGGGTCTTTCGGTAAAGTCACGTCGGTGCCATGAAAAAGGGCCGTTGCTTTAAACGTCACTCGAAAGGCCACGGTTTGATTTCATTACAAATGAAGTTGGATTTATAAAGCGCGTGGTGGGGGGGGGTGGAGTCACTTCTTAACCAATCACCTTCTTTGTTGCCAATTATGGGCGGGCCAAGATGTAAATTTATCAACCAATCGCTACGAACCTTTGGCTGGGGAACAGCCAATCAGCGCCTTCCCCGTCGATTTCTGGTGGGGCGGCGGCGGGGGGGGGGGCCGCTCAAGCCTCGACCAATTGCGCTCGTTGGATAGCGGGTGAAGGAGGCGGGATTTCGACGGAAAATAGGGGGGGGGCATTAAAGGGGCGGAGTTAAGTGTTTAACCAATCACGAGGCGTTTAGGGATCGTGGTGGTGGTGGGGGGGGGGTGGCGATTCGCTCTTCGGCAAGGCCATTGGTTTAAAAGTTGGGCGTGGCCAATGTATCGACCAATCACAGCCTTCGGTTTGGTCGCGGGGCGTGGTTAACAGGAGACGAGGCAATGAACTGTGAAGGAAGGGCCGTTGCTCGAAACGTTGCTTTTGATCTGCTTTTACTATTCGGGGTTATTGGCGAATGAGTTGTTATGTATTAAATGTGCTTGTGGCACCACTGTCTGTGGGGTTTATGTAGAAATACCATGTTTCATTCACATTATTGTTGGGTTTGTATTGCTAAACATGGCGAATAGTATAGTGCTTCACGATTCATATGCCAATACAAATAAAATGTTCATCGGAAAGTTTTGCATAAATTATATAATTATCATCCACCAAGGCAGCGGTCGGGAACCTATGGCTCGCGAGCCATATATGGCTCTTCCGGTGACGGCATATGGCTCCCAGACAATTTTGAGTTGAAAAAAAAATCAGTTTGGAACTGATTTTAAAAAACTTATAATATTGCTTAATAATACTGTGTCATTTTAAAGTAAACAGAAATTAGTTTTGAAGATAAATTGCACGGGTCACGGGTCCCGTGACCAGAAGTCGCATTAAAAGTAAGACATATTTAATTTATTATACGTTACAAATACTATATGGCTCTCAATGAAATATATTTAGAAATATTTGGCTTTTATGGCTCTCCCAGTCAAAAAGGTTCCCGACTCCTGCACCAAAGGAGTAATCAAGTGCAAGGCTGGGGGGGAGGGGTGGGTGGGCGTTTACTCCCCAACATCCTTAATAACCAATCGCGGCCCCGCTCCGCGTTTGGGGGGGGGGGGAAGTTGGATGAGTGGGCGTGTTTACCTTCCCCCCCACCCTCCCCCGACATTCTCAACCAATCGTGGCCCTGATTGGCGTTCGGTGGGGGGGGGATGCATGAGTGGGCGTGTTTACACCTCTCCCCCCCCCCCAGCATCCTCAACCAATCACGACTTCGCTCGGCGTTCGGTGGGGGGGGGGATGCATGAGTGGGCGTTGTCTTCCGCCCCCACCCCTCCCCCCCAACATTTTCAACCAATCACGGCTCCGCTCGGTTGTTCGGGGGCGGGGGAGATCTGCATGAGTGGGCGTTGTCTTCCGCCCCCACCCCTCCCCTCCAACATCTTCAACCAATCACAGCTTCGCTCGGCGTTCAGGGGCGGGGGAGATCTGCATGAGTGGGCGTTGTCTTCCGCCCCCACCCCTCCCCTCCAACATTTTCAACCAATCACGGCTTCGCTCGGTGTTCGGGGGCGGGGGGGGCGTTGCATGAGTGGGCGTTGTCTTCCGCCCTCACTCCTCCCCTCCAACATTTTCAACCAATCACGGCTTCGCTCGGCGTTCGGGGACGGGGGGGGTGCGTTGCATGAGTGGGCGTGTCTACCCCCACCCCTCCCCCCCAACATCTTCAACCAATCACGGCTTCGCTCGGTGTTCGAGGGCGGGGGAGATGTGCATGAGTGGGCGTTGTCTTCCGCCCCCACCCCTCCCCTCCAACATTTTCAACCAATCACGGCTTCGCTCGGTGTTCGGGGGCGGGGGGGATGTGCATGAGTGGGCGTTGTCTTCCGCCCCCACCCCCCCCCCCAACATCTTCAACCAATCACGGCTTCGCTCGGCGTTCGGGGGCGGGGGAAATGTGCATGAGTGGGCGTTGTCTTCCCCCCCACCCCTCCCCTCCAACATCTTCAACCAATCACGGCTTCGCTCGGCGTTCGGGGGCGGGGAGGGATGTGCATGAGTGGGCGTGTCTACCCCCACCCCTCCCGCCCCCCCCCCCAACCAACCAATCGCTGCGTCGCTCCCGGGCGTCTCGGCTATCTTCGTCAATTTCCGTCAATTTCCGGCGGCGGCTCCCAGAGTTCCGCGCGCTCTTTGAAAAAGAGCGGTGCGTCCGGAGCAACATGGCGGCGGCGGCCGCCGAACATCTTCTGGACGAGAGTGAGTGGAGCTCACCACCCTCCTCACCACCCTCCTCACCACCCTCACCACTCACCACCACCCTCACCACTACCCTCACCACCACCCTCACCACCACCCTCACCACCACCCTCACCACCCTCGCGCTCACGAGTTAGTAGCGCCCCCCCCCCCCCCACTCCTTTTGAGGCGCTTCTCACCACCGCCTCGCAACGTTTCGTCGTCGGCACCGTCGTCTTGACGGAGAGGATGGGGAGCTGGGGGGAAGGTGGGTGTGGAGACCTTCATCTAGCAGTGGATTGACCAAGGCTCATGGTGTATGTTGATGAGTGGGGGTTGTGAGGCGAGGCGTCAGCGTCGCCCCCTTTAGGCCTTTGCGGTCACGTCCGCCCCCCACCCCCCCATCGCTTTCAGCCCTGGGCAACTCATTTTTTGTATTTGTTTTAGTAAAACGAATCGGCGTGGAGTCAAACCGACTGCGATGAGGTATATGGGGTGCGCTTGCCAAGGGCTGCTTTGCTGCGCAAGAGTTTTGAGGTTCCCTGTAAATGGGCGAAATAAATTTCTTAAAAGTCACTCTGAGGCGTGACGTCACGGCCCGAAGGTTTTTTTAATTTCGCGTTGCGTTATATGATGATTTTTTAAAATCTGCCTTGGTTGGGGTTTTTTCCTTCTTATTCTTCTTCTTCTTCCTCGCGAAGTAAGAATTCTCGCTCGCGTGCGACGGCCTTGTGTACATATACAACACCCCTCCCCTGTTTTGTTTTTAAATCCTTTATATTAAGTTCACTTGCTTGCTTGCTTAGGACCGTGCAAATCTTTCGGTCGTTTTTAACCCACTTCCCGTGATCCAATCGAGCTGACATTTTGCACACAGACTCGTTGTGCGTGACAATGTATTTTCGTGAAATTTTTTTTCCAAAATGTTACACTTTTTAGGAATTATGTTTTTTAAATATTTAATTACCAATTGCTTAATGGTGGCAGGCAATCATCTGACCCATAGGTGGCAGCCATCTCAAGCCAGAGAACGAGAGGACCCTAGCCGCCACGCATATAAAGGATTTATAGTGAAAAACTTTGTTTTTACGGGTTAATTTTTTGTCAATCCCCACCACTGGATGATGGCCTCGCCACGCGGTGACGGGCAAGGTGTTGGTGTCTCTCGACTTTAACTTCACGAGGTCGATCTGTAGGGTCGGGTGAAGACGGTTAAGCGTCGAGATATGGTCAATGTGCAGCCCTGCAACTGATTGCTCACGCCACACTGCTAGTGGAAGGGCCTCCGATAGAGGGAGCTCTGGGGAGCCATTCTAGAGGTTGTTTCCAACAACAGTGTTTTACTGCGCTACCAATTGATGGTCATCTATGTTTCCCCCACAGCCTGTAATAATCTCTCGCATGCACGGCGATCACCCATCAGAGCAGCGGTCGGGAACCTATGGCTCGCGAGCCATATATGGCTCTTCCAGTGACGGCTCCCAGACAATTTTGAGTTGAAAAAAATAATAATAATTAAAAAAATCAGTTTGGAACTGATTTTAAAATACTTGTGATATTGTTTAATACTACGGTGTCATTTTAAAGTAAACAGAAATTAGTTTTGAAGATTAATTTCACGGGTCACGCCTGCATGAAGCTCAACCTCACCACGTATGAACCAGACAAGGCCATCAGCAAAACCATGCAGCACCAGAAGTCGCATTAAAAGTAAGACATATTTATTTATTATACGTTAAAAATACTATATGGCTCTCAATGAAATATATTTAGAAATATTTGGCTTTTATGGCTCTCCCAGTCAAAAAGGTTCCCGACCCCTGCATCAGAGCAACCCTGCTGAGCTGATATCTTGATATCTTGAAGTCGGACGCGTTCCGCGTGATTTAGTCATAGGCGCCTACAAGTTTATAGCTCGTTTTCTAGGTTACTCATGACCTGGCCGCCTGCAGCTCCGTGTCCCTGAGCCCCTAAACTCTTGAACCTAAACCGCATCTGCTCCTCACTGCCCTCCGACTTGCACGCTCACCCTCCTCCCCCCCCCTCACCAGTGACGTACGACCGAGGTTCACTCACCACCCCCTCGGCAGCTGCGAAGCCAGGGGTCACTCTCATCCCGGGCACGGCACCCGTGAGTCAATCTCCTTGAGTTTCCAACCTCCCAGTGCTCTTCTTAGTTGACCGGTTCTTGAGTCTGGAGGGAGGGGGGGAGTCACTGGGTACGTGCCTGGAAAGGGACAACCCATATCCCCTCCGGTGCGATTCATAATCCTCATCAGTATCATGTTGTATTGGTGTCGCTCTTATGCGGTGTAGGCCACTGTGAGACCTACGGTCTTGATGTCTGCATGTTCGGCTGAGAGCTCGGTGGTGGTTGGGGCTCAATTTTCGCATGGCCCGTAACTTCATGTCACACAATCTGCCACTTAATATCATGCGGCCAATGGCATTATTTCATCTGTGGCGCCCGTGACTTCATATCATTCGTCCCACGGTACTGGAGGGGAATTATTTTCATTGTGTGTGTAATTGTGTCTTGCTCAGTCACATATGAAGGTGAGGCCTAATTATTTGCAGCATTGGATCACAGTGTGTGTAAACAGCCGAAAGTATTTCTCCTGTTTGGCCCTCAGTAATTAAATTACAGCAATGAAACCCCACCTCTGGCTCGGAGTAATTTCCTAAACCTGTTACAGTAGTAACAGAAATGTCACTTTAAGACTGATAAATATTATCACCTTGCGGAAGTCGAAACGACTTGCTTATTGAATAAAATGCTGATGTGCTCTGAATTTCATGAATGTTTCTAACTGCCCTGTATGTATTTATTAATTATCCTACTATACATTCACATATTCATATTTAAGTACTATAGTAGCTAACGTGAATCCTAACTCTTGCGTTTGATTCCTGACTACGGCTAACATCAGTGACATCTGAACTGCTGCTGGATTTCCCCTTCATCCCATAACGTGGGGGAGGCCCTCATACAGCAGTGGATTGGCAAAGGGTTATACAATTATTTTAGTAACTGGCAGTGGGGTTTGCTTACTCTTGGGGTTAGTGTCACTGCAGGAGGCAGATTACTTTGTTAATTCGTGATGTAGCTCATAAGGGTGTTGCACGAGACGTAAGCAACTTTGAATTTTACACTGACCCTCCCGTTTGAGTGAAACCAATCAACTTCCGGATCAAAATATTTGAGGGCCCAGATTCATACATTTTGGTTTTTGGGCATCTATCTGTTCCACATTCTCAGCTTTATAGCTCTTGTAGAACATCATATACGATTTTCATTTTTCACTTGCGGCATGGGCAGCCGTGCGTATTAAATGCAATTTATTTTTAAAATATCAACCATGTTGGACAAGGGTTATTGCCCAGATTATTATCCTGCCTTATACTCTTCTACTGTAAAAATGTCAATGACAGATGTGATGAATTTTTTATAATTTGTATCTGGCACTGCTGTTAAAAGCACCCGGTGCATGATTTATACATTTGAATTACATTTATAATTTAGATGTATGAATCGTATCTCTCCAAATACCAATAAGGGCTTGGTAACAGGATTCTTATTGACGAGCAGAGGTGTAAGACATTTTACTATTGGTATCGTTAACGCTGCCGTTCCACAGATGTGGTGTTTTTTAATGCTGTGGTAGGCCAAGGCGTTTTATAACTTGACCTTTAGCACACAGAGTATTTCAGGGAGAAGCATAATACAGGTGAAAGGCAGGGGTAGTATTTAAATAGTGAAAACGGTTTACAGACCCATGTGGGTTCTACATGTACACGGTAAATAGGATGAAAGCAAAATGAGTCGCGTTCGTGTACAGCTCATTTTGTTATTCTACTGTTGGATGAGGGCCTCTCCACGCTCTGCGGGTCATGAGTGTTATTTGATCATACTTCACTTTGCTGGTCAGTGCGGGTATGGATGTAGGTTGAACTTCTTTCGCACCGTACGTAGCCCACCGTGCTAATCCGCCACGCTGGTCAGTGCGGGTTAGTATGTTAAGCTTCTTTCGCACCGTACGTAGCCCACCGTGCTAATCCGCCACGCTGGTCAGTGCGGGTTTGTATGTTAAGCTTCTTTCGCACCGTACGTAGCCAACCGTGCTAATCCGCCACGCTGGTCAGTGCGGGTTTGTATGTTAAGCTTCTTTTTGTATGGTTAAGCTTCTTCGCACCGTACGTAGCCCACCGTGCTAATCCGCCACGCTGGTCAGTGCGGGTTGTATGTTAAGCTTCTTTCGCACCGTACGTAGCCAACCGTGCTAATCCGCCACGCTGGTCAGTGCGGGTTTGTATGTTAAGCTTCTTTCGCACCGTACGTAGCCAACCGTGGTAATCTACTATGCTGGTCAGTGCGGGTATGTATGTTGATATTACGAATTTGTAAATTTGCAGACATTTGAAAAGATTTGATTCCGAAGCGCTTGATTCACATGTCCGTATGAAAAGCATACCATTCTATTTAAATCTATGAAATTATCACTAATTGTTATTTTCCTTGAGCATACTACTAAACGTTTCTTTCTCAAAGCAGTGTTTTTTTGCAGCCCACATTATCTTGTAAGGTGGCAAATTCTGTGTACTCAGACTACCACAGTTAAAAAGTGGTCGCTGTGCACACGTGTAATCCAGCACTGTGGAGGCAGCGAGGGTTGGCGGAGCACACACGGATGTTGTGAAACTCTCAGTGGGCGTCGAGGAGACGCCGGTACAGTAAAACGTGTACGAATCTTCATGTGTGATGGGATAGTGTTTCCCCCTCGCATGTGCTTTTTTTTCCGGGTGCGCTGCTTCCCTTCCAACGCATAACAAACATGAATTGGCTGAATACAAATTTAATATATAGAGAATCGCAGAGCGTGGGCAATTGATGGCACCAGCTCACTGCTTGGCTGCCTTCTTGCTTGTCTGTGGTTCCTCCTCGTGCTGCAGGCTCATTCTGCAGCATGTTACAAGTATAAATTATTATATTCTTGCAGCGGTTGTGTTTTCGGATTGTGCTGCCATCACATGGAGTGAAACGTCAGGCACGGAAACAGCACGTGGTACAACCCGAAAAATACACCGGAGAGGAATTGTTAATCAAATATCAGAACCAGAAAAAGTTATTTCTAATCCTCGTAAATTATATATTCGCTCAGTGCTGCAGGGGGTGTGTACGATGTTCACAGTAGGAAGCAGCTGCCTCGGTTCCTCGTGATGGCAGTAAAGCGTAAACATGTGTCATGGTAATGGAGAAATGCGCGTGGTTCTTCTTGTTTCAGGCTCTTCGGCTGAAGCATTGGTTAGCCTGAAAGGTAAGACGCACGCTCAACCTGACGGCTCTCGCCACGCGGGCAAAACAAAATAAGAAACGCCCCTCCCAAGATAATGATAACATGTAAGAGATGAATGGTGCACTGCTCAGATTTTTGTTTTGTTGTGGTTCACTGAGCACAAACCAGTGGACCTGATCTGGGCATCTGTGGAATCTGTGCCGTCTTGTCTGGAGTGTGTCATGTGTGTGTTTGTGCCCCGGGTAGGTGGGGAGTGTTCGCGGTTAGCACACTGCATTACGAACCCGGCGACCCGAGTTCGATTCCCGCTCACGGCAAACACCAATGACGATTATCTGAACCGGTTCTGGGGCTCCTCCCCTAGGTCGACTCAGCCTCAAATGAGTACCTGGCGCAGTGTGTAAGCATTGCCACGAGGGAGACAAAGGCCACCCACCCCCTCGTGTGCTATGCTGGCCTTCATAGGTGCTTGCTAACAGCACTTGCCCCAAAAGTCTGTTAAAGGCTACATAGGCAGATCTTTGTGTGTTTGTGCTGCATGTAATAAGTGACATGTGACTGACAATGGGGATAGTGTTGTCTTGAGCGTGTGTGTGCTTGTGGATTTGTACAATACAATGTGTACTTTAAGAGCATCTAAATTTGACTGCTGTCTAAAGATGCTGTACAGGAAAGGTGTTCATATCTATTTAATGGAGAAGAAAAACTTCGCCAGTCATAAAACTGGACTTGAAAAACCCGTGCAGGATTTCAACAGCACAGATGGTTGTGGGAAGGGAGAGTTAGTTCCTGCACATGTTGTTTGTCGAATTGTCTTGTCAGGATTTGAGTACCGGTCAGTTTGGTGGTTTGAGTGGGGGTTGTGGAATTGAGTGGTTTATGGAAGAAACGTGTGGGTTTGGTTTTGTCGAATATTACCGAGAGCTTCTGCCGTGTCATTCCTCTATCCCTTAAGTTTGTGGAATGAGCTGTTGCTTTGCATTTGTGGAGTGTTTGCTCGTGACTGGATTATTGGAAGTCAGTGGCTGTGTTACATGTTTGGAGTGGCTTTGGATTTGTGAAAAGTGCGGTTGTGGCTCTGTGGATGTGTCACTGCGTTTGTTAAGTGTGCAGCTGCAGGGGTGTGGAGTGTTTGTGGCGGGGTGTGTTTTTTGGTTAGTGTCTGCACGTATGCGTTGGAGTGTTTTTGTGTATGAATATACTTAGAGCTTGTGTCTACAAGTTCTAAAAAAACACATGTAAATGATATGATTATGCTACGTTTATGTGAATGAGGGAATGCTTCTTCATGAACAAAATAAATGAGAAACGATACAAATCAGACAGTAGAAGGAAGCAAATTTGTTTTACATTTGTGTGTGTGGGAGCGGTAGTGTCGTGGTTATCGCGACTGCGTGACGAATCCGGTAGTTTAATTCTTGACCACGACTACCATCGGTGGTATTTATCTGGCTAGGTCCTAACCGAACCGTAAACTATTTTTATATATACCAGGGAAGGCCCAATGAGCTACGTAGCTCTTTTTCAGAAGCGACCTGACCACAAATGATAGCTCAACGAAGTGGCTTGTCACGTGGAAATGTAAAGCAGCAGCCATATCCTCTAAAATCATCTTGATTCAAAATGTGGCGGGAAAAACCGGGGGGCATGGAGAAAAATCCACACAGGTGTCAGGGTCGAGATGGAATCCACGACTTCCTGTATACCAGTCGAGAGAGTTAACATCTCGCCATCGCGGCACCCTGGGCCTCCCTTAAGTTGGTTTGGCCTTAATTTATAATTACCCAGTGCGGTGTATTAACATCGGTTCTGGGGAGGTAAAGCTGTCTGTGCCTGGTGCTGGCTACCCTACCCAACTCGTGCACCATGCCATCCTTCATAGGTGTTTTTAACAGCACTTGCTCTAACAAGCTGTGTAGGCTAAAGGAGGATCTTTGCCTTATGTAGATGTATGTGTGCACATGTATTTGCGTATGTGTAAGTTGACACAGTGGGGCAGAACAGGTGGTGCATCTGCCAGTCATCTCACAAGGCAAGTTGGTTAACCCATAAGACTTGGCCCTGTCCAGTGACCTGTCAGATGAAAGCTTGCGAGTTTTCACGTGGCCTCAAAGTGCACCTAGCCTGGCACAAGCACAGGTGACGTCACCATCATCTTGTGGCGATTCGCGGCAGCAGTTGTGTCTTTATATATAGTTTTTCTTGTGGTGTTTTTGTTATGTATTTGTGTTTGCACAGAGGGTGGTCTATCAAGCCCATGGAGCCGTCGAACTCCCCCCCGCAAGGGCCCCGCGCAGCGAGACAGCGTGAGTCGTCCCACTTTCAAACAACATGAACACGACATTCGTGCAATGCTGAATAACCGGTGAACTTTCACGGTTACGAGTCCCTCTGTGTTGGCTTCGCTTGCAATGCAGGTGAATGGTTCGAATTCCGCTCACGGAAAACACCGGTGACGATTATCTGAACCGGTCCTGGGCCTCCCTTAGGCCGACTCAGCCTCAAATGAGTACCCGTTGCGATGTGTAAACATCGCCACAGGGGAGACAAAGGCGGCCGGGCGTGGTGTTGGCCAACCACCCCCTCATGTGCCAGCCTTCATAGGTACGGCTCGCTAACAGCACTTGCAGCAACAGGCTATACGGGGAGGATCTCTGCGTAACATACGGGGAGCGGTAGTGTTGTAGTGGTTAGCCCATTATGCTACTAACCCAACGACACGAGTTCGATTCCCGACTCGTCCTTAAATAAGAACCAGGTGTAGAGTTTATAAAGATTAACCGTAATAGGTGCTCGCTAGTTCGCAAGTACCTATTATGGAAAACAACACTTGCCCCAAATGGTGTTCAAGTCCACACGGGGGGGTCTTTGTGTGTGTGTGTGTGCGGGTAGCCCTCCAAGGTACGCAAGAAGACGCGACTGCACTTCAGCGAAGATGAGGATTTCCTCCCGAGCACAAAGTCTCCGCGGAAGAACGCGCGCGTTGTCATGATCCCACAGGTGAGGGCTCCCTCCCTTCCTCCCTGCCTCCCTCCTTTTTCAGAAGCGACCTGGCCACAAATGATAGCTCAACGATGTGGCTTATCACGTGGAAATTTATGGTGACCAAATAATCTAAACCACGTTGATTCTAAATGTGGAGGGAAAAAGCGGAGGACTCGGAGAAATATAGACACGACAAAAGGGAGAACATGCAACTCCAAATATACAGGGACCCTTCACTTGTATATTTAGCAGTTCACCTCCTGAACCTCACTTCATCTCTCTTATCCATCCTCTTCGCTCCCCTCACCCCTCCCCTGCTTCCCGTCCCTCCCCCTACCCTCTTCGTTATCCCTAAGTACCCCTCTATCGCTGTCACTCATTCCTCAATACCTTGCACATCCCCTGTCAGCTGCATCGTTCCATTCTGTCATCTCTTTTGGTGTTGGCCCTCTACAAATATAAATCAGTTTAGATCACCACGCGAATCTTGTTGTGAAATCTCCCTTTCCGTGGGCGAGTGAACTGATGGCCATCTGTTTCCATCTGTACGAGGATAGAGCGTTGCCCCCCCCCACCTCTCGTGCGTGTCGGTTTTCTCCAGGTGCTCTGGTTTCCTGCTACACGTATGAACACACTCATCGTTAATCGGCTAGAAACATCTTAAAATAAAAACCCAATGTAAGCAGGACCCTCCTGAAATAGTCTTGTCACTCAGTGTGGCTTTCCTGGATACTTAAGTAATTTAAATGTGGGTTTGAGAAGGCATGGAGCATAGTTTATGAGATTTGATGATACCATGGAGGTAAAAATAGATTTAAAAACGTTCTGTCTAAAAAATATATATTTTTCCTCTTATAATTTTTTTTTGAAAACTAATTTCTTTAGAATGCTTTTTGTGTTCAGTTTTATTATCCTTCCCCACACCTTCGATTAGCACGGTTGGCTGTGTACGGTGCAAAAGAAGCCCAACGTACACATATACAAGGCTGTATTTCAACTTTTTCCAGTCTCTCGGTGTTTTCCAGGCACAACATTCTAAAACACATTATCCAACTGCATGGCATTCAAAGCCGTCCGACGGCTCTCTATTTCTGCCCTGAAAAGTAGGTCCATCGCGTGGAGTTACGATGAGCCTGCCACGTGTTTCCATGCTTAGGCAGTGGTAATGGAGATAGTGGTGAAGGGAGTTTCAAAACTCTGTGCACTCCCCTCCACCCCACCCCTGTGCTCTGTTGCAGAAGTTGTCCGCGGGTCTCACCACTCCAGACAAACGCAGCGCGCAGAAGGTCGGCATCCGTCTCCGTAACCTCCTCAAGCTGCCCAAAGCCCACAAGTGGTGCATCTACGAGTGGTTCTACTCCAACATAGACAAGTAAGTGTGGCACTATCTCTTGGACACACACACGTCGCACACCCTTGCAGGCGTGCACTCGTTCGAATAACGCGTGCACGGGCGCAGTCACATAGGCTCACGTGTTTATTAATGCACGAGCTAATGCACCACGCGCATGCGTATTCATTCACATGTTTTAATTATGCTGGTACACAAAGTTGCGTTGTTTGCATGTTCGCTACAAGTACGTGTGGTTAATGCAGACTTGATTTCTTGCAAGAGGTTTCTATTTGGGGTTTGAACATCTTAACACACCTGTTTTATTGCCAGAAAGGGTAAAACCTATTCTTATTTTTCATAGAATTAACAAATGCTCACAAGTGTTGCATTGACAAATGTACCGAAAAGCTATTTTAGTGGGCCTTACCTGGTAAAATAAAAAAGTGACTTATTGCTTGAAGACTTGTGTTATGGATTCTGGGCGTTGCATCTGTAGAATGCATGGCAAGTTTTGTCGCGATTGGTTTATGGGATGTGTAGTTTTTGGCCCAAACCAGTGTCCTCAAGTGGATGGGCAGACGGTCAATCCTAATATTTCCCCAGCATAGCCACAAGTGGCCTCTTGGTTCCCTTAAAATGTGACGTGAGCGCATTTAACCGTTATTGTTGCAGTATTTTCCAATTAAGTAGCACTTCCTGGAAGTTGACAGTGATTTGGCTTATCGAGATACTGACCCCTGCTGTGGCGTTGTAGGATTTTTTCCACCGGCTCAGAATTGCTAATGAAGTATATAAGCAAATTATTTGGTGATGCTGTTGCATTGACAGCGGTGCTCAAGCACAAAAAAAAACCTCCAACATTCATGAATTACAATGTGGCCTTTAAAGGAAAAGTATATAATAGGCGATATTTTGGGCAATGGCCTTTCATTATAGCATATGAAGATGGGACATTACCCAAAATGCCAACTATTATAAATATTTTTTATCCTGACTTAAAGCTTTCGTGACTGCAGGAATTCATATTCTATGGGTCTTTCGGTAAAGTCACGTAGATAGGTTGAACGAAAATAACAAAGTAACAAAAAACTTTTTTCTTTGAACCTATCTACGTGACTTTACCGAAAGACCCATAGAATATATTTTTATCCTTTTTAGGCTTCAGAATATGATTTTTTTTCCACAAACTGAATTGCTCACTTGCGTTCTTGACGGGGCGACACGTTGGCGAGGTGTTAACTACCTCGCTTGGTATACAGGAGGTCGTGGGTTCGATCCCAACTCTGACGCCAGATTTCGAGTTTGCATGTTCTCTCTGTGGTCGCGTTGTTTTTTCTCCGGGTCCTCTGGTTAAAGTATTTGGTTGCTATACATTTCCACGTGATAAGCCACTTTGTTGAGCTATCATTTGTGATTGTCAGGTTGCTTATGAAAAAGAGCTGTTGAGCTCAGTGGGCCTTACCTGGTAAAATCGAAACTAGATTTAAAGAAAAAAATAATTAGTTACTGTTGTTGCTGGTGAAGACTTGTGTCCAAGGGATGGTGTGTGTGTGTGCCGTTTTCTCGCGCTCCTCCTTGACGCCGCGCAGGCCTCTCTTCGAGGGCGACAATGACTTCTGCGTGTGCCTCAAGGAGTCGTTCCCTCAGCTGCGGACGAGACGCCTCTCCCGCGTCGAGTGGGGGAAGGTGCGGCGGCTCATGGGCAAGCCACGGCGGTACGCTCACGCGCACACCCCTAGCGCTCGCCAGCTCGTACACACGCTAGCTCGCGCATACCCCTTCGTGCGCACGCCGGCTTGTGCACACCCCTAGTGCACGCTAGCTCGTGCTGGCTCGCGCGCACGCTAGCTCGCACGCACGCTAGCTCAGTCACGGTTAACGCACACAGCTAGCACACACGAGCTCGTAGACACGGCTAGCGCACACTCGCATGTGCACACGTTAGCTTGCACACACGGTTAGTCCGCACACTCGCATGTGGACGTACACGGCCTTCGCACCCTGTTGCATGCGCTGGCATGTATGGGCCTAGCGCACAATAGCATAAACACAGACAAGAGGTTATCACACATGCTAGCACACGCGACTAGCACGCACACGCTACTCGTACGTGGCTGGTGCACATGCGACCGCATCTCAAAATTCTGCATGAAGAATAGTGGACGTAATTATTTTCTAGAGAGATTTCGGTCCGAGGCGAGAGGTGAGAGAGTGTAATGAGAGGGAAGAGGTAGGAGATTACATGGTTGAGGGAAGTGGAGTGAGATGAGAGCGAGGGGAGGGGTAGGAGCGTACGCCGCTGGGCGTAGAGTGAGATGAGAGGCAGAGATTAGGGAAGGAGCTTGCATGGGGCAGGGAAGTCGACGGCCAGGGGAGAAGGGAGGTTGTTCCAGACAATTGGGGGGGGGGGCAGGAGCGGAGACCGAGCCGACGTGCGCTGGGGCGAAGGTTGTGACCGGGTGCTTTGACCGTGTCTGCCAGGTGTTCGGAGGCTTTCTTTGCAGAGGAGCGAACGGCCCTCCTCCAGAAGAGGCACAAGATCCGGCAGCTGCAGCAGCAGAAGGTGACCGACCTGAGCGCCTTCAAGGAGCTGCCCGAGGAAATCCCGCTCCCGCTTGTCATCGGCACCAAAGTCACAGGTGACACGTCGCCTCGCGCGTAGCTTGAATTAATAATGGATGATTGCGTGTTTGCGTGTGTGCAATTTGATGCATCTGTCGTGATCGTAAGAATCGATTTTAATGGAGCCGTATATGTGGGACGGGGTCATAGTAACTGAGAGAAAACAATTTGCTTCTGATGTTGTGCGCCAAGTGGTCTCTGAACCGAACCATGGGGTCCTCTGCTAGGTCAACTCAAAACTGACGTGATAATCTGGCATTTGTGTGGTGCACGTGCTACGGGGACCGGTAGCTTAGTGGTTAGTGCACTGCGCTACGAACTCCAGTGAGCTGAGTTCGATTCCAGCATCACGATCAATAACAGTGTCGAATATTTAAACTTGTCCTGGGCCTCTTCTAGGTCGACTCAGTTTTAAATGAGTACCCGGTGCATTGTGCAAAACATTGCGACTGGGGAGACAAAGGCGGTCGGGCGTGGTGCTGGCCACCCACCCCCCTCGTGTGCCGTGCCGGCTTGCATAGGTGCTCGCTAACAGCACTTACCCCAACAGTGTATTTCAGGCTAAATGGGGGATGTTTGTATTTGGTATCTATGCAGAAATTCTTTTGCACAACCGTGCTAATCAGAGGTGCGTGGGAACAACAAACTTAACACAAAGTAGTTCTACAGAAATTACTTTTCAATCTAGATGATTTAAAAGTGCATATTTCCAGTGGCTTCCTAATATCGGAAGGAAGAGCGTTCCAGACGGCCACGAAAAAGAGCTGTATAGCTCAGTGGGGCCTTTACCTGGTAAAATAAGAAATAGTTTAATAGTTTGAGTTGTTGCGTGTGAGCAGCGCGCCTGCGGGGCCAGCACGACGGGCTCTTCACGGGGCAGATCGACGCGGTCGACACCATCAAAGCCACCTACCGCGTCACCTTCGACCGCCCGGGCCTCGGCACGCACACCATCCCCGACATCGAAGTTGTCGTACGTACAGGGGGGGGGGGGGGTGGGTGGGTAGATCGGTGGCTGACGGATGAGCAGTCGCAGACCAGCGCGCAACCCTTCATGTTAGAGAACGGTCCATTGAAGCAGATGTCGCAAAGCTACTTCTGAGATCCCTTCAAATGACCTCTGTTCAACACAGCAGGGGGCAGCACTTTCCCACCAGCTCTGTCACTTAGAGTGACACGTTGATCCCACGACAGTCAAGCCGATATGTATAATTATTCGAGCTGGAATTGAACCAAATTAAGCTGCAGATCCAACTTCAATTGGGATGGTATTTTTTTGTGTCGTCGAGCTGAGACCATCAACACTTCTGCTGCACCTTGAACCTGGTTTTTAATCATTCGCATCTGCCACGAATCAAACCCAAGATATCTGAGCAATGCCAGCTTGGCATTCTGACTTCTAAGCCACCCGGCTCCCTCCCTCCCTCCTTTAAAAATTTTTTTTTTTTAAACGATCAGACGAGAAAGATGCTCGGTCTTTCGGCACTTTACTTAGTTCATCATGTCGTTTGTTTGTATTTTTTTTTGTTGCTTATGTGCTCCCTTTTTTAATCAAAGATATAACACGGGTTTCCCGTGTAACATTAGTCCCATTGTGTGTTACTGTGTTCATAGACACCAACAAGCAAACAATCACCCTCAAAAACCCATCACCAGATCCCCTGCTGCTGCGCTACCAGCACCATAGCGGCGAAGGCACCTGCCTCCCCTCCCTCCCTCTTCCCAATATAGAAGAAGCAAAATAAATATTGGTTATTCGGCACCTTGCTTCGTTCACCATGTCGTTTATTTTTTGTTTTAAACATTTACCCTCCTCCCTCCCGCAGAGCAACGAGCCACAGGACAGCATGCCCATCTCGTCGTTTGCGCAAAAGCAGCGTCCCGTGAAAACCTTCAACAGCCCGCCACGCGTGCACTACAGCTCCATGGTGCTGGCCTCCCCGCTCGCAGTACGATCCGCGCTTACGCACGTTTACACGCACAAGTACAAAGTTCCCTCCCCCGCCCCACGTAACCTGCGTAGATTATTGGGACGAGTGCTGTTTGCAAGCACCTATGAAGGCCGGCTCGGCGCTCGGGGGGAGCTTCACCACGGTGCTGATATCGTTGACCACATCAGACCTGGAACAGAACTTTCGTCGCATAACAACAACCACCATTCGCCACTAAGTGGCGGTGACGTCACCACGGCGCTTGTGCCAGGCTATGTGCACGTTAAGGCCACGTGAAGTGTGGAACGCCCGCTGGCAGGAGGTCACGGGGCAGACCCAGGTGCCACGGGTCGACTGATTAAGCTGACTGGCCGATGCACCACCACCTGTGCCCTCTACTGTTCCAAATGCGTCGCATGCACACACACACACACATGCACACACACATGCACACACACACACACATGCACACACATGCACACACACACACATGCACACACACACACACATGCAAATGCACACACACACACATGCAAATGCACACACGCACACATGCACACACACATGCACACACACATGCACACACACACACACGCACATGCACACACACACACATGCACACACACACACACATGCACACACACACATGCACACACACACACATGCACACACACACACATGCACACACACACACACGCACACACACACACATGCAAATGCACACTCAGCCAAACAGACTTAAGAAGTGCTGAGGCAAGCATGGCACTTACACTTGATATTAATTGACCACACTGGATGCTCATTTTAAGGCTGAGCAGACCCTTTGGAAGGCTGCAGGACTGTTTCAAATATTTGCCACATATGTTAGCTGTGCCGGGAGTTGAACGGAGAGGTTGCGTTCGTAGCAGTGAGCTAACCACGATGCCGCCTTTACACTGCTTGTGTGTATAAACAGGTTCACGTACGCACGCACGCACTCCAATGCAGTTGCACGCATGCGCACTGCTCTTCGAACCCTGGCTACCCAAGTTCAATTCCCGCTCACGGCCAACACCAGTGACAATTATCTGAACCGGTTGACTCGGCCTAAAATGAGGTGTGTGGTAAACATCGTGACTGGGGAGACAAAGGCGGCCAGGCATGGTGCTTGCCACCCACCCCCCTCGTGTGCCGTGCCGGCTTTCACAGGTGCTCGCTAACAGCACTTGCCCCAACAGTCTGTTAAGGCTACACAGGAGATATTTGTCTTTGTGTCCCCCAGGACCCGCTGCTGGGCCAAGTAGAGTGGAAATCTCGCCTCGGGGCACCTGGGCCGGACAGCAATATCCTCGGCGGCTTCCCCATCAACTTTCTCGTTCAAGTCGTGAGTTCACGCACGCACGGGCGCGTGAGCGAGAGACGATGCTTAACGATGCCCATTTGGGCACACAACAACAATAACCTCGACCGGCAGCTACAGCAGCAGCACAGCTTACTACTCCAGATGCCTGTTTGGAAATGATAATAATTTGATTACACGTGTGCTTTGCCAAATTCTTATAGTGGAAGTCTGTCACGAAGGTGCTGTGTTTCACAGTCAGTCAGGGACAATGTTGCTTTGCCCAGTTCCAGTTGAGTAATTTGCGGGTAAATTTTTCGAGTTTTGGGCCACCGCGCCAGCACACAATGTCCCACTTCTTTTTCGAGTGACGTCAGGTGACCTGTGTTGTCTACTCTACAGCTTGCGGCGTATACTCTACGGTTGTTACACCTGCGGTAATAACAAGCGCCTACCGCTCGGGACCACATCACTCTGAGGAACAGGAAGAGGAGGAGGAGTGCATTTATTTGCCAACAAGTGTACTTTGGGTAAATCAAATTGGTTGGGAAGAAAAGTAGTTGGGCTTGGCCAGGACACGTGATGGCTGAGATGATTGACGGAGTGGCAGCCCAAAGGAAGGAAAAGGCGCCCAAGAAGGACGGGCGCAGGAGATGTATGCTCTTTGTTTTTTTCGGTAAAGTTACGTAGTTAAAACATTTTAAAAAATTAAATCACGACGTTTCGGGCGCAACACAAGCGTCCTTCTTAAGCGGTGTGCTTTCGCTAAGTTGTCCCCACCTGAAGAAGGATGCTTGTGTTGCGCCAGAGACGTCGTGATTTAATTTATTTCGATTTTTTACCTACGTGACTTTACCGAAAAAACCAAAGAGTATGAATCTTTGCAGTCACGAAAACTTCAAATCTAGAAGGAGATGTATGGTTTGGAATTATTGCACCATGCCCTGTTCCTGTCGTGACCCCCCTCCCTCTGTCCCTACCTCCGTCCCTGCTGTGCAGACGCGGCTGTCCAAAATCCTGATGACGAAGAAAGATTACATCAAACAGCTCAAGGAGATGAACACGGAGGGTGAGAAGCTGGTAAGAGACCGTTGCACTAAACTATAAACTTTTATTTATTTAACTACACTTTTTATTTTACCAGGTAAGGTTCACTGAGCTATATATCTGTTTTTCAGAAGGGAGCTGGCCACTAATGATAGCTCAAACAAGTGGCTTATCAAGTGGAAATTTATAGTAGCCAAATACTCTAAATACATGTTCTAATGTGGAAGGAAAAACCGGAGGCCCCGGATAAAAATCCGTTACCATGACCACAAGGGAGAACATGCAAACTCCAAATATACAGCAGGTGTCAGGGTTCGGATCGAACCCACGACCTCCTGCATACCAGGCGAGGTAGTTAACAACTCACCACTGGCGCCCCCCACACGACATACCGCTGTGTGTGACGTCGTTTGTGCATGAGGCCTCGTAGTCGGTTGCGTTGTTGATCAGAGTCTTTATTTAGACTAGAGGATGGTTTGTGTGCAAGCGATCACGTGATCGTGTGTTGGAGCAGTTGTGTAGCTGAGGGTTTGTGTGCGCGTGTGATCATGCGGTAGAGCGAATTCGGGGTTGCGTGGATGTTAAGGATTTGTGTTTGACCGATGAGCGTGTGGTTGTTGCGAATGCACGCTCGAATGTTTATTCGAGTGCAACCGTGCGTCAGGTTTCGTGACTGCGCGGTGAAGAGTTTGTGAGCGGTCACGTGATTGAGCGGTTGTGCGGTTGCGTTGCAGCGGTCGTATTCGGAGCCATTTGGGATCGACTTCCAGAAGCGGTACGCTACCATCGTGCTTGGCCTGGAGAACCTCAACAAGGACCTCAATCACATCCTGCTCAACGTGCAGCAGTACTGCTACCAGGTGCAGCAACTCACAGCTGTAACTCCGCGGAAATTTAGTCTCGCGGTCCGGTGCATTTCCAGGATGTGTCGCTTGTCGCTCGACGCGATGTGTGACATTTCCATAATGGGGAGGGGGGTGGTGTTCTTTGTGTTTGCACATGCGCTCGTACAGCTGGCCCCCCAGCAGGGCCTGCAGCCCATGGACCAGCCGACGGAGATGCGGCGCCAGTGCCTGGAGGAGGCGCAGGAGATGGTGAGAGATGTCGGCAGGTCGGGGGTGGGACGCGGCGGTGCCACGCCGACGATTACGACGGGAGGGGGAGGAGCAGGGGACCGCGTGGCATCCGGGGACGACACGGAGGGACTCAGGGAGCTGGTGGCACGGCTGTCGGCGCTTCTCCTGCAGATCAAGGTGCGCGGAAGCGCGCGCGCGTGCTTTGCGTAATTGACATGTTTTGTTTACGTGACAAATCTTGTGTCGGGTGGTGGCGGGTTTAACGACACATTTCTATTTACGCGATCTAACCCAGAAAAATCCTCCTATTATAGATAATATTGCTCTCGAAAGCCTACTTGTTAAACCCATTATTGATTCAAGTTATACGCGAAAGGCGAAATGTGGTTACAGAGCAAAGCAGTCTGATCGCTTTTCTTCCCGCCTGTCCCCTCCCCCACACAGAGGCTGGCAGAGAGTGACCTCAACTCGTTTGAGTTCAAGTCTCTGACTGACTCGCTGGACGAAATCCGCAGCTCGCTGGATCCTACCAACATCAGGTGATACTCTCGGGCACGTGCGGGAGGTAGTGAACTTAGGCTGGGACAAGTCGTGATTTCAAGAGTTTATTTGTCATTGTTGTGTTTCGTCTGGCTGTCCAGAATCAGAATTATGATTTCTACTGGGGGAATCCGATGAGCTATAAAGCTCTTGTTCAGATGTCCAGTAGGTTGCGGGTAAGAAGATTACAACAACAAAGAGTTTCGATTTAAAGCTTTCGTTACTGCAGGGATTCATCTTCTTGGTTCTTTCGGTAAAGTCACGTAGAAGGGAAATAATAAAATAAAAAAAATAAAACATAAAATAATTCTCACGACGTTTCGGCCACAACGCAAGCAGCCGTCCTCCGGTGAAGAACAGGTCTGTCGGAAAGACAGCGTCTGAATGAGCTGTCTTTCCGACAGACCTGTTCTTCTTCGGAAAGACAGCTCATTCAGACGCGGTCTTTCCGACAGACCTGTTCTTCACCTGAGGGACGGCTGCTTGCGTTGTGGCCGAAACGTCGTGAGAATTATTTTATTATGTTTTATTATTATTTTATTATTTCCATTCTACGTGACTTTACCGAAAGAACCAAGAAGGTTAAAGATCCTGTTACGTTATTTGAATTGGCGTAGGCAACGTGTGTGCCCGTCGTCACGGTCCCACATTTGCTGAATGTGAACGTTATCTGCAACATCACCCTGCACCGCAAGACTACATCAGTCTATAGAACATAGCGTGTTTGTGATATAAGAATGGCGAGAAAACACCAAATGTGCTTGTTTTCATTATTAACGGACTTGCGACACAGAATCGCATAGCATAAGGTCTTTAACATAGGCGTTATTTGGGCTGTTATGTTTTCTAAATGTTCTTACACGGCTTGTTGGTGCGATATATAAATCTAGAGCTCGTGTGACGAATCATCCTGCCGTTATTCTTGCAATTCAGCGCATCCACCCGTGCTATTGTTGAAATTTCACCGCTGCGTCTGGCCGAACACCATAGTTGAGAATTCTCGCTCACTTAACCGTGGAGTGACAGGGACTTGACTTTTGTTGTCTACTTTATAGCAACGGTTGCCTTGAAGTTGACTGCTCTTGCATGTACATCTACAGACCTTTGGTCAAATCCACACCTGGATGAGGGCCCTCCCCACCCCTTCCCCCCACCCTCCTCACGTTGTGCAGGTCAGGGGGGATATTTCACAATACTTGACCACGTCGGTCAGTGTCACTTGGCGAAGGCTGGGGGGAGCGTGGATGTTGGTCTGCTTGCACTGCCCTCTGCTGACAGCATAGCCCCTCAGCAGGCCGTACAGGCCACCTTAGCCAGGCACTATCCAGGCTCAACCCGAGGTCTGTCGAGGTCGGGTGCATTCTGGGGGATTTTGAGCAGATGCGCTGTTGCTTATGAGATTAAAATTGACACGGGCAGCGAGCGAATCGGCGCGCGTTTGCCTAATTGGTCTACGTTGCTGTGACCGGGGGGGGGGGGGGGTGGCGGCCGTTAACGGAGATTTGTGCGATTTGTGCTGCTCCAGTTGCTTTCAGAACAACGTGGAGATCCACGTGGCGCACATCCAGAGTGGCCTGAGCCAGATGGGAAACCTGCACGCGTTCTCCTCCAACCACACCGAGGCAGGGTGGGAGAGGCCGTGACCACGGTTCTGCCCCGTGTCGCCATGTACAACAACGACAACAACGACATTGTCACGCACACGCACCCACGCAACCGTACTCGTAACGTCACACACACACATGTCCACACCGTACACAACTACAGAGCGACAAAGACAAAGATATCCCCCCGTATAGCCTTAACAGACTGTTGGGGCAAGTGCCGTTAGTGAGCAACTATGATGGCCAGCACGGCACACAAGGGGTGGGTGGCCAGCACCATGCCCGGCCGCCTTTGTCTCCCCAGTGGCGAGATTTACACACTGCACCAGGTACTAATTTAAGGCTGAGTCGACCTAGGAGAGGCCCAAAACAGGTTCAGATAATCGTCACTGGTGTTGGCCGTGAGCGGGAATCGAACTCGGGTCGCTGGGTTCGTAGCACAGCGCGCCAACCGCTACACTACCACTCCCCACAGAGTGACACACAAACACAGCATTGCACATCCATGCCACCACACACATCCACGTAGCTTTCACACACCAAGGCACACGTCTGGTTAGCGTTTGACACAAACCGCACACAATCCACCACTGCTTTCTGCACATACAGCACACTGCACTAATAGTCCGCACCCACGCCACATCCGGTACTCACTGACCACATCTCGTATAAAATGACAAAGCACCACACTTCAAAATGACCAGGCCACCCACATTACGATGCCATACATCACCACCACCACAGACATCCACACGACAGCACCGCACTAAAACACAATACACATGCCACACTATGACACTGCAGACATGAACACTCGCACATCAGACACCGACAACACTACAACACTTCAACACCTCAGACATACATATCCTCCTTTATTTAACGATGATAATTAATAATCTAATTTTATATAGCGTCATTCATACTGTTGTATCTCAAAACGCCATACTATATTTAAGTTTTACGTTAAAAGGTGCAAAGAAATCCTAAACAGAAAGACCACTGAACAGGATTTATTAAGTACATCATGCAAATTACAAGCACTAGGCTGGGAGAGAGTCTAAAAGGTGTCTAAAAAGTTGCTTGTAGTGCGAACCAAGCTCCTCAGGCAGGCCAGGGGTAAAATCCTTAGGAGGGTGGCAGTCAAACAACTACCCGTTAAGTCGTTTAAAGACGCACACTCTCCACGACCAAAACATTCAGAGGTGAATAAAATGGTTTTTAACCGGGATTTACACTTTGGAGTGGAATCTGACGGGTATGAAGTGGGAGTGGGGCCAATGCAGACTTGAGGGAGATGAAAATGTAAATGCTCGTCCGCCTGTAGTAATTTTCTTGTTGGGTGTAGTTAGAAACTCCAGGCCAGATGAGCGAAGGTCACGGGCAGTGGCGGAGGCAGAGATTAGAGGGGGAAAGGGATGAGCTAGGGAGAGTCCGTGCAAGATTTAAAACACTAAGTGTGATCCTAAATTTAATTTCAGAGTGAATGGGGGGGGATGGGGGGAGCCAATGAAGTGAACATAAGCTGGCGGGTGTTGGTAATGTGATGACGTTCATGGGTATGATTAAGAGCTGTTGTAGTGATATTTTGAACATTTGATTCAATGAATGACAAAACTTGGGATGGCCATATAAGGAGGGGATTAGAGTAACGGTCATTTACGTCCGTGGATCTTGTGCGTATTATAAACTACACTTTTTCATTACAGTCATCAAGCCTGGAGATGAACGAAGATACGAATGATCGGTTCAGCAGCGGTGTGAGAGGCAATTTCGAATGCAGGGCATATCTTGCGAAGATGTAAATTGGTAGTCTGACGGATGATAAATGTGTGGTGAGAATAGGTCAGCTCAGAGCCCAGGATGACCCCCGGATTGTGCACCTGTTTTCTAAATTTCAGCTCGAGTTGAGTCAATGAACAGTAGGTGGCTGTTTGCTTATTTTATGTGGCCTATGAAGTGGGACAACTCTATTTGCTCAGGTGATTTGCCCATTTTCTTGCTTTGAGAGTTGTTCAACTACAGATACGCTGCCATAAGTTTATTTTGGGCAGTGTGATGTTATGTTCGTCGCACACAGGAGTATTTTATTTTACACGTGCATTAACCGCATCTTCGGTGGTTTGTGTGGATATGGCTAAACTTACTCGACAGTCGTGACCTTTAAAATATCTCTAGTTTTGCCATGAAGTGCTCGGAGCTTCATCAAGAAGCTCCCAGAATGTGGTGCGAAACGTTGGACATCATGCTGAACAACAACACAAACATCTCAAAAATACATCGTAGGGCTTATCCAAACAAAAAGATTGCAACGGACCTCAATGAATATTTGCTGTTATAAGTTGGCAGAGAGCAGTCTTTTAAAGACCCGCACACCGGTGCTGAATTGAAAAGAGATGACACCATGAACCTGAAACATGTGCTCTGATGGATAGCAGGTTAATTACTGTGAAAGGCGCTATATAAATAATATTGTTATTTGTGCGAGTGTGTTATGTGTGTGTGTGTACGATCCTTTGTGTTCTGAGGGTGGTGGTGTTGATAATTCTCAACACTTAGAGAGGTCTGTGCGTTATAGTATAATACTCCAGGAAGCGCTCTAAAGAATGAGTTATCTTTTTTTTGTTTTGCAAACAGATTATATATAAAAAAACTAATATTGAGTATGTATTTTTAAAACAAAACAAATCAATTTTAAATGCCCTTTCGGAACGCTGTAATTTTTATTGTATTGTCAATTTCTTCTGTAGAAAGTTGTAGTGCTATACTGTCTAATGTCCCTCTAAAATGTATCTTCATGACAGCATATATATATTTAAATGTGTAAATAAAGCATCAACTTGCTGTGGGTGTGTACATGTATTCCAAATATTCCTAGCACGGTCGGAACCTCGGATTAGCACGGTTGGTTATCTACGGTCAGGGGCCGAAAACTAAAGGGGCCTACGAAAAAAAATGTTGACCATGTATTTTTTTGCTTGTATGATAACAAATGTAACCAAGATATCAGCTTGAATAAGTCTGCGTGAAACAAGCGAGTGGCAGCGGCGGTAGTAACCTGGGCAGCAGCAGTAGTATCAGCTGGAGAAAGTTATCACTAAAGGCCGACAAGACAAGTGCTTAGGGCCTACAAGAACCATAATCCGGCCCTGCGTATGGTGCAAAAGAAGTTCAACATACATTGAGCATGTGCGTGCCTTAATTTATACGACTAGTTACACTGTTTTTGGGACGAATTCGTCTGTATCAGACGCGGCTCCAACACTGCTCACAATCTGGGTTACAGTTCGGGATTTGAATTTAAATTTTTTGCGTTTTTGATTAGTCCTATCAGTTTTTCAAACAACTTTTATTGAAAATAAACGGATTTATGGGACCTCCTTTGCCAGTAAAAAATATATATGATAATGGGGTTTTCCTCTTTTTCTGGCAAAACAAAACAGGTGTTAAGATGTTAACTCCAAACTGAAACATTTTTCAAGGAATCATGTCTGCAATAACCACAATGCTTGTGGTCAGAATGCAAGCAAAAAACATACTCTGATAATAGGATAATGCATATATTATCAGAGTATGTTTTTTGTTTGCATAACCCGTTAATAGACAACCCAGAAATCTCGGCTGAGTCTCCAGTATCTTGACTCAAAAAATCAACGTCTTTTTTGTTTGTTTGTTGAAGCTACAAGTCATCTAATTGACTAGGCTGCCAAAGAGACGCTCAGTGTCACCTTTGTGGCCCACGGGGTGAAATATGAGCTCAACCCCAAATACCGGGGGGCTGTGAGCTTTGACAGGAACATGACCTTTTAAAAGTCACTGAATAGACGCGTGAAAAAGGTCAAAGCCAGGATCGGCCTCTTTCGAATGAGCAGGCACACCAGCGGCTGAAATTCTCCTTACAGCAGCGACGCTGTGCGATTGAATGCTGTGGGGGTTTTTTTTTTTACCATCAACTAAAGCTGTCGACACGAAAAACGATTGCATCGTTTCGAATGTATTTGTTCACTTTAGTTACATACTTTAAATATTTTTTGGTCATATACTCGACATGTGCTGTTTTTTGTAATTTTTTTCTCCACGTATTTATTTTTAATTCAAAATTTCTTGCGACTTGTTACGTATGCTATGATTGCCAGGGAACCGATGTTTTTGTTGATAAAACACGATTCAAGAGCTTTTTAGTTCACAGGGTAAAATAAACTGAACTGAAACTGTTTATCCAGATGAGGACTTTTAAAGAGTCCACGATAGTCCCATTTGCAAGAGTGACATGGGTTCCGTAAAATTACAAAGTAAAAACGTGGAAGCGAATAGAAAATTGAAGGGTAAAAAAAAAATACCGCGTGACAGGGATGTATCGATAATAACACTGGTCAACACTTTTTCTGACATAAGGTATTCCAACGATTTGAAGGTAATTTTGGGGTGCTGATTCCAAATCTGGCATCAGTTTTCGTCTATCACATCAGGTTTTTGAGATATCAAATATTGCATTTTCAATAAAAACTGCAGAAGAAAAATATTAAATAAATGTGGATATCTACATAAAATGATATTATAAACAGACTATCCTAAAAATACAGCACCATATTTTAACACTAAAGCAGTCACTGACTCGCAACAACTTGCAATCATAAGTGACAGAGTTAATTTCGGGTAAAATCAATGAAAATGGGAGTATGCCGATAGCATAAAAGTTAGATGTGATAGAGCAAATCTGAGATCAGATTTGGAATCAGCACCCTGAAATTAGTCTAAAACAGCTGCAAAAGTCCAGGCCAGAAAAACATGTTTTTTTTGTTGGCCAGTGTAATGGTGGGTAAAAAAACATTAATCCACATTAAATGTTCTCAAATGAAAGTTGACTTTGACGTTCCTTTTAAAAATCGTTTATAGTAAGGTGCAGAAACATCCAAGCCTCGGGTGGCACGTGCGAAGCTGTTTAAGCAAATCCCAAGTGGTGCCCTCAACAGTGTGGATTGACCCTTGAGAACATGCTAGATTTTGGCTTCAACAGGCTTGCATGAATCACAGCAATCTTTGAAAGCTACAATCACAAAAATCGCTGAACTTGCACCGCCCAGATGCTGCGTTCAAATCCAAACGGCAACTTGCAGTATATTAACCAGGGTGGCCTTCCGGATGGAAAAACAATTAACCCGTAAAAACAAAGTTTTTCACTCTAAATCCTTTATATGCGTGGCGGCTAGAGTCCTCTCGTCCTCTGGCTTGAGATGGCTGCCACCTATGGGTCGGATGATTGTCTGCCACCATTAAGCAATTGGTAATTAAATATAATTTATTTTTTCCTAAAAAGTGTAAAATTTTGGAAAAATTTTTTCACGAACATTAATTGTCACGCACAACGAGTCTGTGTGGAAAATGTCAGCTCGATTGGATCACGGGAAGTGGGTTAAAAAACGACCGAAAGATTTGCACGGTCGTAAGCGCGCAAGCAAGCAAGTGAACTTAATATAAAGGATTTAAAAACCAACCGTGCATCTTTGCAACAAGTGGCGAATTTAATCATCGTCAGTGCCACTTAAAAGTTGAATATTGTTAAGTATTTGCTTGATTTTGTACCGTACTTTAGGTTTAATGGCAACTTTTTGGCAGCACATTTCTACACGTACATTGCACGCGATGTTTATACGGCGCCTGATGTAAAGGAAATTTACGGCACAGCACAAATATTGCTTTTTAAATCCTTTATATTAAGTTCGCTTGCTTGCTTGAGTGCTTGCTTGCTTACGACCGTGGAAATCTTTCGGTCGTTTTTAACCCACTTCCCGTGATCCAATCGAGCTGACATTTTGCACACAGACTCGTTGTGCGAGACAATTAATTTTCGTGAAATTTTTTTTCTCCAAAATTTTACACTGTTTAGGGAAAACAAATTAAGTATTTAATTACCAATTGCTTAATGCTGGCAGACAATCATCTGACCCATAGGTGGCAGCCATCTCAAGCCAGAGGACGAGAGGACTCTAGCCGCCACGCATATAAAGGATTTAGAGTGAAAAACTTTGTTTTTACGGGTTAATTTATTAAAGTCTCTCAATTGTTTGTGTACATCGATTGTACGATGCAATTATTGTTGTGATGCTGCATTGGCAGCGGTGCACAAGCACGAAAAACCAAAAACATCCCAAATTTTATATGCTGTGAAGGGCCATTGCCCGAAACGTCGCTCATTATATATTTTTTAATTTTAAGGTAACAAAAGTGTTATTGACCAACGTGTTTCATTGTACAGGCTCGTCAAATTGGTCTGCCATCTTACTACGGGAAAGCGAACTGCACTCAACAGGCGCATCATTGTGCTATGAACCATTGCCCCCCTCCCTCCCCTAAACGTCACACATTAATATTGTATTTCAAAGCCACGGTGTACTTTAATTGACAATTGTGTTGAGTTTGTTTAATTGTGTGTAGGATTAAGCTCGTTATAGAATAATGTGCAACTTTGGTCCCTGAGTAAGATGGCTGCCGTGGTTACCACGACAACGCCGAACCGGAAGTCGACACATCATGAATATTAATTAGGGAAGATGACATTTAAGTCGGGCGATGCAAGTCACTGCTGTGTATCAAGAACCGTGTTGTTGTGTGTGCATCTTATTGCATACACACCGCTCACGCGAACCAACCCCTCGATATCCCTCTTGAATATTAATTAGGCACCCACCCCCACGCCCCTCCCCACGCCCACCCCCACCCCTCCCCACGCCCACCCCAACCCCTCCCCACGCCCCCCCCCACCCCTCCCCACGCCCCCACCCCCACCCCTCCCCACGCCCCCACCCACGCCCCTCCCCACGCCCCCACCCCCACCCCTCCCCACGCCCCCACCCCCACCCCTCCCCACGCCCCCACCCCCACCCCTCCCCACGCCCCCACCCACGCCCCTCCCTACGCCCCACCCCTCCCCACGCCCCTCCCCACGCCCCTCCCCACGCCCCCACCCCTCCCCACGCCCCCCACCCCCACCCCTCCCCACGCCCCCACCCCTCCCCACGCCCCACCCTTCCCACGCCCCCACCCCCACCCCTCCCCACGCCCCTCCCCACGCCCCCACCCCCACCCCTCCCCACGCCCCCACCCCTCCCCACGCCCCTCCCCACGCCCCTCCCCACGCCCGCCCCTCCCCACACCTCTCCCCACGCCCGCCCACCCCCACCCTCTCCCCACGCCCCCACCCCCACCCCTCCCCACGCCCCCACCCCCCTCCCCACGCCCCCACCCCCACCCCTCCCCACGCCCCACCCCCACCCTCCCCACGCCCCCACCCCCACCCCTCCCCACGCCCCACCCCCACCCCTCCCCACCCCCACCCCCTCCCCTCCCCACGCCCCACCCCTCCCTCCCCACGCCCCCACCCCTCCCCACGCCCCCACCCCTCCCCACGCCTCTCCCCACGCCCCTCCCCACCCCCACCCCTCCCCCACCCCACCCCACCCCTCCCCACCCCCACCCCACCCCTCCCCACCCCCCACCCCCCCCCCACCCCTCCCCACGCCCCTCCCCACGCCCCTCCCCACCCCCACCCCCTCCCCACCCCCACCCCCCACCCCTCCCCACGCCCCCACCCCCACCCCTCCCCACGCCCCCACCCCCACCCCTCCCCACCCCCACCCCCACCCCTCCCCACCCCCACCCCCACCCCTCCCCACCCCCACCCCCACCCCTCCCCACGCCCCTCCCCACGTCCCCTCCCCACGCCCCTCCCCACCCCTCCCCACCCCCACCCCCACCCCTCCCCACGCCCCTCCCCACGCCCCTCCCCACCCCCACCCCTCCCCACCCCCACCCCCCACCCCTCCCCACGCCCCCACCCCCACCCCTCCCCACCCCCACCCCCACCCCTCCCCACCCCCACCCCCACCCCTCCCACCCCCACCCCCACCCCCACCCCTCCCCCACCCCCCACCCCCACCCCTCCCCACCCCCACCCCCACCCTCCCCACCCCCCACCCCCACCCCTCCCCACCCCCACCCCCACCCCTCCCCACCCCACCCCCACCCCTCCCCACCCCCACCCCCACCCCTCCCCACGCCCCTCCCCACGCCCCTCCCCACGCCCCTCCCCACCCCTCCCCACGCCCACCCCCACCCACCCCCACCCCCACCCCTCCCCACCCCCACCCCTCCCCACGCCCACCCCTCCCTACCCCCTCCCCACCCCCTCCCCTCCCCACCCCCACGCCTCCCTACCCCCTCCCCCCCGGAAGTGGCGAACCGGAAGTGAGGTGCCCTGTACCGACGTGGCGGCTGCATGGCGGACGCGGCCGTGTCTCAGCTGGAGGTGGCCGTGGTCGGCATGGCGCTGTCTCCGAGCGAGCCCGGCCCGCGAGCCCACGACCACAACCACGACCACGACGACGCCGACTCGGCAGCGGCGTTGCCCGGTGCAGCCGAGGCGGCTGGAGACGGCGAGGGGACGGCCGAGACGCCGGAGGGTGCCGAGCAGAAGGGACTCGAAGTCGGCGGTGATGGTGGTGATGGTGATGGTGGTGATGGTGGTGCCGTCGCGCTTGAGGAGGCTTGGGGCTTCCCTGTCGCTGAGCTCTACAGACTCGCGCTCAAGTTCTACCGCGGTGAGATGGAGGGCAGAGGAGGGGTGGTGGTGGTGGGTGACCCTTAGGCGCTTGGCTCGTAGGCCCAGTCAGAAGTGTTCACTCACCCGTTCACCTACGTACTTAGCTGACCCACCCACACACACACCTACTCACACACACACACTACTCACACACACACACACGACTCACCCACACACACCTACTCACCACCACACACACTACTAACCCACACACACACTACTCACACACACACACTACTAACCCACACACACCTACTCACCCACACACCCCATTCACACACTACTCACACACACACTACTCATCCACACACACTACTCAACCACACACACCTACTCACCCACACACACCCGTTCAACTACGTACTCACCCGACCCACCCACCCACACCTACTAACCCACACACCCACACCTACTAACCCACACACCCACACCTACTAACCCACACACCCACACCTACTAACCCACACACCCACACCTACTCACCCACACACCCACACCTACTCACCCACACACCTACTCATCCATTCACACACACACTACTCCCCAACACACACCGACTCACTCATTCACCCACCTACTCACTTTCACCACTCGCCCACCTACTCAGACGCTCACCTACAGGCTCACCTACCTACTTAATTAGTAATGTTCTCACCTACCCAACCACACAACCTCATCTGACCACACTGCCGAGTCTGGGTTGATTTGGTTACTGTCATCTATCCGGGAACGAGTAACTCTTCGTGTCTGGAGTATCATCATCATCATCATCATTGTCCTTACAGTCTTACGTCACCTATCTGGGTACCATCAATGCCTTGTCACCATTAATTATTGACACCAACTCAGGCAGCATCAACTTGGAGTTTGGGGATGTCAATGACTGAAGTCATACAACCTGGAAGGGGACACTAACTTTACGTTTGGGAATGAACTCACGTCACCCACTCAGACACCAACAAACTTGTGTATTGGCAGGATTAGCCTCACTCATTTGTCCAGGGACCATCATCGAAATGTCATCAGCTTTGGGCACCTTCAATCATGAATTTTCCGTCATCTTTTGTCATATACCTAGGCACCGTCAATACACTCTCACGATTAGCCCCATCAACTCCTACTAACAAATTGGGCATCTTAAAATACATGTCTAAATTTTGATTTAAAGCGTTCGTGACTGCGGTGATTCATATTCTTGGTTCTTTCGATACAGTCACGTAGAAGGGAAATAAAAAAAGAAGAAAAAAGATAGTTGCATATTTTTATTATTTTATTATTTCCCTTCTGCGTGATTTTACCGAAAGAACCAAGAATATACATCTCCTGTTTAGTTTAACGCTAGAGTTTCTTTGGTTAACCAAGGGGGAGAACTCAACAGACCAGCATAGTCTCTAGATTTGAAGCTTTCGTGACTGCAATGATTCATGCTCTTAGTTCTTTCGGTAAAGTCACGTAGGTAAAATTAATAAAAATAAAACAATAAAAATCACGACGTTTCGGAGGCAACACAAGCTTCCGTCTTCAGGATGGAAGCTTGTGTTAAAGACGGAAGCTTGTGTTGCCTCCCAAACGTCGTGATTTTTATTGTTTTATTTTTATTAATTTTACCTACATGACTTTACCGAAAGAACTAAGAGTATAACAGCATAGTCTAATTTACAATTGTGGCCTGGAGCATTAATCGTCAGTCTGCCAGTAGGGGGTGAGTATTGCTATGTGTGGGCAATTCGTTGTACCGCGGTGATTAAGCTGGGCCAGGCATGTGGTTTAGCCAACACCACGAACTGCTGACGAGCCACATTCCAGCTCGTCCGGTGGCCCAATCCAGCGATGGTTGACACCAAGTTCTGAAGGGCCCACTGGGAAAATCAAACATTGTCTTGGGGAGATAAATCCAGATGGTTCACTTGGGTTGGGATTCAGTTTCTAGTGTACTTTGCTTAACCAGGTTAGAACTCAAAATTACAGGATTATCTGGGCTCAATCCACACTGCATTAGTGTGCCATCATTTCACATTTTCACCCCCCCCCCCCCTCTCAGCCCTATGACAACCAGTTTGCATGGTGGTCACCCATTCAAGTACTATCCATGCTGAACAGGGCAGGAAAATCTATTGCTGTACTTTGCTTCTAAGCGGCCACATCTATGGCTCCCACCTCCACGAACTTGCACTGACAATAACCCCTTCTACCCCGTACGGCCGTGGATCGACAAATGTGCTGCACATTTACTGGTTCACCGCTATTGCGTACCACTTAACACCATCACATTTTAGCACGGTTGGCTAATTGCGGTGCGCAAATAAGTTCAACGTACGTGCATGCAATGTACAAAAACCTTTATTATGAATAATATTGGTCGCGAAAGCCTACGTGTGCAAACCAACATACAGTGTCACTATTCATATTCTTAGGTTTTTTCGGTAAAGTCACGTAGGTAAAAAATTAAGATTAAAATTAATAAAAGTAAAATGAAAATAAAATCAAAAATAAAAATCACGACGTTTCGGAGGCAACACAAGCCTCTGTCTTCAGGTGGAACCGTGACAGCACGATTGCTGTATCAAGTAAAGAGACATTATTTTACTTTTATTAATTTGAATTTTTTACCTACGTGACTTTACCGAAAAAAACCTAAGAATATGAATCCTTGCAGTCACGAAAGCTTCAAATCTAGAATTAATACAGTGTCACTGTTAACCCCCTTCTGTCTATCCAGGCACTATCATATTTCTCTATCGACTTGAACACCATCATCCCTGTGTACCGGAATCATCAACACGTGTTCCACCATCAGCGTTTACTCCACCCACCATATTCTCACACCTGACTGCCTTGAACTCCTGTCACATACCTGGGGAAACATCTGTTCTTCTCCTCTCCCAAGCCTGGGCACCTTCAACATGTCATTGCTGTACCTAAGCAGCAACCCCTAATCTCATATTTAAGCCTTATTAGCTTCGGCCCTGACCACTGGGATCCTTCTCACACACCCAAACAGCCTTCATTTCGACCCCTTTAAACTGCAGCTGCTTTTGACCGAATCGCTCAATGTGCACCTGATCTTGTCAGATGCTTGGATGAGTGACAAGCAGGATGATCGACTGGTGCAGGGTTACGTGGTGAACAGCACAGGGTAGTTCACAGTGACATCCATTGTACTGTACTTCCTGCTCCAATGCTCCCTGCCTTCACCAACCCACACTGACCAGCGTGGTGAAGTATTGACAAACAATCGAAAGGCCCAACATGGAGTGGAGAGGCCATTGCCCACTCATGGATTGGCACATGGCTTTGACGTAAAACTTAAAGCATTAAATATTAATGTCTGAATCGTGACAATTCATAGAATTGTGCGTGAGTGATTTTAACGGTTATTAACAAATTTTTTTTACCAGGTAAGGCCCACTGCACTATATAGTAATTTTTCATAAGCGACCTGGCCATAAATGATCGCTCAAGGGGAGTGGCTTATCATGTGGACTTGTATTGCAGCGAAATACCCTTAAAGGCATGCTTCTAAATACGGGGGGAAAAACAGGAGGATCCGGGAAAAAATCCACGTGACCACGGGGAGAACTGCAGCAAAATCCAAATATACAGGCTTCAGGGTTGGGATAAAACCCACGGCCTCCTGTATACCAAGAAAAGTAGTTAACATCTTGCTACACGCGTACCCTCCACTGTGCACTGGCAAAGCAAACAGCAGCCATGTATGGCTGCTGTTTAGCCCCCTCATGAACTGCAGAAATAGTGACTTGTCTTCCCAGTTCACACCTGGGTTCACTTACAATTCTAATTGTTTAATTCGTAAGCAATTTCAACCCCATTGTAACTGTGATTGTAAGCTCAGCCACCTACGATGCTGTAATCGTAGTCTGTAACCCGTCACCAACTAAGTGTATTCTTTTCCTGGTGTCCCTTGTGTCCGGTGCTATCAGCTGTTGGGCCATAATTAGGGCAGCTCTTGCCTGAATGCCTCTGTTGGTTTTTTTTTTCTTCTGAGCTGCGCCATCCTGTCCACTCCCCATGGTTGAACTTTTTTTTAAATCTAAGAATAACGCTCTCCAGGCCTACGACCAGATCACCCGCGACATGTCCCACCTCGTCAGATTTCGCAAGCTAAGCAGGGTTTTTGAGGATGGATAGTGCTTTGATGTACGGCCATTAATGCATTAAGTAAATACTATCAGGTGCTGCGGGGCTGCATTGGCAGCAGAGGGCATTGCACAAAAATCCGTTGTTGTACTCTTACTAAGCTCCCCAGCTTCTAACCTTTGCCATGCCTGAGCACCACGCACACGTGACTTTTATACCCAAGCATCAACCTCTATCTTATACTCAAACATTGTACTCCATCCCTGTAGATTTGAGCTACCTGTGACCAAATCAGTCGGATTGCACCCAGCCTCTGTGAGATCTCAGAAGCTAGGCATGGTTGTGTCTGGACAGTTGCTTTAGCAGAGGCCTGTGTAAAAAAAAAATATATATATATTTTCGTGTTATGATTCTATGTTCCCATGTCTATGCCCCCGGGGGCAACTGCATCACTCTGAGCTGACCAGCGTGGCGAAGTATATGGAATAATACCTGCCAAAAACCCACACTGCGTGGGGAGACTCTCACCCAGCAGTGGATTGACAATTGGGCTGTACATGCAGTGTTGAGGCTACTTAACGTGCATAGTCTATAAGAGGAATCTGGAGCAGTAAAGCAAACAATAAACACAACGAAACCCATTGTTAAAACATGAAGCGTCTATTTACCCGTCAAAGACTGAACATAAACCTTCAACGCTCGCTGTAATGCAGCTGCGATAAGGACGAGCACGATAAGGTTTGTGGAAAATACGAAATCGTGTCGGATCTAAAGCTCTGCTTGTAACAATTTGCCCCTCCACCCACTCATGATGGCATGAATTGTGATTCTGCGTTGAGAATTGATTCGGTAATTAATTATTTTTTACACGAATTCATAAACTCCCATCTGTCCGTCTGAGGCGGGCGGTCACGGTAACTCTCGTGCAGATGATCTCATGTAAATAAGGCTTTATAACGATGTATTATAAAGTTAATGAGGGTTGGCCAAAATTTGGAAAAATAACTCGCCGCCGCCGATTAACACAGGCCTCTTCTTCGTCACACACCGTGACTGATGATACCACGCGCTGATGAGTCACGGGGTCATGTGAAAGGAGCAAATGTATACTTTGCTGCATAGATTGAAGGAGTGTGTTCAATGGGCAGAGATTTTTTTTAATCAAACGGCCTGTTAGCGGCTCCGCAACACGGGCTAGCGGTCTGAGGAGCGCCCTCGGTGAGCATTAGGTCGGCATGTCAAATCAGAGGCACGCCGTAACTTCCTGCGAACTCTCGCTTCATGGTTCATGGACGCAGTGCTCATTGGCTGAGCGGGTGCGTGACGTCGTGAGCCTCTCGTCCTAACAACCCCGTTCAATAAGAGCTCACGTCCGCCTTGCAGCGCCACTGCAGGGCGCTCTGCCCATGCTCCCTTTCCGAGACGTCTGAAAGTTGCAGGCTGGGTGTCCCGTTCGCCGCTGAATCTCGCAACGCGCAAGTGCTTCGGCGTCAATTTTATTTAGAGAGGTGTAGTAGCGCCGTTGTTTTTAAAGACATTGTACTCACCACAGCGAACTTTAGCGACATGACCGCCACTCTATGATGGCTTGCCCAAAACTGTGCCACACGCCCTCTTGCATGGCCTTGTGGGAGCCTTGGTATGTCTTCCTGTTTCAAGACATACCGATGAAGTTATTTCATTTTAGTTTTTCTTCCGATTCCGTTCCGATGACGCGCACGTACGCATATTTTTTTTTATTGTTTTATATTTATATTATTTTATTATTTCACTTCCACGTGACTTTACCGAAAGAACCAAGAATATAACAATCTTTAGTCGATGAATCGACTTGATTGGCCATCCGTCCCGGCTCTGTAATTTTCTTAGTAAGTACTTGCTCAAGAATCACAAGCAAGGACTCCTCCTAATAAATAAATTGAACCCTTGGTGAGAAGTTTGGCGGCAAAATAAATCCAATTATCTTATGTGTTGCTGTCAGAGCCTTAATTTTAAATGTAAATAAATCTGCAAATCAATTTGATAATTTAATAATGTAACCCCTTCGCCAATATGAGAACCCGGAATCCTCCTGTGGCTCTCAGCCGATTGAATGTAGGACATCGTCAGTTTGGATGCTGCACACACTGTAAATCTGAATTGTCTTTACATAGCGACAACATTAATTTGATAATAATTTTGGCCTTTTTGACCGTTCGTGAATAATCGTGGCCGTGCATCATCACAGGATCTCGTGACTTTTTTAAGGAGGGGGGGGGGGTCCCCCACATTGGGGTGTTTGGCCAATTCCATGAATGTTCATCCTGGAGGAAGATAACGCCACGGACTGAATAAAGCCCACACTTAAACGACGGATAACACTAACAAATCCACACTTACTCAGTCTACAAATACTTGAATTCTGTTGAATAATGTAGACTGAACTCAATGCGTCACTGCCATCCGCTGCCCCCCATAACTACAACATCTGACCAGCACTGGTGGTCACCCATCCTAGTACAGTACCAACTTATGTCAAACAAAAACGATTGCGTCGCATGAGAAATCGATGATATTTGCACAAACGTAAATCGGTGTTGAGTGATAAATGACCTGCAGCGCAAGCCGGCCTGGGCATAATATTTTTAGGCTGATCAAAGCGCAATTACAAAATTTAGTTCAAATAAACGTGAAACAGATACAGGGCGATGACTGGTACACAAATATGTACACCAAACAGCCCAGGATATGAGTCGAAACACATTTGCAAATGAATTTCTAAAGAATCTGCAGTTTAAAAGAATCGACAGTTTGGTGTCAAAATTAGCATCAAGAGTAAATGAATTTGTGCGTTGTTGTTGTTGTGTGCCCGCTCGAGCTCGCTAAGCGAGTCGGAGCTGCGTGTGACACTCGGCCGTGGTGGAATGTGAACTCTTCGCTCAGCTTTCATCCCAGTGATTGATCCCGGCAATACAAGATCAAATACAGCCGTCAGGGCCACGCTGGCAGGAGTACATACGTACAACGACCACAAACCCCGACACAACTCTTCCGCCCTGCTACTGCTGTCATTAGCAAAATCCTGGCTCGCTTTGCGCTGTGTAAAGGCCTGTTGCCCAAGATTCCAGTTCATGTCATGCGACATATTTTTTTTCTCAATTTCAAACAAGGCCGTGTTTGTTCAGAGCGAGGCGGTAGTGGTTGCAAGGCTGTGTGTGCGATTGCTGCGTTGGCCGGGTATACTTGGACAACCGACAGTGCTGCCACTTGAAGGCAGAGTGAGTGGAGCACGCAGATTAAGCCACTCAACACATTCATCAATAGCGGTGTCCTCGGTGAGGAACACACAATCAGTGACGGTTCTCTCTGATGAAGGGGTCATTGGCCGAAATGTGACCTTTCATATGTTTCTAGATTTGAAGCTTTCGTGACTGCAAGGATTCATACTCTTAGTTCTTTCGGTAAAGTCACGTAGGTAAAAACTGAAATTAAAATTAATAAAAATAAACTAAAAATCACGACGTTTCGGAGGCAACACAAGTCTCCGTCATCAGGTGGGACGGTCACAGCCAGATTTGCTGCATCAAGTGAGCAGGGATTCAAGATGCAAGCTCTTAAATACAAGTTAAGGGGGAGGAGAGGGGGGGGGGGGAGCTTATCAGAATGTGGTAGCCAATGAATGGAACGTATCGGGAGGGGTGGGGCGGGGCTAAAAGAGGGCACGAGGTGCTCGTAGGCGTCGACCTATAAGTGTTTGTGCGCAAGTCACTGTTGTTGCACATGATATGTTTATTTCCTGTTTCAAGAATAATTATTAACGAATGTGTTGGGTTGATTTTGTTGCTAATGAACCACTGCCGACACGGTGTGTTTTTATTTGCGCGCGAGACTCGTCTCGGTTATTATTTGGACACTGACGATTTCGGCACGCCTGTTATTTGCTTGGTCACGTTCTTAATCCGGAGGCGTAATAACTTGCTCCGTGGTGTCATTGTTTTTGTTTCTGGGATTGCTCCTCCAGTGTGAAGATGTCTCTGGTGCCAGTTCGAGTGGCATCTGGAATGGATGCCAATGTCATGTGATCAGACACGAGAAAAGCATAACCGGGGGCTAACTGGCAATAAACAGTCGAACTTAGAGCGTTGCCCGGTTGGTGATGGTATGTGTGTGCGTGCGTGCGCGCGAGTGCGTGGGTGAAGTGATGGTGTAGTCGTCTGCACACTGTGCTACAAAGCTCAGTCTGGTTCGCGCTCACGGCTAACATCACTCGCGAATATCTGAACAGGTCCTGCTCGGTTGACCCGGCTTCAAATGAGCACCTTGCGGGGTTGTGTAGACATTACACCCCTTCCTTTGTGCGCCGCGCCGGCTTCAATGGTGCTCACCAAAGAGCAACTTTCCCCGACAGTCTATAATCGTTGCATGGGGGGCGGGGTGGAATCTTTATTTTTGTGCGCGCGACTGCAGAAAAGGATGGCAAGGCATTTCACCTGAGCTACGCGGACAAGCTGAAGCTTGTGGCTCTGTCGCGCCAGGTCTCCGCTGGGCCCTTCAGCCCCGACTCCAGTCCTGACGTAGGATACCTGGACGTGTTGGGAAATGACCGCAGGTACTCGCCTATCACCCCGTCCACTCACTCGCTCACTCACTCGCTCGCTCACTCACTCGCTCACTCGTTCACTCACTCACTCGCTCACTCACCAACTCGCTCGCTCGCTCACTCACTCGCTCGCTCACTCGCTCACTCGCTCGCTCGCTCACTCACTCACTCACTCACTCACTCGCTCGCTCGCTCACTCACTCACTCACTCGCTCACTCACTCGCTCACTCACTCACTCACTCACCAACTCGCTCACTCACTCGCTCACTCACTCACTCGCTCACTCACCAACTCGCTCACTCTCTCGCTCACTCAAGTACTCACCAACTCGCACACCCACGCTTCCACCTACCTATGCACAATACATCCACTGATAGTTACACACCCGCGTACTCGCCAAAGCACGCGCACACGTACCTACATACCCACTCACTCTGCCACACACGCACCCATGCACGTGCTCACCTACTCGCTCGCTCACAAATGCACCTATTGACTTACTCTTGCACCCACTTGCCCACTTACTCGTGCACACACCTCACCCACTCATACATCCACTCGTGTAGCCACTCACCCGCACAAGCACCGACTCACCACACCCACCACATGCATGTGAGTGTGTACATTTGCACCACGGCCTGTGCTCTCCCTCTCTCTCCCTGTCTCTCTCTCGAGCAGGCGTGAGTGGGCGGCGCTGGGCGACATGTCCAAGGAAGACGCTATGGTCGGCTTCGTGAACCTCCTCAACGGCTGCTGCCAGCTCTTCGCCCCCTACACCACCTCGCACCGCATCCAGAAGCAGGAGCAGGAGCGCATACGGTGCGTGCGTGCGTGGTGCCGTGGTCCGTGCGACGCATGCACGCGATGTGGCTTGGCTCTCTGGTCTTGTGGTTGAGTTTCGGTGGGCAGCTTGTGGTCAGCCTGTGGTCAGCATGTGGTGAGTATGTGGTCAGCCTGTGAGCAGCTTGTGGGAAGCTTGTGCATAGCCTGTGGGCAGCCTGTGGGCAGCTTGTGGGCAGCTTGTGCATATCCCCCAGCCAGCTTGCCTGGGATTTTTATCCGTGAGTAACTTGCTGACCCTGCTCGTACCGGATATGTGTGGAAAAAAGAGCTTCACGGCTCATCGGATTCCTCCTGCAGTCGAAACAAACATTCCGACTCTTGACGAGTGCCGTTCGCGTCTCTCCTGGCGGTGCAGGCGCGAGCAGGAGGAGTTGCGCCGTCAGCAAGAGGAGGAGCGGGAGCGAGCACGGCAGGAAGAGGAGAGGAGGCGGCTTGAGGAGGAGGAGCGGGAGAGGAGGGAGGAGGAGTTGCGACAGCGTGCTGACGAGGAGCGCTTGCGGCAGGAGCAGCAGAAGTGAGCGGCGCGGTGGTGGTGGTGGTGGCGGTGGTGGTGGGCCACAGCTCGGCAGTCGAAACACAGCGGGAGAAACTTGTGGTGTGCGGGCAAATAAACTGACCATTTGGTGATTCTGCGAAGGCAGTGGTGGCCAAACCCAAAGAACAAAAAAACTCACTTTCATCGATAACGCTGTGGACTTAAAAACATCGCTACTGGAGAGACAAAGGTGGTTGGGCGTGGTGTTGGCCACCTACCCCATTGTGTACCTTGCCGGCTTTCACCGGTGCTACTTGCTCACAGCACAGTCTGTTGAAAGGCTATACGGGGGGGCCTTTGTCTTTTTTATACGTTCACTTGTGTGTGTGTGTGTGCGCGTGTACGTGTGTGTTCACTTGTGTGTGTGTGTGTGTGCGCGTGTGCAGGCAGCAGATAATGGCGGCACTGAATGCGCAGACCGCTGCACAGTTCCAGCATTACGCGGCGCAGCAGTACCCGGGCAACTACGAGCAGCAGCAGGCGCTCATTGCCCAGCTGCAGGAACAGCACTACCAGCAGTACATGGCCCAACTCTACCAGATACAGATGCAGCAGCAACAGGTTATTGTTGTTATTATTTATTATGATTCTACTTGTGTAACCCACGAAAGCCTCAAGACTCTTTGTCATGAAGGTCCTGTCAGGGTTTTGTGGGAGTGGGGGGGGGGGGTAACAGTGCCACGAGCGATACCGAGTGAGGGATTTGCAGGAACTTTTTTCAATATTGGGATGTTTGGCCGATTTTATTTCCCGTCGGGGCAGTTTCTTCATCACCGCACGTTTGTGCTGCCTGCCGTCACCAATCCACACTGACCATTGTGGTGAAGTGTGATCAGATAACCCCCATGACCTACAGCATGGGGAGGTCTTCATCCAGCAGTGGATTAACACAAGGCCTATACATCTATATGTTTGCGAATACCCAGTATTTAAATGTGTGTGGGTGTGTGGAAAGGGCATTATATAGATCTAATTAGAAATAGAATCAAGTCAGGAGCGGTAGTGCAACGGTTTAGCGTGCTGCACCACAAAACTTGCAGCCCGAGTTCGATTCCCGCTCATGGCCAACACCACTGACGATTATCTGAACTGGTCCTGGGCCTCCCTTAGGTTGACTCAACCTAACCTGGTGCGGTGTGTAAACATCGCTACTGGGGAGACAAAGGCGGGCATGCGTTGTGCTGGCCACCTACCCCCCCATGTGTCCTGTTGGCCTTCATAGGTGCTTGCTAACGGCACTTAATCTAAGTTGTCTTGTGGTTGTTGTTGGTTGTTTGACTTGCATCCCACTGGGATTTTTGCACACAGCGTTGGTGTACGGTGATTTTTTTTCTGCAATATTTTGCTGTCTTTTCTTGGATTTTCTGTTTGCACTCAGTCACATATTCACTTTAAGATGTTTTCTTGTTCATATTTTTGTTTTTTGTTTGTTGCGGTTGCACCCGATTCAAGTGCCGAATGGCTCACAGGGCTATACCTAATAAATGAACTTGAACTTGCCCCAACAGTTTGTTTTTGTCGCTCTGCGATTGCCGCCCTTGCTGTGCTAGGCTGCGTTGCTCAGGCAGCAGCAGCACCAGCAGCAGAACGGCGACGGCGTGGCGGGGGGGGCAGCCCCCCAAGAAGGCTGGGCCGGTACGGGCGACGGGGCCACCCAGCTGGAGGACGCGACGATCGGACCCACGGATCCTGCGGCGGCGGGACTCGGGGGCCCACCGGGCGAGGCGGGGGACACGGAGACGGCCGAGGAAGGGATGGAGAACGGACCCAGCGGTAGGAATGTGCCCCCTGGGGTCACGTGTGGCACGGGTGGCGTCGAGGGAGCAGTGACACCCTGAGCTTTGGAGGTGCACGGCATCCTGATGATGTGGGGGCTGGGGAACGTTTCCCTTACTCATAGACCTAGTTACAACACTTGCCCCAACGTTTTATGTAAGCCATATGTAGAGTTTTTTTGTGGTCATCGTGCATGCCTGTGTGCATACATGCCCACCAATGGATGAAGACCTCCACGTGCCATTTACGTGTTTTTTTAACCATATTTCACCACACCGGTTTTTTGATGGTTGGTGAAGGGGTGGTTGGCATGGGGCTGGACCGGTTCTAATATCCCTGACCACTGATCGTATTTAGATCTCCAGTTTTATTGCACAGCGCGTCGACCGCCCCGCACGTGCGTACGGGGGTGCCCACCTCGGGTGTACGCGGACGCGTTGGCTCGTTCACAGCCGCGTTTTTTGTTGTTGCCGCACACTCAGACCTGCGGCGGAGCATCGCGGCGCCCTCCATGTGGACGCGGCCCCAGATCGCCGACTTCAAGATGAAGGTGCGGCAGGACGCGGACTCTGTGCTGACGGTGGGGCGCGGCGAGGTGCTGACGGTGCGCGTACCCACGCACCGCGACGGCGCATACCTCTTCTGGGAGTTCGCCACCGACCACTACGACATCGGCTTCGGGGTGCTGTTCGAGTGGAACGCCGAGCCGCCTAGCGGCGTGAGCGTGCACGTGAGCGAGTCGAGCGAGGACGACGAGGAGGAGGAGGCCGGTACGTGGGGCGACGTGCGATTGCGGTTGTGGCCCTCGCCAGGCAGATGTCTGCGCACTGCTCTTGTTCTCACCCTTGGCCGTTCCGATGACGTACATGTACGCCATCGCTAAATTAAAACAACTTGATTGGTACCGAGGCTCCCACAATGCCCTGCGGGAGGGCATGTGGCGTAGTTTGGCGCCAGTTTTCTTAGAGCGTGGTCGTGTCGCTACGGTTCTCTGCGGTGAGTGCAGTGTCTTTACAAACAACGGCGCTACTACGTCTCTCTAAATAAGATTAACGCTGGTTGCACTTGCGCGTTCCGGGATTCAGCGGTGAACGGGACGAACCCTGCATCTTGCAGATGTCTCGGAATGGGAAAGGGTTAAAAACCCCGCATGTACAAGTACACGGCCATCTTTGTTCATACACTATTGGATGTAAGGGTTGTGGCAGAAGAATACTTAATCAGATTGTTACTTGACCACGTGAAATATGGTCAAACTGCGCTCGCGACTGACACGGCGGGGCGATGCCTTCATCCAGCAATGGCTTAACAAAGGGGTTTAAAACGAATGGATACATTTGTCTTATTAGTTCAAATGTAGATAGTTGCAGCTATAACCACAGGTATTTGTCGGCGGTGGCAACTCCTGCGTTTGAATGCTGTATTTAACCGCTCCCCCCCCTCCCCCTCCTCCACACTGCAGGGGAAGGCGGAAGCGTGGCCGGGTCTGGCAAAGCTGCAGGGGCCAAGGCTGGCACCCCCAAGCCCGTGCTAGGCGAGGTGGTCCCCGTGTATAGGAGGGACTGCTACACCGAGGTGTACGCTGGCAGCCACCAGTACCCGGGCACCGGCACCTACCTGCTCAAGTTCGACAACTCGTACTCGTTGTGGCGGGCCAAGACAGTCTACTACCGCGTCTACTACACCAGATAGAGCCAGCCCCACCCCCAGAGCGCCTTGCCCTGCCTCTCTTTTACCTCTCCCAACTAGCGCCGTTCTTTCGTGGCTGTCTGTCCTCACTCTCTCCCTTTCTCTCTTTTTGTCTTGCACTGAAACGAGCACTGAGGCGTGGCAAGGAGGGGGCTACGTTGTGAATGGAAATGGCGTTGTTTGATCTACACGGCGGCAAGGCTCTGGCGTGTGCTCCTCACTCTCACCAACTCGTGCTATCTCTCCCTTGCTAGCTCTTTCTTTCAGACAGTTCACTAGTGGAGATAGTTACTTGTGGAGATGGTTACTTGTGGAGATAGTTACGTGTGGCATGGGGGAATGATGGATGCTTCTCAGTTCTCGTCGAGTGCTTTGCCCTCCGAACCAGAAATTTTCTCGGTTCGTCACCAGAGGTGTCAACTGGGAGCCGAGAGATATCTTGGGCAACATTAATGCAAAGTGACATGATAAATCACTTCCTTTGGTGTGGGGGCACGGTTTTGAGTGGTACATCACGCGTTAATGAACAGCCTGCTAAAAAGGCCGCACCTTTATTGCGGCGTTAATGGCAGGAATGGCCACGCATGACACGACACTATTCTAGGGTGTGACGATGCATTCTTCCATCAGCTCTAAGAATCGCCACGTTTTTCCACCGATTTTTTTGTTGTTACCAGCTGATTCACAAAACCAAGCACCCCCCCCCCCCACCCCACCCTGCTTTAATTGGACTGCTTTCTAATCAGTCCTGGTTCATTTCACATCTGGAAAGCTTCCTGAAAATGATTTGCGGAGCCTGCCGTGTTTGCACCACCTAATTGATTAGACTTCTCTGCCTCCCCGTCAATGCCCATGTACCCACCCAGCTTGTACACGTGTCATCTTGTATAATACAATCTACGCCCTATGCTTAGTCCAACACCCCTCAAGCTTTTGAGTTTCAGGCTGCTTGCGTAATTGCACACCGGATTTCATCTTGTTGCACTCTTCTCTCCCCCTCACTCCCCTCCCCTCTTCCCGTCCTCACTCTGCAGGGCACACACTTTTTCACGCTATTTTGTTGCGGCGAAGTTGGAGGGTCAACTTTCATAAAACGCATCGCGTGCAGTTTTCTTTGTTATCGATTTAATCCGATAATTTTTGTGGAGGCCGTTTTGTTTAAAAATGTGTATGATATTTCTTTGGGGGTTACCGGGCAGGGGAGGGGGGTAATGGAGAATGAGTTGGTGGTTCCTGTTGTGGGGAGAAGGCACTACTTTGATTTGTGCGCGTGCCTACTATGGATTCGTTTGCTTGCGGTGTATAGATAGGTTTGCGAAGCCTCGATGTTGGGACGAGGACTGGGGGAGTGGCTGAATGCAGGTGCAAGTACGGTGATGGGGAAGGGGGGGGGGGTGAGGTTTTGTATTGGTTTGGTCTTGTCTCCATTACCGACCCTCTTTACTTGTAAAATGCATTATAATTTAATTCGTTATTCTCATCGCACTGATTGCTTCGAGTGCTAGTCGTGTGCTGGAGTGTCTGAGCCTCAATAAGGTTACCTTGGGGTTAGAGCTGGACGGCATTAAAGTGATCAAGACATGCGTCACGACGTATAGCGTTACAGCAGTGTGATGGTGCCTATTGGTGTCGTGTATTGTGCCGATAACAGTATACGATTCTATGCTAAGATCAATCGCAAGTAGGGCGTAACGTTGCATCGATTCAGATTAACATTTTAAGCGCAGCGGTCTCATAACACGAATCGCGTTGTGCCCGCGAGCATCAATTACACACCTCGTTTTCCCCTTTTAATGTAAAATGGTTCACGCGATGCCTGCTGCCACTGGAGGGCACTACATTCACCACAATACAAAATAATGGCAGAATTGGGAACCTTGAAATCTGACAATTCATAGAATCGGGGTGGGTGGGTGGGTGGGGAAAACCATTACATGCCTAATGTACATTATGCATTCCTATTTATCTCTACCAGTACATTATTTCATTCCTATTGTCTAAACCAGTGCAGTGGTCTGTAAATAAATTCGGTGATACCAGAGCAGTATTGTGATTCGTTTGAATAAAGTTAAAAGTCGTTTCCCATTATATTAAAATACAAATGTGCAGTTTAGAAAGCATCTGCATCTGACTGGGAGGGGTGGTGTTGCAGTGGTTCGCGCACTGTGCCATCAACCTGGCAAGCCAAATTCGATTCCGGACCACTACCACCAGTGGCGAGTGATCTGGAAAATGTTCTGGCTCCCCCCCCCCCCCCCAACTCCTTTGCCAATCTGCACTGACCGAGCGAGTTGAAGTCACCAGCTATGATAAAGCCACTGCTGGATGGCCTCAAGCCATCAACATATTTCACAATCCTCATGTTCAAACAGCCACCCGGAAAGATGAATTGATATTTTGTTTGCGATCACATCAAGACAATGTACAGGAAGACTGCATTGTGAGGTCATGGTGAAGGAGGGATTTTGTTTTACAGGTGAAGACTTGACACGCACAGATGCTTGTACACTTGAATGAGGCAGAGGGTCGAGAAACTAGATTGACAGGGATGGAGGTATCAGCAGCATACTAGGCATGGTCAGCCACCCAGTTGGTTTTGCTGGGCATTTTTGATCGAAGGCCTTGGTTGCTGGAGCAGCAGACAACGAGCAAGAGGTAATCCAGGGTCAAATTAGCATTTTGGAGATGGCGTTCCTAAGGGCCGTGGCACTCTGGTTGACCCTAGAGGACACGTGACAGGTTAAGTCGACAGGGGCCCCAAGTAGGGGCGAGGGGTGGTCACGTGTCAGGGTCGAGATCCTGCTCGAGGATTCTGGAAGGTGGTCGTGGCCAAGGGCAGAGCCACGGAGGATATAAGCCGGGTCCCCCAGAGGGACCGGCTGCCGTTCATCCTGAAGAAACCTTCATCTACGTTCTACATACTACAGTGTCCAACACGTGGACCGAGACCCAAGCTTGAGGTCCGGTCCATTGTCGTTAGTTACGGTGTTATTAGTGTCGTTAGCCTGGTGGTCACCACCATTAGGTTGTTATTTTGTTAAGGGGCAGTTACCCCGTGTGTTGGTTTTAATTAATGTGTTGCCTCCAGTGAGTACGTCTGCGACTCGGTTGAACTCACTACACAATTGAGTAATTTAAATGACCATTTTAAAAATCAAAACAAATCTAATAGATTAATTTCATACTGCACCGTTCATTCAAATTGTAAATTGCACAATCGCCGAGGGACCACATACTAGCTAGAAGGCTTGCTAGGTGATGATCTGGCACTAGTTGCTCTGCAGTTATCTTTAAAAAAATTCAGCCAATTAGTATTTTCTGCATGTAGGAGGAACCCAGAGCACCTGGAGAAAACCCAGCCATGCAAGGGGGCAACACTATCCCATACAGAAGGGACGTGATATATCAGTTCACACTTTGCTGTACTGAATTATGCTGGCATGTCAGGATATTGCACCTCCATACATAACGTAAGAATTCGAGCAGAGGAGTTACATTAGACTTTTTATTGCCAGACAAACCCCATGATATGGTGTGCTTATTTAAATACTATACAATTTAATTTTAGGGTTCGTCCGCATGGTGCATTTGCATCTTTCATTCTTTACAGTTTAACCTTTAAACTCTTGAAGACTTTTAATATATTATTCCTATTTTTAAAGTGCAACAAAATATTTTAAATACAAGGCTCACAATCGTGCAGTTACTTAACCTTTAGTGCATTAATATTTGCACACTACAGGCACTCTTCAGTTGTCCGAAAGAATATCTGCAACAATATAAAATGCGACATTGGTACAACGGTCAATTATAGCATAACAATACTATTAATACTGCGCTTATCCATAGACATTTTAAAATTGCATGTTAGTCGGAGGGCACGTGGTTGATAATGGCAGACGTGGGAAATGTACCGATTCATGGTGGTTTTCGCTCGCAAGTTTGTACACTAGCATTGTTACTCTTACACGCGGTAATTTGACAATATTAAAATCACGAGACTCAAAAATGTTGGGATCAGTTCAGCCCATCATCCTAGGGTAGATAAAACAAGTACCACTTTATTGGGAATCAGCAGTGGTGTCCAAATGGAGGTTGACCCTGCCATAAGAATGAGGAACCTCCACCACTGGCTAATGGTCAACAAAAAAGAGGAACAACCCAAAATTGTGGCAACTGCAGACATTAACCATGGTAGCTAAATGTTGATTACTCTGTAGTCAAATGGTGGTGTTAAGCCCATCGAGGCACCAGGCATAATTTTGTTGTGGGCTCCCCTTTCAAATGTTGACATCCGAGTGAGATGACAGAAAATATATAGTGAGACAAGATTTTCAGATCGAGTAAGATAAGATAAATGTAAACAAAATTAAGAGCTATATTGAGGAGAGATACAGAAAAGATAGACGTCAGAGCAATCAACTTGCTCTATGTTAAATAGCTTGTTATGTATAATAGGTTTTAAATTTGAGCCGTGTTTCCTGGGGACACTTGAGATTCAAGTTCATGTATTAGGTATAGTCCTGCGAGCCATTCGGCTCTTGAATCGGGTGAACCGCAACAAACAATAAACTAAAACATGAACAAGAAAACATCTTCAAGTGACTATGTGACTATGTGCAAACTGAAAATCCAGGAAAAAAACCAGCAAGAATTCCAGAAAAAAAGCATCGTACACCAACGCTGTGTGCAAAAATCCCAGTGGGATGAAAGTCAAACAACAACAACAACCACAACAACAACCACAAGACAACTTAGATTAAGGCCATCAGTCTAACTCCGTACAACAACAAACATGGCCAAACCAAAAAAACTTTTCGAAATCACCAAAATAAAACCATAAAAGCAATGTAACAGTGATCACAGGAACTGTGACCGAATTTTCACAATAAACGACAAACAACATGTACCACCAAACCCTGCAGCCATAGCTGGCTGCATGAGTCAAGATACTTATGGCCCCTGGAGCTTTTGAGTTGCTTATGCCTCGCACCGCCACTTGGTGTGTGTGCACATGTCACAATCTTAAGGGTATTTTGAAGGCCTGTGCACAAGATTATTCACCCACCTCGGGGTATGCTACGTGTATCACGTGGACCACCATGTGCATGGAAACGCTTGAGTTGGCCCATCTTCTTTGTTACAAACGTCTGGCTCACGATGCAGCACAGCTCTTGAGAGCTCGGAGCCTGCATGACAAGCTGAAAAAGGCGTAGCCAACAATCGTTTGCTCATCATAAATGCGGAGGGAGCTCTAGAAAGCCCTTTGCCTACTCTTCCATGCTGTCAGATATCTTGGAAGAGGTGGAAGTACCCACTTGCGGTGACCCAGTGGCTCAGTGGTATGTAATTTTGTTTCCAATTGTTACTTACCCTCTGGCCCGCCCCTCTGTCTGCTATTAAAGAAGGACCATTGCCTAAAACGTCACCTATTGTACAGTTTTCCTCTTTTAGGGCAGCGTTATGCAGTTCAGTTCATTTTGAATTACCCTGTGAGCCAAGCAGCTCTTAAATCGGGTTTCATCAACAAAATAACACCGCTTCTCCGACACGCAACAAGTCTCGGCAAAATAAATCGATAAATATGAATAACAGATAATCAAAATAAAATATGGCAAATAATAATTATAATATAAAAATTGTTTTTTTTCATGAACACTCAACAAGTTTTCCGGTGCTATAAAATGCATGCAGGCGTGGTGTAAGGATGCAATGGGATAATAGGGGTTTTTCCCCTTTTTTCTGGCAACAAAACTGAAACCTTTTTACAAGGATTCATGTCTGCATTAACCACAATACTTGCAGTCAAATGCCAACAAAAAAAACACACTATGATAATATATGCATTGTCCTCGAAACTGATTGGTCCACACCAAGGGACGGCTTTCTTTTGAGCCTCGACCCAATTGGTGCTCGACCAGAGGACGCCAAAAGGCGTACAGCTCAAAGGGGGGGGGGGGAAACCCTATTATTATATTTTGGTACTGGCAAAGGAGGTCCAATTATGTAGATGCTCACCCCGAGCCCTCATTACTTTGATAGTGCAGCATTGTCTTTGAGCTGTGGACGCCTTTTGGCGTCCTCTGGTCGACCACCAATTGGGTCGAGGCTAAAAAAAAAAGCTGTCCCTTGGTGTGGACCAATCAGTTTCAAGGACAATGCATATATTATCAGTGTGTTTTTTTGTTTGCATTTGACTGCAAGTATTGTGGTTAATGCAGACATGAATCCTTGTAAAAAGGTTTCAGTTTTGTTGCCAGAAAAAAGGGGAAAAACCCTATTATTATATTTTGGTATTAGCAAAGGAGGTCCAATGATGTAGATGCAATGGGAGTTTCATCAGCACCTCTTGCTTGATACTGCTCGAGCTGGAAGAGGGCGAGTCGGGCGCAATTTCTTGCGAGTTGACAGTGCCCCAAGTCTGATTAGGCTCCAGTTCACTCAAGCTCTCCTGGGCCACAGGCGACAAGTCCAGCTGCAGCAACACGTACACACACAATGCAAAGATATCATGAAGTGCACGGCACTCGACTCGAGTCTTCAAATCATTCTAGTTGGCGGCACTTGGCAAAAGCAAAATCTTAGAGTTCTAAGTAATTCAAGATTCCCCGGATTCAGGTAAAGATATATATATATAAATTATAATGAAACACTCGTTAGAGAACCCATTGCTATGATATGGAAAAGACAGCTGCCGTTTCCACTTCTTGTTGGGGTGGAGAAATGCCCAGTTAGCAGCCAGTCAGGAAAAACACGGGAGCATCGATTAATCTCATTATATCGACATCAGTTATCAATATCCACATTGGCCAACCCCCCCTCCCCCCCCCCCCCCACTGGTCGTCTCTGAACTTTACAATGTCTTAAATGTTCTACTTACAGCTAAATTGTTGATCATCTTTTGAGGTGTGCTGGTCTTTGTCTGAAAATATTTGATTGTGTGCGATGCCTGCACATCAACATTTACACAAAAAGGGGAAAACGAATAATAAAAATGTTGTTAGCGACCATTGATATATGAACAAACAGTGAATATCATTGTTTATGTTGCAGGAGTACAGCATTTTGCGGATTATTGTTTTTATTAAATGGAAAGTTAAATGTAATAACAAAGATTTATTGCAGTTTTACTTTACTGATTTGTATGCTACAGTGCCTTGTTAGTCAGTACTCAGCATTTTCAAGTGATAAAGGATTTTTTTGGAGGTGGAGTGATTTATTTACAGCGAATTACTCCCTCCGAAACTATATTTCGATTCTCATAGACATACCTTAGAATGTCAGAGGTCTCTGTTCTAAAAAAAAAGGAAGTTAGAGGCTCTTAATTCAAGTTACACTTAAAAAAACTGTCAGAAGACAGCTAAATATGCCAAACAAGTCCTTTTGTAATCAACATTAATCTCAGGAGGAAGAAATTAGAGGTCTTCAAAGCAAATGGATTCAGTCTTCTGAAGCAGAGTGACTAGATGCATGTCACCTATAAAGTAAGTAACCACTGTTATGGACAGTCTGCTAATAAGTGTCAGTGATTAAGCGGGTTGCTCATCTCATTTTTAGCCCCGAGCTAATGGTGGAATTGACACGTTGCTTTCGTGGGATTAAGTCCATCCATTAGGAAAACCATTGATGACCTTGGATCTTTCGGTAAAGTCACGTAGAAGGGAAATAATAAAACAATTTAACAATAAAATTCTCACGACGTTTTGGCCACAACACAAGCAGCCGTCCTCAGGTGAAGAACAGAGCTGTGGGAAAGACAGCGTCCTAATGAAACACTGCTAAGCTTGGCAGCGTATTTTAAGCTGGGTGGGAGGAGCAGAGCGAATTACATAGAGGAAATTCCTCTGATGATATGTAAACTCCTGGCCGAAACGTCGTGAGAATTTGATGTTTAATTTTTATTATTTTATTATTTCCCTTCTACATGACTTTACCGACCGTTCCAAGAACATTGATGACCTCTCCAAAAAGTGGTACTCATCGTCCCCGAAGGAATGATGGGTCAAGTCGACCACAATTTTACGTCTGATTGAGAACCGCTCCTTTTAGTGCAGAGCCACCATGCCAACATCCCACATTAGTGTTGACAGCAGGGAGAATTCAAAGCAGGACGATCCATATGAAAGCACAAAAGCAAGATAAGAAGGCTTAAGGAGAAAAAGGGATGAAAACATACGTGTGGATAGGAACGAGCATTAAATACCTGCAAGGACTGGGATGTGACCTCGTTAGTCGGAAAGGTGCAGGCTATGGGTTGTTTGAACGAAACGTGCTTGGCGACGACAACAGAAGAGTTGGATTTGCTCATCTCTCCTAGCGCTTCACTGCATGTTGGCTAGTAATACATACACCACAACCACCACGTTATTTGTTTTAGGACCATAACATTAATTCATCATCCTAGATCACGGGTTAAATTAGATGATCTGGAGAGCCACAAAGTGAAATTGGCATGTGATGACAGGTCAAGTAACATCATAGCATTCTATATAATCGGACCATGAATCTGTACCACTCACCCTCTGGTCTCTTATTGTCTCACTTTCATCTTAATAAATTGGTTTATCTTTATGTCCTGGCAAAGCACATCTCTCCACAAGCAATTCCAAGGGATTTTCTGGGCTAAGTTTGGCCTGTAGGCCACCTGTTCTAGAGTAACACGACATTTTAAGCTGGGAAAGACTCACTCACTTATGAATGCTTGGATATTTCTTGTTTTGGGAATTTTCGTATTGTTTGGTAGATCATAGGGAGGATTTAACCGATAATGTGCACGGGTAGAACATTTAATATGCACAGGTAAAGACCGATTTGCTATTCCAAACTTAGCATGGTACCTTGTTAATTATCTGTTGGATGTTTTACAAATGCTTTATATATAACAAAAAAATCGGCAATCCCACCTCAGTTGAGGACAACTATGCACGACCAAACAGCCCCATGGTCGAGCATTACTTGTATATGTCTATATAATCTCCTCGGTACATCAAGCCATGGTTTTATCTGCCATTGTTATTGAACTTAAATTAATTCAATAATTCATTGGTAAAACATGAAGGCGATTGCTCAGTCTATACAAATATTGGATTGAGCGTCAGTGCCATGAATGCATATTTTTGTAATAGTAATTAAACTTCTAAATATAGCTGTTTTACAGTGCCTTTAATAGAAAATAATAATTTACAGCCCTTGCTCAATCCACTGATGAAGCACTCAATGTCGTGGCTATCATGGGGGTTGTGTTTAAGACAGGTATTGGAGTGACACCCAGTGAGGTCAAACGCAGCAATTGTAAGGATAGGGTGTCGACTTTGCAACTAAGATCCAAACAGGATGGAGATATTGCGGGATAAACATAATAAACCATGGTGACCTGATCTTGAGTCTAGTATGCATGTGTTTTGCCCGCAATGGAACAGGGACAAATGTTAAGTGACTGTATTATTATGGAAACGTAATCGCAAGATGTTGTCTGAGAGTACATAAGCACCTTAGGTGTGTGTAGAGTGGCTTCGTTGTTGGTTAGATTTGTCAGAGCAGATTTCGGAGTGTTTTTCACCAAGACACTCGACGACACGTTCAGGTTTCCCAGTCTGTAAACTTTTTTCCCTGTAACACATTTTTTGTTATTTTTTCCTAACAGGTGAGGAATTTGCAAGCGCCATCTTGTGGCTTAACATAACATTTCAGAGACTGCATTGGCAAGTTGTTTTTAGCAACTTTTCAAAACGTCTTCCTTATGATACTGCGTTGGCAGTAGTGCATTAGCACAGATAACAAAAACTGCACATTTGTCAAAACTGCCACGAAACGCTATAAAATGGTATAAGTAGGCGACTTTGAGCAATTGCCCTAATGCATATCAGGAGATGATTGTGGACAGAGGCGCTTGACACAATTGCTATTTTTCATTAGAGATGAAAAATTTTGTTGTTGAAAAAGCTACGGATGTATAGTGAAACATTGCGGTTCATGCCAAAACACACAGACAACCCGAAAACAAAGATGTACATGACAACGATGCAAACCTGTGCATAATCATTGAACTAAATCAACTCAAACCTCCCATAAAAAAAACTGGACGTGTGGCCACCCTCACTCAATCTCCCCCCTCTGCTTGCGAAAACAGAAACTACGATACTCCGTGCAGCGTTGAGGCCTTTGTGTAGCATCTTACTCCCGATCCTCATCTTTCCTGGTACTTTGGACCCATCCTTTATTTATTTATTTTCCAATCTCACCCCCTTTTTCTTTTTCCATACATTACATGCTTTATTCTATTCCCCTTTCAGTGGTGTACTGCAAGTAAAGTTAATCGTTCTAACAATAACATGTTGCCTCGTTTAAACAAATATATACCGCACAAATTCTTAACCTTGCAGATCATTACGGCAATTGACACAATTTACCTGTGCAATTGAATGCTATGTCAATGAATAACTCCCTGACCTAGCTTTTCGAAGTAATTACACATTGTTCCTCGTTTCTTCACGACTTGGTGACATTTGGACAAATTTGTCGTTTGTATAAAATGTGTAACTTAGTCAAATGTGGAATACAAATCTGGTTTGTAGTGGGGTGGGGTTAGTGGAAACTACATCACACAGTGCTGAAAAGTTAATGTTTGAATTCTCAAGTAATATTTAAAGCACATACCTGAAAAAGATGTTGAAATATGTGCAGACGATTCATTCAGCGTTGCCTTGGTCCTAATCAAAGATCCTTCCCTTGCTAAAAGAAACATTCTACGATTACTGCACACCCATTGCACCAAACTTAAGTAAAACTACATTTTTCTTTTAAAATGACAATGGATGTACCCGATTTACTTGACATATATACTGTACATGGTTATTTTATAGGCAAATAGCAAAAAGAAGTGCATCGTCATTACCAATCACGATTGCACTTGACATTTTTAATCAGAATATAATTCAATATATTCTCCCCAGATAATTTTAATTAAGAAAAATGTACACCAAGGCAGATTTAATATCACATTTCTTAAAACCAAACCGACAAAGTATTGCATAATGCATTTACCCTGTGCAATCTTCGTGCACACGTTACGTGAACTCTCCATACCTGAGACTCGTCTTTTTCACGCAAGAGGAGCGTTTTTTCTTTCTGGTCCTAGAATCTGTAATAGGCTCATTTTATAACAGGCTTCATATACGTGTACATATTTCACATAAGCAATTGTACAGGACACAATTATATATATGGATTCAAATGTGTAGTCAACTATACCCTGCTCAAAAGAGCATAGTTGGTGACTATTTACTGTCCTGAGCCCGTGGTAGAAAACTCCAAAAAAGGTTTATAGCAGGAGGCATCGATAAGACAACCAAAAAAGGTAATCCACAAGACAGTATTCGTATTAATCCTGGGAAGGGCAATAGGCTTTGCAAACCCCCAAACAGGAATTTTACTTACAATCTTCCGATTAAGAGCTGCTCTGGCACAGAGCAAATATTTCCCACAACCATTAACCACGAGTTTGGCATTTCTTCTATTAGGTATATTAATGAAAAATGCTATATGGCTCCTCCACCATCAGTTTCCTTTACTTTGAGGCTTGCTTGTTAAATGTAATTTGTTGTATGTTAGTCATTAATAGCAGTATATCCCAATTGTATTGAAGATGTCTTTGGAGAAATCCTTTCAGAAATGTTACAGAGCAGTGTTTCGTGTCTTTATTCTTTAGACAAGGATTACCCACTTTCCTACACGATCTGCTATGAGATTGTTTCTGTATTTTAAGTTAATCAAAATCAACCAACGTTTTAAATTATATTTAGTGTGAAGTCCCTGGCTATCAGACTGCAACCATAACTCACAACACTTGATAACCCACGTAGTTAAAGTGCAGGCGATTAAAAAAAAATTTGAACACTCAGCAGCACAAACTCAGCGCCGAGCCAGAAGCTACCTAATAAGTATAACCCGTAAAAACAAAGTTTTTCACTATAAATCCTTTATATGCGTGGCGGCTAGAGTCTTCTCGTCCTCTGGCTTGAGATGGCTGCCACCTATGGGTCAGATGATTGTCTGCCAGTATTAAGCAATTGGTAATTAAATATTTAATTAGTTTTCCCTAAACAGTGTAAAATTTTGGAATTTTTTTTTCACGAACATTCATTGTCTCGCACAACGAGTCAGTGTGCAAAATGTCAGCTCGATTGGATCACGGGAAGTGGGTTAAAAAACGACCGAAAGATTTGCACGGTCGTAAGCAAGCAAGCAAGCACGCAAGCACGCAAGCAAGCGAACTTAATAAAGGATTTAAAAATATAGATTTTTTTAAATGGCAAGATATTGTTGTTACATTTGAAAAACCGTTGAACACAGAAAAATGTATTCAGACTTGACACCAACCATAGATTTCTGAAATATCCTCAGGCAGGTCCATGTTGATGGTGCCCAGTGGACAGCTGCTGTTGATCATTGTAGACTGTGCACAGTTGAAGTCTGTTGTGCTTACACCAATTTGGTCTGCTTCAGGTTCGCCTAGGACCTCCGTCTCTGCAATGCCCTCCACATCCACGTCATCTGTCCAAGACAAAAATGTGTGTTTTCACCAATTTACATTGTCACGTTATCGTACAATCACAAGTTAACTTTAATAATATTAACCGTGTCTTTTCCGATCGTGTATTTACAAATAAGTTCAAAATACATACATCAATACCTGGATTGGCAAGAAAATCACTATTTTGTGGGACTGAAATTCCCCCTCCCCTCACAGAGTAAATAATGACATTATTAAAATCAACTGAAAAGATCTGTGTGCCACTTACAAAATATGCATTAAAGCACAAGCCCACACATACACCACAATTATACAAGTTATTGCAACAAAGTGCAAAGCATTGTCGAGGCAACATGTTCATTCAAATAATGTAACGAAAGCAAACTAAAAACTAAAGTAGAGTGCGTTGACAAGAGTGCTAATGAACGTGACAATAATCTCACGTGTGGCATGCTCTTCTTTGCGCATTGTTTCTGTGGTGGTGCAGTCTAAATCGGAGGTGTTATCCTCCCTTTGCAGTGTATCGTCCGTGGCCAGGGAGGAGGAGCTCATCATCATGTCGCTTTGCAGCTGGTTTAAGAAGATCGAGACCCCAGACGGCAGCGTCATATACGAGCTTAGGTACGTTTCCTCTGGTGGGGGAAAAAAACACCACAATGTACATCAAGCCACGCAGGCGCACAAGACGCTTTGGAGGTTTGAGGGTTCCTGTTAAAAAACATTTCTCCCAATGGTAAATTAGGGGACTTACAGATGATTCACAAAGTTTGCTTCCTACTTTGGTGTCATGACTAAGAAAAGTTTTATATTAAATTCTAGGCAACCACTGTTTGCCGACTCATTTACGTTTTGTCAAGCCGAGTTTGTGCACTCCTCCGTATTTAAAAAGGTTCCCATCATCAGCATGTCACCTTGTTGAAGGGAGAACGAATGCAAACACCATGCATTCTCAAAAAACAAAGCTCTGCACCTACACTCAAGCTGCTATATAAAAAGATGTAGTCTAAAAAAACAAGATTAGAATAATGTAAAAGCAGCCTTAAAAAGGATAAAGAAATTAGCATAGACGTACCCATACCTATGACAGTAACTAATTCACACGATTTCCACCTTTGTTATTGTACTAAAGGATGGCGAGTCACTCTTCATATTGTTTGTATACACTTTAAATGTCACCTTAACAACACACAAGATCCCCATTTCCCTTACTCTTTACCCACTCACACGATCGCCCCTAACACCGTCACTTGAACGTTAACGAGTCACCGTATTAGGCGTCTGTCTTAACGTCCTCAAACTGGACTGCTAGATGCATGCGGGAATGTGAACATTTGCGTTGTGCGTGTTAAGTGTGTTACAGTACACAAATACATAATTCTCAATTGGATTTAGGTCACACCTTCCAACAGATGCAGAACTCTCACATGTTACTATTTTATCGCGGAGATGAGAATCTTAGAAGCGTCAAAACCAACAGACCATTAGGTAAACCGTTTGCACTGTGCAGTATAGCCAAAACATGTCTTTGATAACGTCACGTTGGGCAAGGGTTTAACCGATGTAAGGGATGTCAGGGGAAGGGTTCCCACCAAGAGGAGGTGGAGTGGGACGGTCACAGGGGAAGGGGGAAGAGCAAGCGAGGAGATACAAGAGGGAGAACGGGCGGGAAGAGGAGATATGTTGGCAGAAACGAGATTGAGAAGGCTGGGGATGAGTGTGGACTGAAGGAAGGAATAAAAGACGAACCCCCTGCAACCTTGTGTCGGCTCTCCTTTACACCTGTATAAAGAGTTTTTGTATTACATATAGCAACATCAAAATGTATTTGTGAAAATAGCATGTTCGCACCATTTTAATACCCTTTCTTTATTATTAGCCCACATTTTAATTTATTAAAAAAATATAAATCTGAGCAATTGTATTTGTCACTAGCTAAGAAGGTACCTGGCTTTGGACGGGTCTCAGTAATCAAATATTAAGAGTAATGACTTGGTATGCCATCTCTTAGAACAATTGTATTCTGAAAATTAAGTCCGTAAATGTCTATATTTTGTTTGTGTGATATTTACATGGCTTGATTGTTTAATGAGGACATCTTTTGAATGTGTTATCATTGGAGAGATTTGAGATAGACAATATTGGATATAGTCATCTGGTGCCAATGTGAAAAGGTTTTTGGAATTGCCAACTCTGGAGTAACGAATAGAGTTGACCATGAGAGAAGCATGGGCTTAGCAGATTGAAGCCAACAACTATGAATGCTTGACCCTGTGCTTTGTTGATGCTCTTTGCAAAACTGAGGTAGAAAGGGAATTGAAAGTGTTTAAATAGAAAGGACAGGTCATAAGAAATGACTGGAATTGGCAGAATGAAGACATGGTGCCCTGCTGCATGGTCAATCATGATGGTGGCTTCACCTACATGGGGCATTAAGTCTTCACAGCAAAATCATGTAGCATTGAAAAGTGTTGGTGGGTCTAGATTCCTGAGAAGCATGATGGGTGCGCCAATCTTGAGGTTGAGTTTGTGTGCAACCACCTGGTGTGCCTCCAGAGTTGAGACATTATGTAGGGCAGTTGACTGCCTCATTAGTGTCCAGTAGTGTCAATTTACTTCTTTGTGTGAGGCGTGCCTGGCAATTCAAAAAGGTCGTTATTGATATTGACAGCGTCTTTATGGTTCAAGGATCGATCTTTTGCATAGCCACTTGTGGTCATGGAAGTGGCGTGCAACATCACCGAACAAAGCTTCTTTAATTTGCTGTGTTGCAACTGTTGTGCCAATGTTAGTCAGAGATACTTCAATCTGTATTGGCAGGTAGTATTGCTCCATTATCTATTTTGAGCAGACTTGCAGAAAACTGTGCATCAGATGCATTGCCAGTTAGACGTACTTGCATATTGGTAAGGCTGACTCACTGAATGTCTTCCCAAATGTATTATACTTTGGAGGCAGGCGTGGAGTTCATCAACTTTCGTTCCACGTGGAATGACTGGCAGTGTTTCTTGGAAATCCTCCGTCAATAGTAGAGTAACGCCTCCCATTGTTGTCATTATGACGATTGTCTTGTAGGGTGCGATAAAGTCTTTAAAAAGGGAGCTTTGTAAGACATCAGGCACTCATCCCAGACAATGAGGTGGCACTGCTGCAGGACATTGGCAAAGTTGCAGATAGGCGTTTGCATTAGCCAAATTAAATGGCAATTTGAAGCCAGTCAGCTGTTCTTCGTCCTATCAGGTGTGGCAGCAATGCCTAATGATGCAACCGCAATGGCAATCATGCTGTGCTGGCAGATTTTACCCAAAGCAAAACTGATGAGGAAAGTTTTGGCCATTCTACCTGGAGCATCAAGAAAGAAAATGACATCACTAATCGTCTCACAAAAGGTAAAGTGGCACATCATTATCATTGTTTCGCAGTGGTTCAGGAAGGGCGAAAACTTTAGAGGCAGAGCCACCTAAAGCATGAATCTTGTCTTCAACGACAAGAGCCGGATTGAAGATGGCATCATTGTAGTGCTGTAGCAGGTTTGTATTTAGCACTTGTGCCTGCTGTAGAATGTCCTCTGCCAGGTTCTCATTGTGGTTGTGCCATAGTTGCAGAGGATTAGAAGTGGCACGTGTGCAGCATGATGGCAAACAGGTTCCACATCACATTTCTGTTCCACTGCGCATCATCCTCGAGCAGGCATGGGAGTTGGGCAAGCCTGTTGGTATCGCAGATAGTGCCATCAATTGTTCACAGCTTTTCAAATGACTCAGGACTTTTGACCTCATGTAGAAGCAGTCTGGGGTGAAAGCATTCTAAATTGGTGGGATGTTTCGTATAAACACGGCCAAGTGCATAACTGCCTTTGATTTGTGGGAAATTTGGCACATTGTCGAACTTTGCAGCACACCAACTTTTTGCTGGGAACATTCCATGTGTCACTCTTGAATGGATAAGTTTAGGATTCTCCATGTGGATTCATAGGTGCAGATGCATATGCCAAATTGATATTGTTGAACCTCATCATGCACTTACATGATCTGTTGCGAGGCCAAAGATAGCCACGCCAGATCCTTTGACATACTTGCACACATTATGGATTTGACAGTGGGCAGCACTCAACATTGATGTGTGCTTTGAAGAAGTGAGAGAAGCAGACAGCATGGAACAATCCACCAGGTGTCTATTGCAACGTCAGAAGGATAAATTCTGATGGAAGTTGTAAAGCCACCATCTCGGGTGTTGTGACGATGCAGTGTGTATCCATCTGGTGCAGTCTGCCTTTCAGAAGTTGTCATCGGAAGTGTTTAGTGCATTTGTTGTCTTTAATGCATGGTGATTTGGGATTGATGGCTCTACAGGGACCATTCATCATGTGTGTTTTGAAAGTTTTGTACAGAAGAGGAGGAATGTGTGCGTCTTAATACAGACCAAGTTATGTAAACCAAGTTACATATTTTGTATTGACATAACAAACAAAACTCTTATGACAATGCATATAGGGGGATACACGTATTACCCTCTGTATTATAAGCTGGTCTCCATTCGTCAGGAGGGCTAGAATTAGAGACATAACCTCTGACATTATCCATAACACTAACATGGTGATCAGTCAAATCAGAGACCTCACATTTTACAAGACAGCTAATAATAAATCCAGCCAACTGTTTTTTAAAACTATTAAAAAGGCTGATGCATGGTCTTATTTTAGTCAGTAAATTGCTCAAAACACTTACCTAACAGATAACACTATTTATGTATGGTTTGAAGCAATTATATTTATTTTGTGTAGGTGATAAATGGATGATACAATAATAAACTATATCCTCACCGCTTTCCACAGTCTCCACGGAGCTGGCCGAATCCTTTGGGGAAAAAAAAATGATGCATAACTTTTTAAAAAGTAAACCAAAAGGTGTCAGGAGCAAAAGACAAAATGCATACTACATACATTTTATAAAGTGACACAATCGGGGCAGAACATGACAGCAATTACCTCAGGGGAGGATTGAAAATATTGCATGGTAAAAAGTGTACTTTCATACACACAGCAAAACCAGTGGAACCCACTTTTGTCAGTACTTTGTTCACTGACAATCTTCTCGTAACATGGAAAATGTTGCACTTCTGCTGTATATGGTAAAATGAAAATGTTCTGAAGTTTAAATTTTTTGTGTGGAAAATATGGACACATGCATCTTCAGTGTTACCACAGTTGGTGTTTTGAAATGTCATTTGAAGGAGGTACATCCCAATATTTTGGGCAGAATGCACGTTTAAGATAGTGCTGCAACATGTCATGTCAGACCCGTGATGCTCTCCAAAGGCTATTGTAAGTTGCATTGATGAAGTGAAGCCTCCCACGAGGGAATTACACGAGTTTTGACAAGAGGCTGACAAAATATAAAACATACAGTTGTCTTTGTTTTGGTTTCTTGGAGTGAAGACCTGCTCCTGTAAGAGAGGAGACGTTGGCTTAGAATAATACATTGAGCTTATAAAGATGCTTGTAACGATTCGGAAGAATTGCGGGGTTTATGGGGAGTGCGATTCCTTGGTGAATGTCGTTTTGCCACACTTTTATATATGCTACCTCTCATGCACACTTATAGGCAGAACCCCAACAAGTATTTTTTTGACTAGTGTGCTCAGTATGGAACTTAATCAAGAAAAATAAACCAGTTTGTACATGTGTAATGTAGCACTCCGAGACGCTGTCTTCTTAAGTTATATATTATAAAAGTCCACCCGATTTGATGTATCTTAAGAGACACAGGTTGACTATATTACACTGGGCAATTAAGTAGCGGCTACATGTGTTCTCTACACAGCTGGTCCGACTATATTAGGAGCTGTCGATGTAGCAGCTACTGCGTAAATATATAATTAACAGAAAGCAGTCAATGTTTACCGTGAATTCGGCTAGGCCTAGACGTCACATACAACGACAAAGATCCCCCGTATAGCCTCAGACTGCTGGGGCAAGTGTTGTTAGCGAGCACCTATTAAGGCTAGAATGGCATACGAGAGGGGGTGGGTGACCAGCACCAGGCGCGGCCGCTTTTGTCTCCCCAGTGGCGATGTTTTTACGTACCGCACCGGGCACTCGTTTGAGGCCGAGTCGACCAAGGGGAGCCCAGGACCGATTCAGAATATCGTCACTGATGTTGGCCGTGAGCGGGAATCGAATGTTTCACATACACCAATACCCGCCATTCGCAACTAAGTGACGGCCACGTGCACTTCAACAGAAAACAACCAATTACGTAATGATACAAAAGGAAAATAATTACGTAACGCTACAATTCTATTTACTTTAATCCTGGTGAAGCCTGCGTAAGGTCGGGTCTTACGCAAGTCGGCTGCCCGTCTTAGCGCTCGCTCCGCGGTATTCATCTGCAACCTCTCCGTGCTGCACTATTTGCACTCGCGTAACTAAACGCAAACGTTTCCGCATATAGATTTTTTTAACGTGATTTATGGGAGCATTTCCGTAAAGGCGGGTTTCCGTAAGTCGGATCTTCCCTAACTCGGGTGACTGCCTGTACTCCTAAAACCGGTCCCACCAGCTTTAACCAACACCAGAAGGAAGCCAGGGGCACGACTCAACTTTCACCTCTCGTTACACAGATAAAAACGTGTTGAAATCACTGCAGGCGCCTGTTCTAAATCGCAATTTTAATCAAATTCCTACTGTCATGGGCTGCCTGGAGGAAAGCAGTGGCCTTAAGTCCTGTTATACTTGTTTGAAGAGTCTCTTTCAATGCAGGTGCAATTTTAAAATCAAATCCAATCTACACGGGTTCTTCCAAAGTTGCAATTATTAGTCCCTCTCTTTCTCACCAATTATTTTTTTAAATTCCAATATCCCTTTGGGAAAGTGCCAGCCTGATATTTTCGATACAGAACTGACAAAGGGAAAGTTGCCTTTCTAAACAGCTTCAAGAATTCACAGCTTGGCGAGTTCCACAGATGGAGCGTTTTGCCAACACCCGGCATGACCCACTGAAAAATGTAATGCATTATTCATTACAAATCTCGTTTTACAAAGCATTACCTTGCCATTTGAGTCAAGGAATATTGTGTAATGGTCAATTTAAAAGCGCGCTCAAAGCACGCATCGTGCAATGAATAGCTTACCTTACAGAGGCGCTTGTATGTGGAGCGGGTTTAAATGACTGAAGGGTTTGGTCCTCATGTATCGGTGTGAGGCTCCTATCATTTTTCCACGTGGCAAACACTGCGTCACAAGACAAAAATACATTGTTCGTTAACTTTCATGAGCATTCATAAAAGCAGCGATACAAGAGAGCAGCATTTATATAGTTCAATTGGTTGAGCACACGGACTGCCTGATGGTAATCGATCCGATAGTCGGTAAAAGGAGCGTGTTACATTTGTAAAGAATGGGGCTGTAACCTGTGTGTTAGGAATTTAGCAACAGCTGCCATCTGGTAGCATCTTAGAAGCCGATGCTACGGTCGGGGGCGACTTGTTTGTGCCATCAGCATCATGGTCAAAAGCCGGACGTATCCAAATCGGATTTCTCGCAGAGCAGTGCAAAGAGAAATCCGAACGGATTACTCAATCCAAGCGGCAATTATAAAATGACCACAGCAGAGGGCAGAAGCATACGAGCGCAACGTATACTTCCATGACAAGCAGATTCATCTTCTTGGTTCTTTCGGTAAAGTCACGTAGAAGGGAAATAATAAAATAATAAAAATAAAACATAATAAAATGATTCTCACGACGTTTCGGCCACAACGCAAGCAGCCGTCCTCAGGTGAAGAACAGGTCTGTCTTTCCGACAGCGCTGTCTTTCCGACAGACCTGTTCTTCACCTGAGGACGGCTGCTTGCGTTGTGGCCGAAACGTCGTGAGAATTATTTTATTGTTTTATTTGTATTATTTCCCTTCTACGTGACTTTACCGAAATAACCAAGGAGACGAATCCCTGCAGTCACGAAAGCTTTAAATCGAAAGACAAGCAGATTATTAATACAAATCTTAAAGCTGGAATTTAGCCAATACAGCACATACAAGGTTATGTTTAAATTAACAAAGAGGAGGCGGGGGGGTATAACATTTCTGCTTAGTTCACCGAAAGGTTTGTTCAAGGAAGCGCCCCACCAATCTCGATTTTAAGTTTTCGTGACTGCAGGGATCCATACTCTTTGGTTCTTTCGGTAAAGTCACGTAGGTAGAAAATAAAATAAAACCCCTACCGTTTGCACCTTCATCTGCAGGCACAGGGGAGGTGTTGAAGATCCCCGTGTCGGAGTTGTTGGGCACAGAGAGTCGGATTTTTTTCCTCCCGTACGTGCGGCATGATTTCAGTGCGTTCATCCCAAACATCTCTAAGTTTACTGGAAATACAACAAACAACATAGTCGTCAACGCATACGGTTGACCCGTATTCTTGTACAGGGGGAACTGAGTTCTCAGGTCCATATAGTGTACAGTGGGCAAAATATTTGCTTTTGTCTATTTGTTTGTGTTTCTCCCTTGTGATGGGACTTTGTAGGATTAACGTTGATATTTATAAGGGGCACGGCGTGACTAAATGTCTGAATTGGTCTGTAATAAGGTAGGGCACTGATAAGGGGTTGACAAGTATGAAACAAGGCATCATCAGAAAAAAAAAATCAGCACTTCAACAACTTAAAGAGCCATATCAGAGATGCGATTGTTTGGGGGTTATTTGAACATAATTCAGGATGAATTTGGATTTAAAGCTTTCGTGACTGCAGGGATTCATGTTCTTGGTTCTTTCGGTAAAGTCACGTAGAAGGGAAATAATAAATTAATAAAAATATAAAACAATACAAAGTCTCACGACGTTTCGACTGCAACACAAGCAATCATCATCAGGTGTGAAATCCACAGCAAGAAAATAAAAAAATTAAAAAAATTTGTTGCTGTGGATTTCACACCTGATGAAGATTGCTTGCGTTGCAGTCGAAACGTCGTGAGAATTTTTTGTTTGTTTTATATTTTATTATTTCCCTTCTACGTGACTTTACCGAAAGAACCAAGAAAATAACTTAAAGAGTCATTTCAGAGATGCCTCTTAAAAAAAAAAGGCATTTGTGGTTTTAAATCGACCCCACACACACTGGGGGTTATTTGGGGGTTATTTGAACACAATTCAGGATGGTTTGGTGGTGGTGGTGGGGGGAGCATTAGTACAATACAATGCATCTTTCTGCACCACTCTATATTGCTCGCAACATAGCCCTATACAACAAAGCAAAGTGCATGGTGGCATGTTATGAAAGTGGTTGCCAGGCTCAAGAACTACTTAGCCCTCTAGATTTAAAAACACATTCTGGTCGATTTCAGCCGGAGCTATAATTATTATTATTATTAAAAAAATGAAACGAGAAACTGAAACCAATAGCTTCGTGCTAGGATGAACGTTGAGATTTAAGGGGCATGGGGTGACTAAATGTGTCTGAATTGGTCTGTAATAAGGTAGGGCATTGATAAGGGGTTTACAGGTATGTAGTGGTGAGTATAGTCGTGGTGATTGTCCATTTGTTTGTGTTTCTCCCTTGTGATGGGACTTTGTAGGATTAACATTGATATTTATAAAGGGGCATGTGGTCACTAAATGTCTAAATTGGTCTGTAATAAGGTAGGGCAATGATAAGGGATTGACAAGTATGAAACAAGGCACCATCTGAAAATAAAAAATCAGCTTTATAAGAGTACCCTTAATGCACTTCAACAACTTAAAGAGACGTATTCGTGGTTATACAACCGCTTAACATTAACAAATCAACGCCAGATGCAATTATTATTCGGCAGTATTATTCGCAAGTACAAGACAACCCATATTTGTAAAGAATTGAACAGACCGTGACGTTTTGATAAGTTGGTATTTACACTCACATTTGTAACCACTAGAGTTTCATTAGGTTTTACAGATCAGTGCTTACATTAACAATAACTACGGCTACAAATGTAATAGTTTGTGGCAAAAGAAAATTATATAATTTTCACCCCAGAAGACTTCGCCATAATGTTGTTAAAATATCTTTAAAATGAGAATCCCATTTGGGTCAATACTTTCTCAATGCCGTTTTTCATTACATTGTATTTACAATACTGCCTTTAGGTTGTTGTTATAGAACTTGGGTGTTCATACCCTTTAGTTATTTATGGACTTAATATTTGTATACACGAAAAAAAACAATAAGAATAACAACCCCCTCATGTCTTATAAAATGTTGTACCAAAAATGATACTGCAACTTGATTTAACGCCGTAGAAAAATATAATCGTTGCAATTTACTGTAATAACAAAACAAAAACGTTACAAATACCGTGTAATTAAATAAATAGCAATTTTTATTTAAAGCTTTCGTGACTGCAGGGATTCATATTCTTCGTTCTTTCGGTAAAGTCACGTAGAAGGTAAATAATAAAATTATAAAAATATAAAGAAATAAAAAACAATATTATTTCTCTTCTACGTGACTTTACCGAAAGAACCAATAATATAAATAGCAATTGTGAGATGTAATTTTACCCGTCTTGGTTTAACTTGCGTATATGCTCGTATCTTACCTTTTAACCGATAAAACTCATTTGCACCGTAACGTTGTTAATTTCCTCATAGTAGCGAAGGAATGAGGAAAGTTTCTCATTTATAGGGACGGTAGGGGGCGACAAATGAATGATAAATAATCTTTATAATCACGCGATTGCTTACCGCACCTGTGGTTTATCCTACCACTCACTAATCAAATGATCAAAATTATAATTATCTATGCTTGGGTCTTTCGGTAAAGCCACGTAGATGGATAACATAATAAAAAAGAACAATATCATAATTACCTGGTGATAGCTTAATGAGATTATACGGTAGTCGTCACTTAAGCGTTTTAACAAAATGTATTATTCACCTGTTTCCCCCACTCCCGGCTTGATTTATAGCTCATTATTGTGAAGCGAGAAGAAAAATCACTTGCACGTGTTCACACAAAGCATGTACATTCAATCAATAGCGAAATTAAATTAACTCAATAAAATTAAATGTTAATTTGAGGCACGAAAATTTCCGAGTCGGGATATTTTTTGTGTGTTTTGTGGAAGTTACACGTTCTTTTTGTTCAACATCTTGCGCATATATAAGTTAAGTTTGCGAATGTTGTCAACGATGTATGCGCGTGTTTAGTTTGTTATAAAATGTACGGAGTTTACTACGGTTATGCACGACATGTAAAGTTACTGCATCATTAAAGTGTTCGGTTTGTGGGTGGGTCTTTAGTGCTGTTTGCTGAGCATCCCCCAACACGTTTATGTAACGCTTGCGATTATGATAAAATAAAAAATTAACAGCACGTGCCGGTTATTAATATTAATATTTTTATTGTTGTTGAGATCGCCTCAGAGTCAACGAAACGAGCCTCACCCGCAAGCCCAAAAGTCTCTCGGTCTCTGGCGCGCGCTCGCGACTTTTCCCGCCAAAATCTCGGGGCTCGCGCTCGCGACTTTTCCCGCCAAAATTTCGGGGCGCGCGCTCGCGACTTTTCCCGCCAACATCCCGGGCGCGCGCTCGCGAACTTTTCCCGCCAAAAGGTGTGGCGCGGGTTTCCCACGTAAATATCATGATATATCTATCGATTTATTGCGGATGAATCTTATAAAGCTCTTTCCCACGGACGTCCAAATAAAGATAGGCTACATTTCACCTCAGAATTTAGAGCAAGTTTTACCTCAGAATAAAGCACTCGCTCAACTATTTCAATCTTTATCCACTATCTTCTTGGTTCTTTCGGTAAAGTCACGTGGCAGGGAAATAATAAAATAATAACAATAAAACAATTAAATAATTCTCACGACGTTTCGGCCACAACGCAAGCAGCCGTCGTCAGGTGAAGACAGACACTGTCTCCCCGACAGACCTGGTCTTCACCCGATGACGGCTGCTTGCGTTGTGGCCGAAACGTCGTGAGAATTTTTTTATGTTTTATTTTTCTTATTTTATTATTTCCCTTCTACGTGACTTTACCGAAAGAACCAAGAAGATAGTGGATAAAGATTGAAATAGTTTTCAAACGCTGAACCTTTTTTTTTTTTTTAAAACCAAGATTTGTCACGTAAAGTCGTGGCTTCTAATATAACATTAATACCCCTCCTGTATTTTAATCCATCACGGTTTGGTGACCAAGAAACAACCTCCATTCCAAAACGCCAATAGACGTGCGTGTGAATCCAATAAGTGGCACAGATGGCTCCGAGGAGCATCCAATTATGGAATAGTCTCCACGTTAATGCAGTATTACTCGCTTGGCTAATTACCTAGCGCACTTTAATTAGGTGGGCAGAGCCGAGAGATTTAGTGGGGAGAGGCAGCTCTGGCCTGTGGGAGGCAATGTTGCACCATGAGACACCAAGGCCCTTTTCAACGGCGCCATTTACCACCCACCACCACCAGCACAACCAACAATCAGAACTTTATACTCCTATGTGCCTGTTAATTGTAGTATGATTCGTTTAATGTTGCGGCATTTGTCGAATGCGTAATGCAAGTTTGGTCCGATTACCACGGTTGGCTACGTAACGGTGCGAAAGGTCAACATTAGGTCAATATTACACACGTAGGCTTTCTGATGAATTGCCCGATGATGCTGGATGCAATTACCAGCGAAACGTCGTACTCAAATTGTAAATGTTGTGGTTTCGCGCTTCAACACACCGGTGGGCTAAAGCAGTGAACTATTTGTCTTTTGTCAACGTGACACTTATTTACTGATTGGCCATGTCGGGTGGTGGAGGGTTACGACACATTTATAAATAACGCGATCTAAACCCAAAAACGTTGATTATGAATTAGGTCAATATTACACACGTTTAGTGTACACGGTGGTACAGATGTTTTGTGACCCCGCCAATTAATTTACCCCTATAACCGAATGTTTTTTTTCTTTGCATATTCATTGCTGTTTTAAATACACATTACTTACCAAAAAATATATTAAGTTGTAGAGAAATAAATGGGGACGACAAGACATCTGGACCTCCCTGTACATTAATTAACCTCAGATAGAACATTTGAAAAATACGTCCACATCACACAGTTATAATAGTTGGTTGATATGAAAACATCGTTGAATGTTGTGTACGGTAATATCTACTTACAAAAAATATAATTGCCATGTACTGTATTTGATTCTAATTAGAGCAATACAATACAAATTGTGATATGTCCCTGAACTGTACTCAGTATTTGCAAATGTAATTATTTTTTTATTAATCACATTCTCTACTCATGTAATATTGCCCTCTTAAATACTGTCTCATTTACATCATAACCAGTTTCATGGCTTAGAATTAATTCCAGTACAGTATATACTGCAATGATACCTGTATTGGCAATGCACAAGGTGGTCCAGATGTCTAACGTTAGTTTTCTTTACATATTCATTTCTGTTTAAAATAAACCTGAATGTTTCAGATACAAGAAATCTGGACCTACACGTGCCTTGCGACCGGGCAAGAGCTCGTTGAGATTTAATATTCTTTGTCCAAGGGTCAAGTCAAAGGTCAAAGTGCCTCCGTTCTCAACTCAGCATGGGGTGGTTTTTTCATCGATGTTGAGTCAGTGGTGCAAATTCAACCTTTCCATCACTTTTCACAGCACTTTACCTATTTTGTCACCCCAGATACAGTAGTTGGGATTTGGACTCGCAGTATGTACTGTATAGAGTGCTCGAGGGAGCCGTGTAAAGATGAATTACTTTATACATTTAAAATCGGATACGTTAATTTAGGCTAATAGAGTGAACAAACCTGTACAAACTTGACATCAAATGAGAAATAATACAAGATGGTAAAAATTAGATTTTAATTCTTGAACTCACAGCACCACTTTAACTAACAATATATACGTAAGGAGGAGATACAGTGATTAAATCAGTTTGTGTGTGGTTGATAAGCGAATTGTTACATCGCAGAAACAAGAGATGGTGACGATTTGGGGAGGCCTTATTTCAGCAGTGGTTTGATCATGGTCGATGATGATGATATCTTGTACATAAGTGAAAACCTCACCGAAACTGTACTCTCTTGAAAATTTTACATTGGAAAATTATATTTCAAATTTTTTTTTTAAACATTCATAATGTAGCAGATGGTCTGCTTTGGCAATTCACCACGCAAATAATGAGGCAGCTACAGAGATCAAACTACTAAACTACAAGCAACCTGGTCGAGTGTGCTCTTGAAGCCTTATTGCTGTTTAAACACTCACTACATGAAAAAGTCAAAACTTAAAAATGCTTCACCATTGGAACCTCATTCGCCAGTAAAAAAATATGATAATTGTTTTTTTACCCTTCTATCTGGCAACAAAAATGACACCTTTTTTACAAGGAGTCATGTTTGCATAGACCACAATACCTGCAGTCATAATGCAAACAAAAAACATAACTCTGATAATGTATGCACTGCCCTTGAAGTTGATTGGTCCACACACGAGACAGCTTTCCTTAGAGCCTAGTCTCACATGGGTTGGACCAGATGAGGTTCCAATGGTGTAAATGCTTACCCCGAGCTCTCATACTCTGATGGTGCTTTGTCATTGAGTTGTGCGCCTTTTGGCGTCATCTGGTCGAACCCATGTGAGACTAGGCTCTAAGGAAAGCTGTCTCGGGTGTGGACCAATCAACGTCAATGACAGTGTATACATTATCAGAGTTATGTTTTTTTGTTTGCATTATGACTGCAGGTATTGTGGTCTATGCAAACATGACTCCTTGTAAAAAAAGGTGTCAGTTTTGTTGCCAGATAGAATGGTAAAAAACCAATTAAAAATGCTTGTTCTCTTTTTGGTTTCCCAGTGGGTTTGATTTGTTTTACGTGGGAGATGGGGATGTTAGGTAAGGCACGATTTCGGGGACGGGGTAATTCGTGGTGCATTGGAACATTCAGACCAAGAGTTGTTTTCCATTTGGCAGAAAATGTCTATTTACGACTGCATTGCCCACGAGAGGCGATGCGTTCAACCTACATGATAAACGACCACGTCGCTGTGGGTTCATTTTGTTGGTCACGTGGACATCAATAGAGATTGAACATTGAGAGTCAACCACATTCTTGCTATACAGGATTCAAGCGTTTATCTTGAGCGTCATCAATATCGGCCATGGCAATTCCACTGCTGGATGAATGCCTCACTATTCATCGGTACAGTACTGAAAGTCATACTATAGTGCGCTAAAAAAATGATGTTGGTTTCATATATACCTCATGTGACTCTCCCTTGCCAGTATAAAAATATAAGAATTGGTTTTACCGTTTTTGGTAATAAAACAGTTGTGTTAAGATGTTAAAACACCAAACTGAAACCTTTTGCAAGGAATACTATCTGCATTAATCACATATTCTTGTGGTGAGCAAAAGGTGAAACCTTTTTCTTGTATTTTGATACTGGCAAGGGAGGTCCCATGGTGTAGCTGCTCTCCTTCGAGCTCTCAATGTCCTCACGGTGGCATTGTCTTTGTGCTGTTCCCCTTTTGGCGTCCTCTGGTCTAACACTGTTTTAGACTCGGCTCTAACGAACACATTCCTGCGGAGGGAGTTGGTAGAAACGTTGGGTTGCTCGGTCAATGGCCAGGGTCAACGGCGGCGTGGTGTATTCCGCAAATATGCCCGACTGTGAGGGCGGGCACAAGCCAGCGTGAGCAGGTTAAACGTTGAGTTTTATAAGGGCACCACGGGGTGACCAGCCCCTCCCCACCCAGCCCCACCCCTCCCACCCCCCACCCAGCCCCTCCGTCCCCACCCAGCCCTTCTCCACCCTCTCCACCCAGCCCCTACCCATACCTCCACTCCGTCCCCAGCCCCACTCTCCCCACCCAGCCCCACCCTCCCCACCCAGCCCCTCCCTGCACGACGGACACAATAATCTCCTGTGGGCTGGTGTAACCAGGAAGTTCCTACCAGTAAAACTGTCTGATGTGGACCTATCAGTTTCAAATACGATGCATATGCTATCAGAGCATTTATTTAGTTTGCATGCTCGCCACAAGTATATGTGCTTAATGCAAACATGATTCCTTGCAAAAGGTTTCAGTTTGGTGTTTTAACATCTTAACACCTGTTTTATTGACAGAAGAGGTAAAACGTATTCTTATATTCATATATGCCATTGACAAATAGACAAAAAACTTTTTTTTGCACCAGTTAAGACACGTTGACATTGTTTTCCCAATTTTGAGGACCAAAATTTGGATTTATGTGCCAGACTGTGAACACGTTTCATGCTTGGCACA